ATGTGTGTGCTTATTCACTTGTTTTGGGATTTATTACAGTTATATTCTCGGAAGTGTAGACTCTCCTATCACCCAGCTTCCGTCTTCTCTCTGTTCATCCCGGAGTTGTAGTCAGTGGCTTTTGAGTACTAATTTAGCCGTTGGTTAAGCGTGCGTACTATATTTGTCCACAATATATGACATCAACCTTCCCTTTTTTGGTGGTAACCAGGGCCGGAGGCAAGAGGTTTGAAGCCGCCACGAAGGATCCCGGTCCAGCCTCGGTGTAAGCGTTGAGTTTATTAATTCCCGAAAACGTCGAATTCTTGTTTCCTAGAGCCCACTTGCTACCTTCCGGTGAAAAGCATGTCTTCCTTGCACATCTAACCCGAACCCCAGCCTTCTTTTGAGGGCTACTGCAGAGAAAGGGGATACAGGGAAAAGAAAATCCTCTGCTAAACGCCTTGTCTAGGCTGGCGACTGTCGCACGCGTGGCCCTACTGCAGACAACTTTGGCGTGGCATTTGAGTGAAACATTTGCAACGAGTGGGTACGATAAGGGTGTACCAGACCAACATTACGCTCTTATAGCGCGTCACCCCCTCACGTGGCTCCGGTTTATCTGCCCACAGTACCGTGTAGGGCTAGCCCTTTCTAAAGGCTAGCCTAAGGAGTTCGCAAGAGACGCCCCAGTAGCTACTAAGATGCCGCTGCCCTCACAGACCACTACCGCAAGTGTGTCAGCGTCGTTCCTCGGGCAGTCAGACCTGTGAATGGTCCAACGATGGCCAGCGACGGCAAGCCACGTGACCAACCACATCAGACCCAATCCTGAAGCTGTTCTAACTGCTATCCCTGCTGCGTACAAGGAATAATGAGTTACGGTGGAGAGGCAGGCGCACTCTTCCCATGAAATCCCACCCACAGTGTTCGGCGGCGGAACTGTTCATGACAGATCGAATTCCATTATTTTATTTAACATCACTGTGTGTCGAGAGAGTCTCCTTGAGGAAGGCGAATCGCTCGGCAAAAAACGGTGGAAAAAGGTATGCTTCACGCTAGGACTGGGGGACCTGGAACCAAAGCTATACCGGTCCTACAGAGGCAACCACTCAGGGAAAGCCTCAACCGATGGAAGTGACCCTGAGCTCGGCTATAGAGGCTGAAAGATTCCTGTTTCCTTCGCAAAAACTTGTTGTCAACTCATCATCCAACCTAAGAGTTAGGAGTGACCGACCATGGTCTGCGAGAAAATGTCTCGGGAAGCGTCCCAACCACCATGGCTGTCTACGGCACACCAGAACTAACAGCCTGCACATAAGTAGAGAAGTACGCCTGCGGTGTGTGCTCATGACAGTAGCTTTTTCGTATCTGTGGAAATGGTGTGTGACGTCATATTCAGGAACAAACATTATTATTACGTCCGACAATGACGGTGGTTATCAACAGGGGTGGGACCAAACAGGACTGCAGTGGCTGTGGTCTGCAGACCCTCACGTCCCCAAAATTCGACAGAAATGGCTTGGCCGAGATTGATGGCTTTTAACTCAGGATGTCCAAAGCTTCTAACCAAAGTACAGCAAACTTGGTACACAGTTGAAGAAAGCGTTCGCTGTTACAATGGTGAGCCCAGGACGCTGTGATGACACCGAACGGCAGTCCCGCTTTATGCTGAAGCCACCATCACTGTTTATAAACAAAACGTTCAAACCGGCTTTCAGTCTATAATGTCCCTGGTAAGAACCATGAGAACAATTCGAATAAGCCGGTTCCACTAGAACTGGCCAGCCGGTAACAATTTTCACCGCTGCAAACAACCCCCGACAGTCAGCCACCACCAAGACACCCTATGTCGTCGCAGGCGCCTCCAAGTTTCCTTACAGCAATATAGGAGGCTGGGTTGACGCTAGGGGAATTGTGATCCCTTTGTTCCTAACTTGCCCCGCAGTTCATAATCCTGACAGAAGCCTGGTTAACGCCAGATATTTTCGATATCGAAGCTTGTGTAGGAGAGAAGAATCTACCCAGGAGAGACGGAACAGAACGGGGTAGGCAGGCAAACTATGCGTCTACGAACCAACATTTGCCGATGGCTCCGTGGCTTCAAGTTTGGGATGCCCTGTCGATTGATCAGCACTGGGAATTGATGGGGGACATCAGCAAAAGGGCTACCTCTGTGAACGCCTCGACTGTAACACTAATGCCAAAGCAGTGAACTCCACGGTTGAAACGAGGCCCTGAACGCTTCTCGAAAGCAAGGAGGAAATCATGGCGTAACCGAGGGATCTCCAGAAAAGTGTCAGGTCGTTGAGCACCTAAAGGTCTAAGGACGTGGTGCATCAGCAAAGCAAGTGGAAACGGGAAATCTGTCCAAGCGGACCTGGCTTGGAAGCTTGAGGCGAAAGCCGGAAACCTATACCACTTCATGGCAGAGAGTAAGTATACCAGCCAGAGGGCTTGCGTCATGAAAGTCCCCGATGGAGAGAACCTCTCTGAACTGAAGACCATCAAGACCCTTAGCACTGCCTTCGACACGTAGAAAAACATGCTGTCATTCGGCCAAAACTGTGAACTTGCCAAGCAACCTCCAGCGCTACTTAATGAGGAAGAGTGTCATGGAATAAGGGTAACCTCTGGTGTGGTCGTCGAAAAACTATCAGACCTCCGAGCAGGGAGATAATCGAGGTGTGACGAGATTCGGCCGTTTTACTGAAACAATGTGTGGGTGCCTAATGCGGTTCGATCCGTAATCTGTTTCAGCACTCAAACAAACACACGCTTTGACGGGGATAAAGACATGCTATTTTGTCTCCCATCTTCAGAACAGGAGATGGGCAGAGCCCGAAATGCTGCCGACCATGGCACTTCTGCCATTACCGTCGAAAGTAATGGAAATCCTCGTAGACAATCATGTCAGAGAGTACCTGGACGGGGGGAGAACTGAGAGGCGGTCAGAATGGTTTCAGAAAGGGCGGGTCCAGTGCCTGAAACTTTCTGGCAGCCAGTGATAACTGGGCAGCATGCTGAAGCCCCCAATTCCCTTTTCTTCTGGTGCTCTCGAATTTCTCCAGGGCTTTTGAGAGTCACGTGCACCATTTCCGTTTGCGAAATTTCAGGGTTGGGTATCAACGGTCAGGTGCTTCACTAGGTGCAGAACTACCTAGATGGCAAAGAACTAAGCACGTTGGTCAACAGGGTTTGCTTGACTTGGAGGGCATCATCTGCTGTATCACAAGGAGCGATTCTGCGTCCGCCGCTATCTCCTCCTTTTGTGAATGGCCTCTGATTGGGTCTCGGCTCCTCCAGTTTACTGTATGCTGGCGATGTAAGGTTGTGGAGAGCTGTGTCATCTGAAGCAGAATCAGATGAACCGTGACGCAATCTCAGGTTGCTTGCAGAGTGGGTGAATAAAGATGACATTTGATGTGGACAGATACCGAACCGTGTTCGTATCACTCTTTACCGTCAAAAACTAATCCTTGCTGTCTCTCTCTCACCTTCTGTGGAGCGCAACTTTCCAACAACACTAAGGAGAAAGACCTGGGATTAATATCTACTGGTAAGTGAGCCACTAGCTCCAGTCACCCAGGGGATGCCTCAGGAGCTTACACACTACTCCACTTCATGCCCAAACTACCAACTGCCTTCACTTTGGAACTCTTCCTGGAGCTATACAAGACCGATATTCGACATCACTAGGAGGTCCATAACGTCATTATGCCACCAAATCTGAAAAGAGATGCGAGCCCTATGAAGAAAGTCCGGGGGAGAGCAACAAAGGGTGTTGTGGGAATGAGAGAAAAACCCTATGAGGATAGGCTGAAAGACCTAGGGCTTTACTCTCTTAGCCATCGTGGATTGCATGGTAACTTAGCGACGGCTTACGAAATGCTAAGTAATCCAAGCTATCCGAACAGTGGTATCCTACTGAACGGCCACTGTGTCAATCCTCGTAGTAGCCCAGGGAGAATCAACCTTCGGAGGGCAAAAATCCGTGTGCGTTAACACTCTTTCAGTCTTTGAATTTGTGGCCAATGAAACGCACTGCCTGCCCAGATTGCTACTTCCCCGTCCTTTGACATCTTCAAGAGGAGGTTGGACAGCCACGCAGCAGCGCATGGTTTGTACTCTTGAGGCTGGGATACGGATTGGGCCGACAAGATCCAGTAACTCCGCACAACCCAGCACGGTCAACCCCACACCCGGTCTTTTGCGATGCCACCACCTACGCGAAACTGACCTAATTTTACACTTTCATGAAGACGTCTCCCGCGGTTACTACCCCCTACCAGTAGTACTTCTATGTCTGTTCCCATAACCCGTTCAGTGGCCTTATCCGCTTCTTCTCTTCCTTTAGACCCTTCGATCCAACACTATTTACTAAAGCTATCACTTATCTCCCATGAATTTGCATGGGTTTCTCCTTCCCTTCCGTTTCACCTCTCACTTTGTTTTTTCTTCGTTCTTCCTCTCCATTGGTTTCTCTGGACATTTTTTCTATCTTCCCTTTACAACTGGTCCAACCAACCGTCCGGTGGCATGGCACTTGAGAAACCCGTAGGTACCACAGTTCTTGGAAAGTTCACACAATCCTTGCAAGTTTAATTAACACCCAACCACCAGTTGGGTATGCCAGAGCTACAACAGGCGAGTGGGTAAACCTGCTGCATCGGAATCCACCAAAGATCCGAAGCCGTTCCGCAAGACCTAAGAACGAGCGCGAAGAACTTAAATGGTTTACGCCAGACCTTAAAAAGATATTGGACACAGGACAAACCCGTAGCTCCCTAATCACTCTACAAATTACAACCTACTGACCCACAAAACATCCACCTCACCGAAGCTAAAAGCAAGAAATCAGAGGGGATTTCCTCGTCCACTGCAGGAGTAAACCAAACAACTCGAACCAAGCCCTAAGAACTAGACGCGAGAGTTCAAAAACTACCAGTTTTCTACGCTCGCACTGTCAATATTGGATATTGGATTGTGAACAGACAATATTCACCGCTCTAATTAACTGGCTTCGTTACTTGCAGGTGATGTTGTGCGTTAGAGACCGTAGTCATTTACTTTCTATTTTCAACTTCACCCCCCCCCCGTAATAATGGACTTCCTACCTATTTAAAGTCCAAAAATAGCTGTCAACTGCTGTTCGCTACATGTTGATGTCAGTGGTGGGATCCGGCTCGGTGGAATGTTGCGAAATCGCGCATTTTGCCTTGACTTTTCATTACAATCCTAAGCATACCCCCTCGTCTTTCTCTGCGTAAGTTTTAACTGGGCCATCCATGGTCAGACCAATGTGCACTCAGAAGCTATCTCAAATATAACTCCCACCAGCTTCACACTATGCCTAGCCCCTAACCTACTCAGATACACTCAAGCACTAGGACATTACTTTTTCACCGGAGTGAGTAGTGAAACGCATCTGAACGGTACTCATTCACTTTTGACTAAACTCACTCGTCCTTCTGCAGCAACGTACCTATCTACCTACAAGCTAGAGGAAAATCTATCAACAGCTGGTCGTGACGGTAAATATTTTTTCCCCGTACACTACACTGTTTAGGCATCATGACACTGCTGGAGTATGGGAATCAACTCGTTGAATATCGTGCAGAGTTATACTGCTGGAAAGCACCTAATGAATCAATATTATCTACTGAGTAACATTTCAAACAAAATAGTAGAAAAGTGTAATGAAGTGACATTAAACCTGGACAGGTACTACAATATGTTTTTCTGAACTTATGATTCACTGAAAGTTCTAACTCTGCGTATGGTTTATCTATTCTGTTTAAGCATAAAGAAAAATCTGGACCCTATCTTGACCCAACCAACACTACCTTCGGATTCACTTAGGAGGTTTTGTGCAAAAACATAAAAGCCTTTAGAATGCACCTGAGGATAGCCAGTATCTCCCCACCCTAAAAAGAGCAAGGTTCCCCCCCCTGAAACTTAACAGTTGTCAACGACGCTCGAAGTTCTAGTAATTGTCAAAAGTACCTCAGTTGCTGAAGTTTCCGCAATGCTCCTGAAGTATGTGGGGAATTGCTTTTCCTTAATTTGCTTTTTCATCTCTTGTGATATTTTTCTAAGCTGCACCCACTTTTTGTAATTGGATTCGTAATCCTTACGATGCCTTTTTAACAGAAAAAAACAGGGAATTCAGAGGACTTCCCCAGAATTTTTAAGTGCGTCTGGAGTATGTTTAGGATAATACCCAGTTTCTAAAGTGTGCCCAAACTTAATCCTGACTGGGTGACTTACGACAACTGAAGAGGGATCCGAGCCTCTTAGAAAGAGTCCAAAGACAAGCTACAAAGGGTAATGTAGGCGTGTAGCGCAAAACATATGACAATATGCTCGGTGGTCTGAATATTTATACTTTTAGTTGCTGTAGGATGTCTGGTGACTTGATAACGGCTTACTTTATGATAAGTATCCAGTCACTTAATTAGAGGAATGTTTCCCAACGGTCACCATGATGAGAGAACCTGAATAGAGTCACCCGTCAAACAGCTCAAACTGGTGTACGATCACGTTTCTTTCTTCAGGTCTGCAGAGATTGTAGCGCATTACCTCCTAAGGTAACCACCACTCCCTCTGCCGGTAGTTTCATTAAAAAGTTGAACAGCTGTGCATTGGTACTGGTGTGGTCACCCAGTTTAGGTACAGAATAGACTGCGGCGAACTAACTGGCATCATCAGTTCAGCATTTTCTGTTGCCTCCATGCTGGTCATCTTTCATTACCACTATTACTACCGACCCGACTCAATTTACTTTCTCTGTTAAGACTCATCTATTAGTCGTCTTATTTATTACCCAACTTTTTCTATCCTTTGTTTCTATTTCGTCGTTATCCCCTTCTTTAGCTTTATTTGGTGATCTCGTAAGTCATCGTATCTCTTTTTGTCCAGTTTGATTTGCTGTTTGGTGACAGGACATTGAAAGTCTCAACTGTATCACAACCTCAAAATCAAACATCTTCCTATACATATTACGAACATTCACTCCCCCCCCCCACACACACACACATTGGGTTTTTTGCCAAAACTACAGCAGGTGAGTGGCTGAATTTACTGCATAGCCCGTAGTCATCCTGCAAGATCTAGAAGCAGGCGCGAAGAAACCAACAAATATTGGAATGATTCCCCATGATCATACCAAGGTAATCGTACAGTAAAGTTATATTGTACAGCAGTGCACGAACTCCACTCTATCATAATACTGTTTACATTTTCATTGTTTTCCTTTACGAAAATTTAACACTAAAGAAATACCAAGGTGCTTCAGATATATATATATATATATATATATATATATATATATATATATATATATGGTAATTGTGACAACCATTAGAGTAAAATATGCTATAAATACATCTAACTTATTGATTAAAATTCACTTATGTTCCAAGGGTTGTATCAACTCTGTCCAGTCATCGATCACGGAATTATTGTTGAGTCGACGCGGTCACTTGACTAGACACTGGGCTGATGGGTTCAACAATTTAGGCAGTTTTATAAGTTCTTGACGTGGAGCTAACACTAGACCAATGATTCTAAGCCTTAATTTTTCACTATAGACATGACCTTAAGAACATTTCTTGAGGGTACGCGGTGCGCTTGGTGGCTTTAGTGAACCGAGCAAATTTCAGTGGTCAGAGAATCGGTCTAAATAAAGACAGTGTAGATAGTGTTCTCTACTAAAGTGTTTTTCTACTATGTTTTATGGCTTAAAGTAAAGGCTGGTAATTTGGACGCATTTAAAGGTGATGGTACAAGTTACAGAACACAAGACTTAACACTATCTGTTCACTATTTAGTAGCAGCATTGGGTGTAGTGTTAACAAAATTCGATGTGTTTTTGGTATGCATTGTCATTTTAGGGTCATCAGTAGTGTCTTGTAGGTTTCGTCTGCTGCTCAACACCTACTAACTGTGCTCAAGACACCAGTGTAAATGATGTGTAGCTACACCACAGTTTTCACTGATACTTCATGAGCTTCAGCGAATTCGTCTACCATCAGTTTCCACGCCTCAGCAATGAAAGGTGGAATGACGGAGAACATGAATACATTCCGAAGATAGGGGGAAGAACAAATGTCTACCAAACAACCACATTTTTGTGAATCAAGAGTTCAAAGTAGGCAAACTTAGTATTAATGTTCCTTTAGTGAAAGGTGATTATGTAATTATCTTATTTGACTTCGTATATAGCCGTACACTAAATAGCCTGGTTACTTACATTGACAGTTAAAAAAGAAATAAATGTGCTATTACTTGTAACCCTTTTCAATAATCTTTTGGAAATAATCTACAGAAATGGATATCAATATATCTTGCATATGTGTCCAACGTATTACAGAAAGGCATTTATTGATGCTCTTGTTTACGCTGAAGTTTCATAAGTTGAGAAACCATTTAATTAAACATAGGAAGCTAGAAAGGCTTTGGTGTAGACTTCACAAGCCCAAAACGAATTAGAAACAAACTCCATACTTTAATTAAAGAAAAAATAACGTTTAAGGCAGACTTTTACTAAGTTTATGTACGACCATAGAAAAGTATCTCCGTGCACTTCTAACATTTGAAGGAGAAAATTTTGTATTTACAAGTTCTCAGGCAATACAGTCAAAGATCACGACTATGAATTGACCAACTATCTAGCTGCTGTTTATTTTAATATTTCAACGAAAGTTATGTTGCTTTACTGACTAATGTCACAGGTACACCGTTTGAGTGAACGAACGAAATGCGCTCAGCCACCTTCTGCACATTAGTGCAGTAGGCAATGTGTCACACCTATTGTGTGAGGGCTAATGATACTGCTACCTGGCCCTCCAAACCTTGTTAGGTGAAGCGGGGTTCAAACCATTGACCTATTGTTTGAAAGCCATCTGAATAAGCAAATGAACCGCATCTCCACAAATAAACAACGATTAGTGATTGTGAACATTCTTTGATGCGGTAAGTCCGAATGAAATATATATTAAGTTTGTACATACATCGATGTTAAAAGGCTTGTCATCAACAAAAACTGTAACGCAAAAAAGTAAGGAATAAAAGGGATTAAGACATTTGATGTTATGATTTAGATAGCAGTAGGACATGAGTGTACTTGTGCCACTTAGCTATATCAGAGAGTACCTAGTCATTGGTTTTTCAAGCCCTAATTAAGCGTAAACCTCATTTTCTTTCACAGCATGCACCAAAAGTAAGATATCATGAAGTAGTACCATAATTTAGTCCAGCCAACTAGCTATTTCCCCACCTAGTCGTATGTCAGCTACCATTGATGTCGTTTTTCAACTTCTCTATTTGAAGTACCTCCTTTACCTAGGACTTCACCAAACCTTTATATTATTCATAGGGTGTTTCTTGCATACAAGCAATACTATTAAGGCAACCACATTCAAACAACCTACTGCCTTCGTATATTCTTTGCATCGAATGGTCGTGTTTTGAAGCTATATAATAGGTTGGTATAAATGCTACTTAGTGTTCAGAATCTCACATGACCAGATTTATCCTCTGTCGGGAAGTGATCATTTTTACATTTATAGTTGCAACGTTAGTCAATGAAACAGGGGGGGGGGAGAGACGAATTCGCTAAATACCGACAGATATTATCCTCTGTTTTGTTGAAAATTCTCATTTTTATTTATTTCCTCACAAAATCAACATAGCTATCGCCATTCACAGAAAACTTGTACTCATAACGAAACCTAATTACATTTATGAATGTAATTGCAGTATGACTGTTCTGCGCTTCTGAAGGAAAGGTTTGCACTCTTGGTTGCTACAAATGGTTTAGCATTCTAAATGGTCTTCTATGTTGAATTTACAATACCAGCTAAAGCATGAAATGGTTATGCGAAATCACTGATTATTGTTTAATAGTGTAAATGCAGTTCAACTCAATGAAGTCTTATATACTAGACTATGAGCTAGACTTATTGTGTAAGAGCTTATGATATCATCTCCCGTTGCTGAGTTCTAAGTACACTGAGCAGGATTTGAACACAACTTATTGTTTGATAGTTTGAATCATATCTTTTGGTGCACAGTTAACTGAATATGACGACTTAGAGAGTAAAGTGCTATTTCGCTAAAAGCCTTGCTATTAATAACTCAGTGTGATAGAATGATGACTACTATCCAAAGCCTAACGGAATAAATATCGAAAAACGGAACTAGTGGTGAATATACTCGAATAGTTTCCTTTCATATAAGATGAAAAGTGTTTTCTAACCAGATCAAATGCTATAGGATAGGAATAAAACGGGTTAAACAACTGTCATTTAAAATGGAATAAACTAAGAAAAAGGCATCTTCATTTATCATAACAATGTTGAGGTCAGGCTAAGTTTTCTAGGCAAGGTAGGTAAGCCGATTGATGAAGTCATAAGCCTTCAACGGTTAAGATAACTTAGACATATACTTTGTATGCCATGTCACCGCCTATCTCGACGTCCCATGCTAGGGGAAACTGGATTAGGTTGAAAGAGAGTTCAGGGTGGCCAGACTAAGACGTGGCACCAGTCGATGTAGTCCATGAATGTTAGTCTGAGCTGTGTGGGAGAAATGTAGAGTACATTGCTGGGGTCCCCGAGATGACAGTGGTTATTGACTCCTGACGAAGTAACTGAAAATTGGTCGCAGTGGCGCAGATGTATTCACTCCTTGACATTTTCTAAAGCTTGAATATTTGAAATGACCGTTATCTTTAAATTGTTTATTCTCTCACACAACTTTGTCGACTTTCATATCCACCTGTTCTCTGTGTAGTATTTTGAAGTGTAGTAACATAAGATGATGCATTTTTGTGCGAGGTTTTACGTTGATTCTGTTTCTCTGTTTGTCTTATCACACAGTTTAATATAATCAACTAAGTCTGAAGGCAATAGAACCATGATAGTAGACAAATTATGTACTTACCCATTTCTAGTTTTAGATTGTGTATATTCAATACTTCGGTCATGCGAAGGTTTATTTAACTTTTGCATAAACAAGATTTTACAACTCTAAAATTGAAGTCACTGTGAAGGCGGTTTTCTTTCTGGTGAAATCCGTGGTTTTGGTTTTCCATATATCGATATGGTTTACTGATAATTTAGGTTTTGGTTACTGAATATGAACAACATTGTTGTTTGCGTACTCTTAGGAGTTGCTATCTATTATATGAGACCTCAGTTTTGTAATATGTTAAAATTTGATTTCATGATACAATTTTCTTGGTGTTACTGGACTTGTGGTTAGTAAAGTGGATTCATACAATGGAACACCTGCGGTGAGGGATTTGATGTTGTAAAATGATAGTATTTCCAAATAACTAAGCCTGAAAATGTCAGAGAATTAGTTTCGTTTTAATCACACCTTTAAAAAGTTTAAATGTGTTGAACTGTAGCTCATCAGCCTACGCCGGTGAAATTTCTGACCACCTATTAAAGAATAGGTTACCTGTGTTGCCATATTCTCTGTCTTATTACACAGCTGTCTGGCATGGCCGTTAAAAACGGAAGGTATAAAGAGGTGACATGTTTTTGACTACAGGTCTCATCGCAGCTTTCCTCACTTTTTTGGAATCACATTGTGAGCTATGTCGAGGTTAGGCGAAGGGTAACAGGCTGGGAAGACACGTCAGTGGATGGAGTTGTGGACCATCACTGACTGAGGTAGCTTGGACAACCGAAGTAGGATGGAGGTGAGAGGAGGTTCAGAGTGGCTAGGCCAAGCAACACATGGTAACATTTCATCAAGTTTTCGACTGTTGGTATGAGCAATGTACGTAGATGCAGATTGTGTGACGGAAATCTTGAAGAATAGAAATGAATGGTTGGAGACTATTTGTGATGGCTGAAAATGAGTTAAAGTAGTAGCCCTAGATGTATTCACTGTTTGACGTGTTCTAAAGTTTGAAGATTTTAGCTATCGTTCAATGACGTACGATTCTCTTTCTTTCCATATAATTTTGTCTGGTGTGATACCACTCTTCTTCTATCCACTTGTTCTTTTCATAGTCCTGTGAATTGTGGCCGAGGTTGTGCGTTAGTTTTGTCTGTGTTTTTATATTCAGTGTGATCGTTAACTAGTATGCTTTCAAAACGTTAAGAAGTGTCCATTTACATGGTATTCAACTCATGTCAAGCTGGAATATGTGCTAATTTGGTCAAGACAGTTCTACAAAAAGAAATCGGTTAGTGAGTCAAGCAAAGATCATATTCTGTGCTGTTGAATGAAGGGATTAATGACTTCACATGCATATTTAAAACAACTGGTTACAGTAACTTGTGCAAGGTGAACAGTAGGGGGATTTGTTACGTCATGCGAACTCGAGCAATCTTTTTTCATGGTTAGATTACAACATATTCTTTCAACTTTCTTTCCAGTCACAAATTAAACGGTGGAATTTTTGAAGTATAGATTTAAAAGGCATCATTTGAAACTAACTATTTCACTTAGACTCAGAATTCTCCCTTCAGACACTATACAAACGGACCCACCTTGTGAAACTCCAAAGGAAACTGTGACAGCTGCATAAATGTCACGTCTATACAAAATCATCTCGCTTGCACCTTACACAATCCAACCCAAGTTGATATCTTTATTCTGTTGAGGTTTAAACTCAAACAAACTAAATTTTTCAATTTCTTTCAGAGTCGGTTTTCCGTAACACTCACTTATTCGTTGTAAGAATGGCTCCCGTCACCCTTCAGATGTACATACAAGATGTGAGTTATATAAAATTTATTTACTATAAACTGTTTTAGATTGCTGGTTGTATTAGTAATCGAAATGGCAGAAGTTTAAGTGTAAGTTACCGATTAAATTTTTACTAGTAATTGTGTTTACCAACTAGCATTATCTTATGTGTAGCGATCCTCATGTGTACAATCCTCGTCTAGCTGTATCAGACCCAGAGAATGTTGCTACATCTTACCTTATATCACCTTGGGATGAAATAGTTTCTGCTCATGTGAGGTAAGTAAAAAGAATTTCTTATGAATTTTCACTTTCTATTCTTTAGATGCATATGGGCAATGCGTAATCGTGATTTTGAAGAAGCTTATGCTTGTCAAATAGTATTTGTAAAATATCCTTTTTATATATGACAGTTTATGTTAAACTATTAGATTTCATACCCCAAGTCCCTACGTCAATGTGTGTAACAAGGAAAATTAGTCACTGGGATATCGTTGATTAGTTCAACGTCAAACGGTCGAAATGACCGGTCACTTCAATCAGGCTAGCGAGAATTCCTCATCGGTGTTAGTGTCATGCCTGTCAACAGTATGATTTATCATACAGCTTGTAGTTTAGCCGTTATACACTAAAAGGAAGGTTTCAAGGATATTTTGAATAGCGATTTCACCATACTGTTACACTAACTTAGTAAGAGTAAATGTTTACCCACTTATTGTATGTTATAGTAGCCAGTCAGTCAGTCAAAATCAACGTAGGACCTAGCATACCTACGTAACGGTCTAGGTTACCATATTTCACATCACCACTTCAAGATACAAAACAGCCAAATAAAAGATAGACATGTTTTACCATTTGGAGTCTCCAACCAACCGATCCATTCGGGAAACTTCCACAACACCTAGGTGTCGCAGGATCGAATTTCAGGCTTGACATCATTTCTGTCGTAGTTGTAGACACTTACCTTCCTAACGAGAGCCAGCAAACCACAGAAGCCTAGGTCTAACAATCGTCTCCATTCAACCAGCATGCGAGAATTGTATTGAAGTGCATTCTTATAATTGTACTCTTATTATTGAGGCATACCTACAAATTACTGGAAATCGAAGTTGCAAAAATGATCAAAATGCCTTGATAAAATGTGTTAGGGGTGGGTGGAAGGGTAGAGAATTACTGTGTTTCACTCATAGGTTGAAGGAAAAGTGACTTACTGACAAAAGCAACGTAGAACCCTGCATACATTTCCATCGGCTCAAGTTACTACACTGCATAGTAGCGTACAAAGAGCAAGTGGATAGAAGAAAAGTGATATCAAGGTAGAGAAAGTTATGTGAGAGAAGAAACAAGTAGGAGATAACCGTTACTACAACTATTCAGGCTTTAGAAGATGTCTGGGCCATTGTAACCAATTTCTAGCCGTCATACCTAGAGATTTCAACCACTGATTGGTTTCGTCTCGGGTACCCCAGCTAGGCAGTCTATATCTTCCCACACGACAAAGACTTCATCGACTGGTGCCAGGTCCTGGTCTGACCACCCTGAACTTTTCTTTCCCACGGATTATCTCGTTTAAACTGTGCATTATGCGGTGGATAAGGTGAGGTTTAAGCAATTGTTTAAGGGTAAAAAGTATTCCATACATAGGTTTAATTCAAAAAAACGTGAACAATATAGATATTATTCTTAATTTTGGAGGTTTTTTGGAATTTATTTATTGATTTCAAGTTGGTATTCACCATGAATTGACATTAGTTGAGAAACCATTTCAAACTTTGGGAGCATGAGGCAGCTGTTTTGTCTTTGTATGGGGCTCATCAGCAGTGCACACCTATGAAATTATTTTGTTCATTTTTTTTTAATAATTCGCTTTCATCTTAACAATAGTGGATTGCTGTTGAATGAATAAATTTTCTCTAAAAAAAACGACTGTGGCAAAAGCACTTACTGAATTAAAAGATGATAATTGGGTTTTACCTGTGGTAAATGTAGCCGCTATCGATTTAAGACGATTTGCACATGGTTTGGATTCTAAATTCACTTCACAATCAGAAAATTCTCGTAATCAAGGAAGACGAATGGAGAATGCTGCCCAACTTATCTTGAGATTATTTCAAATATGTGCAAGTGATAGGTAAGTAGCATTGTTTGTTGTATTGTGTGACCAAGTAATTATATTATTATTATTATTATTTGTTTTTTGGGTTCCTAGTGGAATATAGGGCTTCAGTAACAGTAACGTCGCCATTTCACTCTGTTCTCTGAAGTCTTTTGAAACTGACGTCACGACTACCCACAAGCTTTCATTTCTTCCTCACACCATCTACTCCACGTCACCCTCAGCTGAGATGCCCAACTCTTCGTTTCCCCTTTGGATCCCACTCCACGCCGTGGACTGGGGCGTGATGTCCCCAATCGACCTTCTCAGTGCATGCTCAATCCATCTCCACTTTCTCCTGCATATTTGTTGGGCGATAGGTTTCTGGTGGGTTGGTCTGCTCCCAGCCGGAGTGAGTTATTTGTGGTTTATTCTTTCTGGCCATCTGATCTTCAGTATCGAGCTAACGTAGGCGGCGGCTGTTCATGCATGTTGTCTGCAGTTTGTTGGAAATGCTTTTCATAACGTGCCAAGTCTCTCAACCATCAAATAGAAGCACTGACTTGACATTGTCAATGTGATTTATAAAAAAGCGTTGCATTGACTTATGAAGCTGCAGCTCAGCGATTTAGGGAGATGACTATGAACTAATGGGTCGTGGGTTCGAACCCCACTCCACCTTCAGCTGCTTTGCCAACCAGGTAGTATCGTTGGCTGCTCTCACACAACAGGTGTGTGGTTCATTGCCTACTGCATAGAGAATGTGCACAAGGTAGTTGAGTGTGTTCCGTCTCCGTTTTTTTCCCGTAGGATTCACTATTCAAGTTTATATTGAAGAATAAGTAATCGTGAGATAATTGAAACTAGGTATAACAATGAATCACTTGAAATTGATACACCATTAACAGTACAATAAAGCATAGAACTGTGGTCGAAAAGCAAGACATGTGGTTGGATTGATAATAATTAAACATAGGTGCAGAGGTTATGGCATATTGATGTATTCAGGTTTAAACGAATTGGTCACAAAACAACAACAGATGTAGTTTTGAATTCCTGGATATAATAATGATTTAACTCAACCCAGCACAGTTTTATATACTGGACTATAAAGCATAGTAATTGTGTTGAGGTTCATCATACTATTCTTAGTTGCTTATACGGAAGTAGGCAGAGCGGCGTTTCAACCCTGTGTCATTTGGTCACAGGATGAATTCTTAAGCTGACGGGCCAAACGAATTTGTATATACACTGAATAGCTGATTGTGGTGATCTGGCCCATTGATGATTTAGGGAGATAACTTTCAATTAATAGGTCACGATTTTGAACCCCCCTCCACCTACAGATGTTTAGGTAGCCAGGTAGTAGTATCAGTAACCACGTTCACACAATAGGTCTGTGGCTCACTGCCTACTACACAAATATGCACAGGGTTTTTAACTGCATTTCGATTCCATTTTGAGTAGTTGATTGCAGTCTATTCGTCAAGTTCGCAATGTAGCAAGCAGGCTTAGTTATGTGGGGCTGGATTCAGGAACTTGTATGGATTGAAGGTCTCCTTCCTTTGCCTTTGATTCATGTTTCCTGATAGCGGGAAATTGACCAGGTGGTTTGGTTTTTCATCACCGATGTGGACGAAATATACTAATGAACGACATGAGTAGCTAGAAATTTTCCAGGCTGATTTGTAAATTTCCCCAGTTAGCGAAATCAAATTAATCTAAACGCCGGAGAGCCATTTAATCCATCTGGGACCAAGCTCATCAGTAGTGTGCCTCAAGAAATTGTTCAAATCAGCTGGTGAAGTCTACAAATCAGCCTGAATGGTTTCTAACTACTCAAGTTGTTCAAATCACACCTTTTAGTCTTACCTGGCGGTTGGTTTTTTCGACGAAAACTGTATTGACTGACTGGCATCAGAGTTGAACAGTTGAGAAATTGCTCAGCTATAAAAAAAATGTCAACGTGGATTAGACAGTTTGTAAATCATTTGCAACTTGGTGTTAGAAACATCATTATTTCCTGGAAAATTTAAAACCACCACAAAATTTTGTATTTCACTGTGCAAACTTGTACAACGACTGGTCTCATTGGCTAAGTCATTGTAGTCAATACTTGTAAATGCGTACGACTGTTGCTCTGTAGCATTATCATCATCGTCATCGACAATTGAAGTGTTAAATATGCTTTCAGGTTAGTATTCATTATGGATAGACATCAGTTGGAGAAACATTGGAAACCTGAGAGCACTGGACAACAGCTATTTCATCCCACTAGTATGGGGCTCCTCAGCAGTGCACACCCCATGACCCCATCCCACCTCTCCAGGAATACAAACCAGAACCTCCAGGTTTTCGCAGCCAACTCGTCACTATTGATCCACTGGGTTGTAATCCAGTGGTTCATATTTCCTACTTCTGTCAGTTCACGATATAACGTGACCTCTATCCAATGCAGTGGTTGAGTAACTGTCCTTATGTTCGACTTGGTTGACCCCACTGGTCACCACTTGTGTTGAGTCTCCCATCTTTCGGCTGTACTGTATTGAAGAATCTAGGTGAATATAGACAACAAGGTTATTAACAGTAACTGTTCATCTATCAAATACTCAATCACCTAGTTCAACCTAGTTCTGATTCGGAGCTTTCATGACTGTTACGAAATACCGATGTCTTATCTATTCGGATCGTGTTATTTTGTAGTGATGACTATCACTCGAAATACAATAGCAAGTATACGGTAGCACTGCATCTGTCTAACGTTGATATACCTACAGCTTAACGGTTAACATTTTGTCGTGTGAAGTAATGACTCTTCAACCAAAATCTGAATAGCGCTCATCATCAAAATCAACGTAGGACCAGGCATTACTACATAACAGCTCAAATTGTCACACACACACACAGATGCCTCATATCAACACATTAAGCAACAACGCAATAAAATGCTGGATGAAGAAAGAAGAAAACATCTATCAAACTGAGTAGAAAGTAGTAAAAGAGAGGAAAAAGAAATGGTGATTTTAGTGTATTACTTCTAAGCCATATCCCCTAATGTCTCAAACCATTGGTTTCTATTTTCACGTAGACTTCAACTAGCTAGTCTGCGTCGTTGTAAATGGCTCAAACCAACAATCAATGACTTCATGTACTGATGCCATGTTTTAATCTGACCGCCTCGATCTTGCCTGAATTTACTTCAGCTAATGAGGCACGATGAGGCAGACGGTGGTCTAGGCATGCATAACACATGTCCCAGCTTAGCTATCTCAGTCGATGAAGGTTCACAACCGTATCAACTGTCGTTTTACCTCTCCTGATTGAAACTTTACACTTGAATTCTGCGCTACTCACAACCTTAATGGCCTTAGAAACAATCTAATATTTAGCTGTCAAATTCTAAAGTAGAACAAAAGTACTACTCAGTCTACTAATGAAGAAATGTTTCCTTTATTAACGTTTGCTGTCTTAGACTTTTCATCGCTTTACCAATTGAACTGACTGATAATTGTTCAATTTTTTACCACTGTTGTCTTCGCAGCATTACTCATGGATAGTGGAATCACTGTATGAGCAATATCAAGGTTAGGCGAAAAGTTATTAAGTCATTAAATGGAGGTATGAACCTTCACTGACTAAGTTGGCTTGAACATGTGTGGTGCAGGCGGAGTCATTGCCTATCTACGTGGAATGTTAATCGACGTAGGTTAGAGGTATGGGAATGATAGAAGAAGCTTAGATTGACCATACTAAGCAAGACTTTGATTGTTGGTGTAGACTGTGACTGGAGACAATAGGAGTGAATAGTTGGAGACTGTTCGTGAGATAGCTGAAAATCGTTCATAATGACGCTAGATGTATTTACTACTCTTTGACATCTTCTGAAGTTTGTTCATTAACCTTCAATGATGTACGGTTCTCTTTCTTCGCATCTACCTTTGTCTGCTATGATATCCAGGACTCACGTTTCTTCCTACTTGGAACTTGTCAGCTAAATGTATCTATCTCTCGGTTAGTGATGTTGTTCCCACCAAGACTGGAACTCAGAACCAATATCTTCAAACAGCAGAACGTTGTGCATTGTGTAACTGAGTCACAAGAACCACTTCTTGTGTGATGGCTATGGACTTGTTTGGATGTTATATGGAGGCATCCACCCAGGAGCTCATTTGCAAATAGTGCCCGGTGTAGCAATATGCACCGTTAAGCAGTAATGCCAGGTGTCATGTTGCTATGTATATATAATATAAGGCAACCGCCTGAGCTATAAATGCTACCCTAATGTGATGGTCCACCTTGTATATCACGATGACCCAACGAGCTATGCTGATGGAACACTTGTTCCCTCAAGGTCCTACCATACCAGAAAGGTCTGTTGCATAGTGGTTAGACAAAATGCAGTTACCTTTATCCTAACATCCTCTTAAACAAAGAGTTGATGCATTACGATGACTTAGATTAGTCATCAGTGATTAGTGGTGATGCGAAACCACAGGACGTATGTTCAACTACACCTTCCGTAATACAGGCCAATCTTCGTGGCATCATAAATACCCTACGTGACTGGTATCTAGCAGATATCTCCTGGGCTCTGCAGTCACGCACTAACAGTTCTTTTCCAGGTACCTCAAGAAGATCTAGTCTTCCATGGTGTGGGTAGCCGGGAATTGTCAACCACTCTCACAACTCTGTCAGCGCTGAAGTTCCTTCAGACCACTGTCCCCCTCTCATTCTTACCTTTTTAATCTTCCTTCACGTCTCTCAGTTAACAATCCTACATCATTAATTTCTTCCAGCTCTAAAGCTTCCGAAAACGATCTGAGTCCACAGTCTGTAGGCCCATGGTGAGATATCGAATGAGTCGTGTACGTCGAGCGGTATTCATCAACGATGCCCACTCTCTCTACTCCTGTTCACTTTTATCATAAACTTTCTTATAGATGTCTTTCTATCGTCATCTCACCACACAGGGGTTGACCTGATCACAGGAAAATTGTTGGTAGACCTAGATACGCAGATGACATAGTCATTTTAGGTGAAGACGCTGACAAGATAAAAAGTCTTCTGGACACCTTGAGTGGCAGTTTGAGAATGTTTTGGATGCGTTTCACGCCACCCAAATGCAAATTGTTGCTCCAGGGCTGGTCTTCAACAATACCCTGGCTAACAATGGAGAGTGAAGTGATTGAGCGTGTTGAACACTTCACTTACCTAGGAAGTCGGATCAGCCTTGATGCTTTGTTAAGTGGCCGACGAAATCTCCGCATGGATACAAAAGGCTCGGTTGGATTTTGCCAACTTATACCATCTTTGATGCCGCTGCGATATCCAATTGTCTACTAAGGATCGAGTGTACTATACTGCAGTCCGCTCTGTTCTCTATGGCTATGAAACATAGGGAATAAGGGAAGACAACATAAATGGGCTTCAGGCTTTTTCTCCACCGTTGCCTCCATAGCATAGATCGCGTTTCGTGGTGTCACCACGTACATGGGTAACGCAGAAGTCAGTTGTAGAGTTTTAGTCAGAAGAGGTAAGATGACAGTTGATGTGGTTGTGAACCTTCATCGACTGAGACAGCTAGCTGGGACATGTGTTACATATGCCTAGCCACCGCCTGCCTCGTAGCACAATGTTTGCCAAAGTAGGTTCAGGTTGAGAAAAGGCTCGAGGCGGCCAGACTAAAACATGTCATCAATGCATGAAGTCCTTGACTGTTTGTTTGAACCATGTAGAGATATACAGACTAGGCGGTTGGGGTCCGCGGGACAAGAGAAACCAACGGTTGGAGATTCTAAGTGATATGGCTGAGAACCGATATCAGTGGTGCAGATGTATACACACATTATCCTCATCTTAACCGCTATATTTAATGTCATCGTTTTCTCATTCCTTCTTCATCTTCCATTTCATTGCTTTGTTTACTTGATGTGGTAACTTGGACCGTTACACAGTAATCCCTGATCCTATGTTGATTATGATGATGAGAGGCCGATGCATTCGATCTCATCATCGATCAGAAATTCCAAGTTGTAACATCTAAATCATATTATACCGATCACACAAGAAGTGGCCTAGTGGATAACGCCTAGGTGTCTGAACTCCTTGAACCTGAGCCCGAATCCTGGAGGGAACAAAAATTACTCACTTGGTGGGTGGCAGACATATCCAGCTGATAAGCTTCAAGTAAGACGAAACGCGCATTCTGAATTCCACTACTATCCTCTACCAATCATTTATATTAGAATTATATTCATATTAGTAATCATATAGTGGTTATTGTTGATCAAATGAAGTCTGTTCATACATTCATCATTGATCATTAAGTTACTGGTTCTAATTCCTTCTCAATTTATTTTAGTCGTACACAAATTGAAGATTCAAAAAAGCTTGGAATGATGGGTTTAGCTAATCAACTCTTCAAAATATATTTCCAAGTAAGATATTCTATTATTATTATTATTATTATTATTATTATTATTATTATTATTATTATTATTATTATTATTATTATTATTATTATTATTATTATTATTGACGATGATGATGACGCCTACTCACTCATCCTACTGGTATCATTTATCATTATGCATATATTGTTCTTCATAGATTAATAAATTGAATTTATGCAAGTCTATGATTCGCGCAATTGACAATTTAAACATGAATGATCGTTTCAGTCTGGCACAACGTGTCACTTATTGTTATTATGTTGGAAGGAAAGCAATGTTCGATGGAGATTTTATATCTGGTATGTTTCAATGTATGAATAAAGTGATAGATTTTTATGATTAGCCGTACATCTTTTTATTACTTGTATTATTCTATTGTTGATTGGACTATATTGATCGGTCTGTATTGTCATATTAATCTCCTGCGTAAATACTTCGATATAGTTTGTTGTTTCAATCTTGTAGTAATGTGGGATAGTGACTGGTATTGGAATCCAGAATATACATTCCGTCCACTAAGAATCGAACCTGGGACGGATCACTTTAAATGCCACCTAGGCCAATAGAGACCGATCAATTTGGTTGAATCAACGATGGGATAATACAAGTAACAGCTTAAAAACTACTGATATCCATTGCACAAGAAGTGGATATCGCGACTCGATATCAGTCTGGTGTTTGAAGCGATCGGTCCCGGGTTTCAGTTAGAACAACACCGCTCACTGAGAAGCAGATAAATCCAGTTGACAAGTCTCAAGCAGAACGAAATCCACATCTTGAATTCCACTGCTAGACACTACCGTTCGTTATTATCAAGTTCCTTTCGAAACAGAAAAGATAAAGACAACCTTAATTTGATGCCTTGATTCTGTCTTATAAGAAAAGATTGTTTACATTTTTAGATAATTCTCGTGCATAGATAATGTATGAAAATAAATTAGTTCCATAATCTTTTCCCTCTAAAACATGCCTATGAGTGTAATTGTTTCCAAGTTGTATGAGAAACAATTCTTGCCTTATAAGTAGACGAGATAAGTACTACAAATCAATATAAAGAAGTAGGAAGATGTGAACCAAAATTTGCTTTACCACTGACTAAAAGATGATGTACTTACTACAAAACCTGATAATTCTGAACCATCATATGTCATGGGATTATGACATCAACTTTGTGTACACTTGTAAAATAGGCAATAAATCACATCTATTGTGTGTAATGACGACTAATGATATTACCTGGCTACACAAACCTCAGTAGATGAGACCAGTTTTTGAACCATCTATCCCACTGGTTAAAAGTCAACTCCGTAAAACCAACAAGCTACAACTCCACAAGATTATAAATGATCTCTGCTGTTGAATACCAAAATAAGGATGAAGCAACTGTTTTTAAAAAACAATATTCATCAAAAAAGCCTTAATCGTGTACTTTATTTCAGTGTAATGAATGTTTTGCTCTTTTAATGTCCACTTCAGCTTCCCCTGGGTTCCTAGTGGAACATAGGGCTTCAGTAGCACACCTCCATTGCACTCTGTCCTCTGCAGTCTTTTGAATCTGGCGCCACGACTGCTCACAAGCCTTCACTTCTTCCTTACATAATCTCCTCCATGTCACCCTCGCACGCCCAACTCGTCGTTTCCCAGTTAGGTTCCACTCGAGTGCCTAGGGCGTGATGTCCCCACTCGGCCTTCTCAGTGTATGCCCAATCCAATCCATCTCCACTTTCCGCTACATATTTTTTGGGTGATAGGTTCTTGGTTGGTTCGTTCTCAGAGTTCCTTGTTGCTTATTCTTTCTAGCCTTGTCATCTGATCTTCAGTATCGAGCCAAGCGTAGGCAGCAGCTGTTGATGATGCATGTCTGTAGTTTGTTGGAAACGCTTTTCGTGACACGCCAAGTTTCTGAACCATATAGCAGCACTGACTTAATTGAATTAGTGTTGAAAATCCGGATTTTGTTCTTTGTGCTGAGTGCAGATCTCCACACTGATTTCAGGTTAATGAAAGCCTGTCTTGCTTTTCCGATCCTGGTTTTGATATCCTCGTCTGTGCCGCCGCCTGTAGTGGAAACATTGCTGTCTTGCCTAGGTAGGTGAAAGAGACTAGTTCCTTTAGGTTTCTCCCGTTGATGGTGACTGGTGCCTGTTGTTGATGCTGTTGTTGGTTGGGTATCTTCATCACCTCCGTCTTCTTTACATTCACTTGAAGTCCCGTCTTCGCTTCCCTGCCTCTTCTGCCAACTTGTTAGTTTTCGCCTTTAGATCTTCGAGTTTATGCGACATTGGACACAAATCATCATGGGTGAAACCCGAATCTTCTAGGCTCTTTTCATCAGTCCAGCGTATGCCCATCTTCTCGCTCCTCACAGTTTGTTGCATGATCCAGTCCACCACAATCAGGAAGATCATGGGTGATAGTAGGCTGTAGTCTTGTCTTACTCCTGTCTTCTCTTCAAAGGCATCACTGAGCTTTCCATTGTGAATCCCTCGGCATGTGGCGTCTTCATATAGCTGTTGAATGAAGTTGATAAAGGTTTGTGGCATCCCGTAGTGTTGAAGCAACTGCCAAATTACTTCTCAGTCGACGCTGTCGAATGCCTTTTCAAATTGGATGAAGATGGGGTAGAGAGTTGACTGCCATTCTATACTCTATCTAATGATGATGCGAAGCGTCGCAATTTGATCCCCATATGATTTGTTTTTCTTCAACCCAGCCTGTCCTGGTCTTAATTTTGAATCCAGTGCATCTTTTAGTCTCTCCAGGATGATGCTTGGGGTGGACGGGAGCATGATTCCTCACCAGTTCTTGCAAAGACTTAGGTCTCCCTTTTTGGAAGTTTGCCAATGTACCCCTTCTTCTAATCTGCAGGTACCTTCGCTGCTTTCCAAACCTTCTGCAGTAGTGGTGTGAGCATGTCCGCTTTTGTCTTTGAGTCTGTTTTCAGTGCTTCTGGCAGAATTCCTTCTGGTCCTGCTGCTTTCCTTAATTTCAGCAGTTTTATGGCATTCAGGACTTCTGCTTTTGTTGGAGGGCCTGTGTTCATTGGTAGTTTTGTGGCTGGACTGCTGGTGGTATTTCTGGATGAGTTGCAGGTGGTGGTGGTCGATTCAAGTGTTTTTTGAGGTGGTCAGTCCATTGTTCCCTTTGTTTCTCCTCTTTGGTAAACCATCTGGTAGTAAGGTTTTAAATCTGCTTTTTCACTTATTCATTGTGAACTTTTTATAAACTGACCTACGAGAACTTATATCCTGGTTGAATTTTTTTTAACAATTCCTGGTTATCAGAATATGTATACTTATGTTTCTCTACTTTCTCATATGGTTTCTTAGAGGTTAGATACAGGTGTTTAAATCTCACGTCCGATCTTCTGCATTTAACCGTTCGTCGGTACATTCTACCGTTTTTGTGGTTAGCTTACAAACTAGTTCTAGTTATTGCACTTTTTTTGGAGTTATCTTAATCGAAATGTGTTCCTCATTCATCTGAAGAGTTCTAATAGTCTATAGGATTATCTTTCAGACATTTCTTAGACACTTTAAGGTGGTTTGGGACTGTAGAAACTATAACGGAGGATGATACTAACGGATGACTTCAGGTGTTTGACCACTGGTGCCTTCGTAGTATAGACCGTATTCCGTGGCGTCATCACGTGAGTAACGCAGAAGTTAGATATAGAGTCTTAAGCAGAAGCGGTAAGAAAGTTGATGAAGTTGTGAACCTTCATCTGCTGAGATGGCTGGTTGGGACATGTGTTACGTATGCCTAGTGGCTGCCTGCCTCGTCACACACTATTGACCGAAGTAGGTTCAGGTTGGGAAAAGGCTCAGAGAGAGGGGGACATAGTAAAACATGGTATCAATATATGAAGTCGTTGACTGTTGGTTTGAGCCATGTAGGGTGATGCCGATTAGCCAGTTAGTGTTCGCCGGACAAGAGGAACCAGTGGTTGGAGACTCTAGGTGATATGGCTCAGAGCCGATGTTAGTGGCGCAGATGTATATACACATTATCCTCATCTTAACTCTACACCCAATCTCACCATTTTCTCATTCTTCACTTCTATCTTTTCGTACTTTATATTTCTTTTGACCGAATTTTCTTTTCCTCATTTTTCACTACACTGCCTTTTTTACTTGATGTACCGATATGAGCTGTGGCAACTCGTAACGTTACTCAGTAATGCCTGGTCCTATGCTGGTTTGGATTAATGGACGGTTTTACTATCTTTCTTATACATCGAGAACATTCCTTTGGTGAATAACTGTTTTGCTATTAGGTGTAAATATTTGCAATCCTCACAGCTAATTACATAACAGTTGACATAATCACTCAATAGCAATTAATGATTAAGTCGTGAGCAGTAGGGCTAACCAAGTTGAACATGATGACAGTTACCTAACCATGGCATTGGATGAAGGTCATGAACTGATAGGAGCAGGAAATATGGACCATTGGAATCCGACCCAGTGGCTTAATGGTGAAATGTTAATTGCGGAGACCTGGGACTCCATGGTTTGATTACTGGAGAGACGGGGTCATGAGTGCCCATTGCTGAGGAGTCCCGTACTAGTGGGACGCAACAGCTGTTGTCCAGTGCTCTAAGGTTTTGAATGTTCGTTCAACTGATGTCAGTCCATGATGAATCCCAACTTGAAATAATTGAAAAGCTAGCCTTTTTTCACCGTTTTTTTTCCCCTCTTGTTTTTTAGCGGATAAATCATTGACCTTCGCTTTTGAACGTTGTTTGAATACAAAATGGAATAATAAACGCTTGATATTAATTTATTTAATACCTGTAAAAATGTTACTAGTAAGTAGATTATTGTTAAAATTGTAATTCATTGATATAAAAAGAAACCGTTTATGTGTATTATCCCGTTTATTTTTTTAAAGAAAAGGCAATATACCTAAAGGTTTTTGCACCGTTGTGACATTCGATTGGGTGCATTGTGGTACAGTTCACTCTGTTCTACTGTATGGTTGTAAAAGATAACCATTAAAGGTAGAAGACACAAGAAGGCTTCAGTTGCTTGATCACTGTGTCGTAGTGGCACCACGTCAATAACTCAAAATTCAAGTGTAGAGTTTTAGGGAGAAGAGAAGTCAGTAGATGCGCCTTATGAACCTTCATCGATCCAAATAGCTCATTGGAACATGTGTTACGTATGTATAGTCACTGTCTACTTGATCGTACAGTGTCAGCTGAAAGAAAGGTTGTGGCACTGTAACTGAAAGATAACATCAGTGTATAATAATTGGTCTGAGTGACGTTGGCAAATGCAGACTAACTAGTTAAGATCCATATGACAACAGAAGCCAATGATTAGAGATTCTAAGTTATGATATGCTCAGTTCAATAACAACTATGGAATCCACGATACGCATTTCGTTCTATTTGGGACTCGTCAGCCGGATGTACTTGCACTCCAGTGAGTAAGTGTTGCTTCTACTTAAACCGAAACCGAATAATCTTTGTTTCAAATGCCAAAAGTCGTTATCTAAAGTTTATTAATTGTTGTTTTAGTAATACACTTATAGTTTTCTATTGTTATATTGAGTGTTGAATTACTGTCAACTTGTTTTCATTCTTTTATTCTGTATTTTAGGGAGTATTACCTAAAGAAAATCTTTTATTTAAGTATAACTTGAAACAATTTCAAGATATTGCTGAAGCAGTCAGGTAAAATAAGTATACACTCTTCACTTTCTTTCTTGTAGAACAGGAAATTTGCGTAAAATGGATTCAGCTTTAGAAGAGCATGAAACATTCTTTTTATCTTGTGGAGTTTATTTAATCTTAGAAAAATTAAAGTTGATTGTTTATCGAAGTTTATTTAAACGTGTGTAAGTAAAACTGTTTATTGTTGAGTTGATTTTTCTTTCTTTTATCTGTTTTGTCATCAATTTGATTTATCATTATTATTATTATTATTATTATTATTATTATTATTATTATTATTATTATCATTATCATTATTATTATTATTATTATTTGTCCCTTGGGTTCCTAATGGAACATAGGGCTTCAGTAGCACGTCTCCAGTGATTTCTGTTCTCTGAAATCTTTTGAACCTGGCTCCACGACAGCCCACAAGCTCGCATTTCCTCCTCTCACTATCTCCTCCATGTCACCCTCGCCATCGACACCCAACTCGTCGTTTCCCATGCCGGTTCCACTCGAGGGCCTGACGCATGATATCTCCAGTCGGCCTTCTCAGTGTATGCCCAATCCATCTTCACTTTCTTCCGCATATTTGTTGGGTGATAGGTTCTTGGTTGGTTCGTTCTCAGAGTTCCTTGTTGCTTATTCTTTCTGGCAATCCATCTGATCTTCAGTATCGAGTGAGCATAGGCAGCAGCTGTTGATGAATGTCTGAAGTTTGTTGGAAATGCCTTTCGTAACGCGACAAGTCTCTGAGCCATACAGGAGCACTGACTTGACGTTGGTGTTGAAAATCTGGATGTTGTTCCACATGCTGAGTGCAGTGGAGTAGATCTCTACACTGGTTTCAGGTTAATGAAAGCCTGTCTTGCTTTTCCGATTCTAACTTTGACATCCTTGTCTGATTTACTTTTATAAATAATCCTTTCTCTTTTTAGATGTTATATTATGAAAACACATTTACTACCAATTGAAGTATTCACTGCTGCATTACATTTAATGGGGGTAAGATCATAATATTAGTGTATTGAATTCATTCTGATGATATTTGAAGGACTAATTTACCAATTGCTTATAACTCTATCTGGTTGCAACTATCTTCAAACACAAAATACATTGTATTCGGAATTAACACTGAACTTGAACGTGATTCGCCTAGTATATACCTACCCAGTCTCTTTACTCAATTCACCCTCCCCCTGACACACACACATACATGATGATTCACGGAATTCTGCTCTCCCAACAGAATTTGTGAGGATTGGCTTCTGACCCAGTGGCTCAATGGTGACGTGCTGGCCACTGGACCTGAAGGTCGCGGGTTCGATCGCTGATGGTGTGGGGTCGTGGTTGCGTCTCATACTAGTGGGACGAAATGGCTGTTTTCCAGTGCTCCCAGGATTCTAATGTTCTTCCAACTCATATCAATCCATGATGAATACCAACTTGAAAAAAAAAAGTTTAGTGCTTACTGTCCAGACAAACAAATTAAGCGCATCAGTTGAGGTTGCTACACTTCCCCTAGCATTGTTCCACGTTGAGGTAAGCGGTGGCTCTCTATGTACTGTATGTGTAAAAGCCACCTTAATCGACTAAGGTTTATTACCTCATCAATCGAATTGCCTGTGTTGCTTAGTACCCTTCACCTGACGTCAACACTGCTCACGTGATAATTCCACCAAACGTGAGCATTGATACGAAGACATCTATGATCAAATCTGTGTAACCGTTTCATGTCTCCTATTTTCAGCGGGCATATTTCACTCATATAAGAGGACAGAATGAACTGCAAAGCAATATACCTATCCGATATGATTACATTGACAAACGGAATATGATTCTTTACAACCTTGATCTGTCAACACAATGAAAGGGTTTACTTCAATTAATGAAACTTATCAACACACGCTTATAGCTCATTGATTCATCAATAAAAGGAATGTTCCATTGTGGCAGATAAATAAGTTAGCTCATTGACACCTAAAGAATAACCAATGAGAAATTAGGGTCATTAGAAGCGAAAAAGGGAAATTACAAGTTTTACTAGACAGGTTTTACAAATATAAACAATAAATGTTCATTTCTAGAGGTTCAAAATCCTCAACACACCTATGTATATACAACTTTCTATATTACACCTAATGTTTGAGAATAAACTAGTTGGAGGACCATTGAAAATATGGGAGCACTCGACAACTGTTTTGTACTAACGTGGGACTCCTCAGAAGTATGCACCCATAACCTGTTGGGGGATCGAACTCAGGACCTTCTGGTTTTACGGCGAACGCGTTAACCATTCACCTACTAATGAATACTACCTAAAAATTAAAATCCTTATTCATCTCAAAAAATACATTGCTGTATTGTGCTCATTAGTGACATGTGGGATCAACCAGTCAAAAGAGAAACGGATGCCAACTGAAGACCTTCGTGGATAGTCGCGTTATACTGCTAATTGATAAAAGTTGGAAATGTTGAACACATTGAACTCCAACCAGTGGCTGAATGGTTTCAGTGTTCGCCGTGAAACCTGAAGGTCCTGAGTTTGACCCCTAGTGAGACGGGATCGTAGGTGTGCACTGCTAAGTAATCCCATCCTAGGATGAAACGGCTATCCAATGCCTCAAGGTTTCCAATGGTTCTCTAACTGATATTAAAATAGTTATCCAGGCTGTAGTAGGTGAAATAGTTTACAAACTATAATTTCCTAGTTGATAATCCAACGTTTAGGTTATTATAGCATAGAAGGATGATTATGCCAAGTCATTAATACAAAATACTAATATATATCAGCCAAATAGTTGAAGTAATCAGTTTATACTCACAATTATAAATCACTAACTTTTGTACAGTCTTTATCTGTGCAATCGTTTTTCTAGCTGATATAACGAATATAAGCGTATAGATTGTGTTGTATATTTCTTTTCTCTCTTTTATATTTTGTAAGCAGGTTGAAGATGTCGATCCAGACGAAACAGAATGTATTCTAGCCAACCTAATTCATGAGGTAATCAACATTTAACTCTACATTTGAATTGTTTCTTCCTTTGATATAACATTTTCTTTTTTTTTCTAATTGATAAAGAGAAAGGCATAGTTAACAGTGGAATCTAGGAAACGTGTTTCATCTTCTTCAGGACTTGTCAGTTTAATGTACATGCATCGAAATCCACTCAGCAACGTTGTGCTCATTTGGGCAGTAGGCAATTGGCCACACCTATTGTATGAGGGTCAATGTTACTACTAAGTGTATGTCGAAACCTCGGTAAGCAGATCAGGGCTCGAACTCATAACCCATTATTGGTTGAAGGTTATCTCTTCAAATCAGTGAACTACAGAAGATAAATGTTAGTCATATCATTTCTCTCACTGGATGTACTTCTAAGCGATATCGGATAGCATTCTCAAGCCACTGAATGGTATGATATTTTACAATACTCAATGCTTATTTTCTCAGTGATATCCCATAAGCCACATTTAGTGAGTGTACATATATGACCAGCAGCTGGACGGTTTCCACTAATAAATAAATCAATATTTCCCCTAAGTAGTATCTATCCTTTGTGAAAATATGCTTTGAAATAAATGACCTTCTTACTTGTCAGCTCACTATAAACTACTGAGTTTGCTGTAGGCAGCCAGTCGTTAAGGAAGCCCTGTTTGGCCTAGGTTTCATGCTCGCTTTCACTCGTCAGGAAGGTGTATTTACAGCTTTTACAGGGGGCGGGGGAACTGATCTCGTCGAGATTCTAATCAGCAGCGCTATAGTCACACATGTTACCACTGAGCTATTTGGGTCACAACTGACCTCCTATAAAACTGGATTGGTCATTGGCTGTACGCCTTGCCGACTACTATTAAAAACCACGAGAATTGCCGTTTTGTCTACAGGCATCTAGGATCAGTGAAAATGCACTATAATGGTTGGTCTGTTGGCTTAGTGGATTCATCTAGCACTTGGCACTAGCTAGATAGCATGAAATCGGTTACTCTCCAGTGATCAGTCAGTGTGAAGAGTATTGAGGCATAAATTTATTTCTGCTTAAAAGTATATTGATACATTGGGGAGCTGATAATCAGCTCTGCTTTTATACTCTTACCCGAGGTAGTAATAGTCCTAGTATGTGACTCCGCAGCAGTAAGCATGTGCTAGGATGAAACAGCCGTCCAGTGCTGACATCTCTTCGTCAGTTCTCTTCAACTGATATCAGTTTATGATGAATACTACGTTACAAATAAAAATACCACCTTATTTCTTCACACCCAATAAGATCATAACAAATCCGGCCAACCAATAGAAGTAAAGTAACAAGATCGCACTGGAAATATTTCAACTACTTATAAGTAGTATAGTCAAATAATGCTAAGTTAATTTTAAAATCAATTAAGTCGATATATCATTTAATTCTATAAGTGAACAAAAAACTTTTCTTTTTCCATGTAGGGTAAAATCAAAGGTTATCTGGCACATCAACAGCAAAAATTAGTTGTTAGTAAACTTCAAGCATTCCCTCCGCTTACAAGTAGTATGGCAAGTAGTTTAAAATGAAGCTGAACGTCATCATATTGTATTTTGTAAAAAATTTGTTTTTGTGTCTACAAATGTCATGTACAAAGTTTATCTTACTGTATTTTGAAATATATATATATATATATATATATATATATATATATATATACTTTCGTATAAATCCATGCTTTCCCTATTTATAAGCTGTGCATCATTGGCTTAGGCAGTTGACTTTCAACCAAGTGGTTCACGGGTTCAGATACCGCTCCATCTACTGAGGTTTGGATAACCAGTGTCATCAGGCCTTACATAATAGATGTGTCTGAAAGAATGCACAAAAGGTTTCTGAGTGTTTTTCGTTTCGACATAGACATATCCACTTGACGAACCCTTAATAGGATAAAAATGAGCGTCCTAGATTTCAATGTTAGCCATCATCATCACTATCTTAAACAACATAGTTTCGGTGACATTAGTGAAATGTTAAGTTGCGTTTTTTTTCAACTTTGAAAAGCATGACTGCTTGAGGGTTCAACATCTGGCAAGTTAGAGGTATTTCACTACTTGTTATTTTGAAGGTATCACTCAATCAACTGAGATAAGAAGATGTGTAATGCATGTTGACAGATATATTAGAGCTAGTTGGAAGTACAGTTAGGCAAGTCCGTCGTCGAATCGCCGAGCATCATCCTTCATGGCTAAGTAAGGGGGAAACCAGATTGACACGAAGCTCAATACTATCTCATCTGATTGACACCGGCCACCGAGTTAACATTCATAATGTCTTTAAAGTTATTTATCACATTCCTTCTCACCTCACCCATCCTCTACGAGTTCGTCTTTTACATACAACAAAAGCCATAGGAATCCACCTTCACAAGCCAAGTCTGTGTGTTCAGAAGAGATTCGTACAGCCTCTTTCTTTGCCTTCGCCATCTGTATAGCTTATTAGTTACAACAACACTCTTCATTTCATCCACCACACAATTCACTATAACTAATATTTTAATAGCTCCATTATTATTATTACATACTTAACCATCTTTCTCTCCCCCTGCTGTCTCTAATTACCGTCAACAACTTACCGTTTTACGTAACAGTTCATTTTTGCTCTTTAGTTATCATTATACAAAATATCAATTATGTAAGAACCTGTTCACAAAATCTTTCTACGATAATTAATCTTTGCTTTAGTTATCTGTCTTAATTACCTGATCAGTTATCACCTTCTTGATACTTTGAGATTGGTACCCTTCATTGAACGACTCTCACCACTAGATTGGTATGTAATTTTACGTTTGAAAATGCTATATTAGTGTAGAGCCATTGATGAGGAACTAATTGAAAAGAAATATTTCTTTGCTCACACTGTTTGTTTTACTAAATGTCTTAATGGGAATTTTGCATTACAGATATATTAGAGCTGTCTGGGGACTTGAATGCATAGGTTGTGTGTTTAGGCTCAAAACAGAATCGATTGGGTGGTCAATGAAGATTAATTGGTTGCAGATCAGATAATTCGGACTGTTTTCTGCAGCATTATGAGGGGTGCAACCTATTTTTGGTTAACACCAACCTCCCACACAACTAAGTCCGTTGTTCTATACGACAACCTAGTGTCACTCAAGTTTCAAATTAAGTAACTTAGTGATGTGATGAATGTATTTGGTATTACTGCTTTTTCTGGAGCAATGGCCTGAACTATGATTATTCTTCTTTGTATACCAAGTTCATCCTACGGGTTTGTTGGTGATCGAAATCGTCGCCCTGAATCGGTCGGTGTAAGCAAACTGGTTACTTCAAGTACTTCAGTTACTTATCAAGGCAAGCTAGATTCAAAGCTAGCTGTTACACTTACAGAGCTTAGATATGAGTATTGGATGCAGACAGAAAGACAATCAACGTAGAACTTCTCACAGTAGTCAATCGGTTCAAGTTGACACGCTTTACAGTAGCATGCAAATAACAAGTGAATGGAATAAGAATGATATCAAGGTGCACAAAGTAGTGTGAGAGAATCAATCAATATTCAAGGTTTAGAAGACGTCAAGGAGTCAATACACCGACCAATTTTCAGCCATGTGACCAACGGTCCTCAGCCACTGATTCCTGCTGTCTCTGGGACCCCAACCAAACAGATAGTCTACATCTCCCCACAGAGCTCAGACCGATGTCGCGTCTTAATCTGACCACGCTGAACTTTCCAACTGAACACAACTTCCTCTAGCGTGTCACGTTGAGGTAGGTGGTGGCTTAGCTGGCACACTGCATGCCCAAGCCATTTCAGTTGACTAAGGTTCACAGCCTCACCGACTGACTTGCCTTCCTTGGCTAGTAACCCTTCGCCTGACCTCGAGGTAATATAGGAAGGTGATATGGGGATAGAGAGGAATAACTAGTCCGGAAATGGACTAATCACAATGTACTTCATGTTATCACTTCTACAGTTAGGCAGACGAACGATAGATCAGCTAGTAAATAGTATTAATAACGGATGGTGGTTAGCAGTGGAATCCAGGATACGCACTTCGTCCTACTTAGGACTCGTCAGTCGGATGTACCTGCTCCCCGGTGATGTTGTTCCCTCCAGGACTCGGACTCGGGAGCGATCACTTCAGACGCCAGAGCGTGATCCACTACACAACCGAGCCAAGGGGCCACATCTGGGAAGTAGGTAAATCCAGCTGACGAGTCCCCAGCAGGACGAAGTGCACATCCTGGATTCCACTGGTAACCACGATCCATCATTAACACAATTAAAACAGGTGATATCGAGGCATATGCCAATAGAGACCGATCAATTCGGTCCAATCAACGATGGTTTGATATAAAGACAGTTATAGTAACCAACAGTATTATTTTAAACACTTAACTATCTATAGATTAGCTGTAATTTCCTTTCTTTTGCTCCTTCGGTCTTTCGACTCCAATACACGTTAATACACTTCAATCATATCTTCACTAATCAGTAGTGTTGAGAATCAACTAGCAATTTATTGAATGTTTGTGACTGACAGTCGGTATCTGTGATTCGTTGGTGGTCACAGTTTCCAAATTTTAACAGTGACAACAGAAATGGGATATCAGAAAATAGATTCTTCGAAGTTGAACAATTCCCTCAAACAACAAACCAAGATTATCGAGACACTTGCGCAATCCAAAATTCATAGTACTGAATCATCACCTACTACGCCAGTTTTAATAACTCCTTCAATTGATGGCATCTCCAATAACATCACTGAATTTCACTACAATCCTGATACCAATCACACTTTCAACAGTTGATTCAGGCGTTTCGAGGACTACAAGAAAGTGGATTTTTCTGGCCAAGATAATTCCTGGAAGGTACTTCTCCTACTTGGAAAGCTTGGTCCACCTGACCTGGAATAATATTGCAAGATGATTTTGCGACAGAACCAACCGCATATGATCGCAGTTTCGACGCTATAATCGAGATACTGAATGACGTGTGTGTGTTGAATATTGAGGAGTGGGCAACCTGCAGCTTGATACGAGTTTAATCCAGTGTGGAGGCCAGGGTTGTTGTGAAGTACATACAATTCGTCAGACATGTCATTCCTTTTCATCACCCTTATCTTGCCTGTTCATCGGCCCAGTTACTCATGCGATACCAACCGACCCTGGAAGAAGACACTCTTGTTGCCTGGCTGGCATTCTGGTGCCTGTCATTTCGTCAAATCTTGTCCACATGAATAGCTGCAACTCGCATTCTCGATCGAATATCGAGAAGTCTACTGATCCTCCGGTAAACAAGGTAAAAATTCCCTCTGCGTCGGTCATAAAGGCACAAGAAAAAGACTACAATCCAGCGTCTAACCTTAAATAATATTCTTTGGAAGAGGCTTGTGATATGGAGATTGAGAGAAATGACGAGTCTGGAAATTAAGCAATCAAAATGTGCTTCATATTATCACGTCTGTAGTTAGACAGACAGACGGTGGATCAGCCAATCAATATTATTATTTTAAACAGCGAACTATCTATATATTAGCTGTACTTTCCATTGTTTTCGACCTTCGGTCTTTCGGCCCCAACACAAGTTACTGCACGTGTATCGTGTCTTTCTCCATTAATTAGTCGTGTCAGGAATCAACTAGAAATTTTGGTGGTTGACAGTCGATATCCGTGCATCGTTAACGGCCATAGCTTACATAACAGTTATCAAATCATAACATCAGCGCTCTACACCAGGTTTTTTAATATTTCTTCAACTGATAGCAATTTGTGATGAATACCAAACAATAAAATCCACACAAACATCGAAATATCTGTCTTATTTCATTAATATTCTTAACTCATAATTTAGGCTTATAATAACCGCATTCAATGAGTTAACAGTTTGATGCGTTCCATGTTCATTCACAACATGATTGTGTGTGACAGTTACAGACATCAAGTTGTGACCTACAGCATCGACTTCCGTCATTTAGTAGGACTAAGTATCATCGCTAACCTGTATATACACCGGAATTCAAATTATACTTGTAATAATATGCATTTCTATTCAATATTTGTAATAATATATCCTTTATATAAACAAAGTAATAAAAATGGTGACAATAATATTAATAATAATCATAGGAAACTGTACATGGAAATTCTGTGGATAATAAAACGTCAAGTGTGTATATATTTTGTATGGCTTAATGATTATAAAATGATGTATTTGTTATGCTTTAAAAGTATCATGCTCAAGAATTTCAAAATGTGCGCCATGTAAATTTTTAAATAATTTAAACAAAATCAATAATAGTAATATTATGATTAGCACTGAATTAAGGCAGATAAAGTTATACATATATGTAAGAAAAGAGGAATATAGCGCACAGCCATATCAATTAAATAATGGTGCATAACTAGCCAATTAGAAGAAAATGGTGGTTGTGTGTGTGTATGCGTGCGAATAGATATATGCAGATATTCACAAGTAAACAGATATGATGTGGATATTATAGATCTCTGTATTGCAGTAAAACTTTTGGTTTCCTAGACAACTCTGATTCTAGAGAGGACTGTTGTTGCTGATGGTCGGCGTTGTGCTGTTGTCGTTGATTCACTTCACCTATCATAGAATTGAAAAATTGTTCTCGTAACAAAGCAGACTTATTGGACTTCGATGACTTCTGATAGTCGAATACAGGAACAGAATTTGAACAACTACTAGCCATACTATTTATGTTATTATTGTTGTTAGTAGTACTACTACTATGATTTGCTGACAATCCAGAAGAGATTGGTAAAGATTTCTGGCCATTTTGTAAGTTTGAACTCATACTGTTTGACCTACAGGATAGGAAAGAAATAAAACAGGGCTGAAAACCGTGCTTAAATATTTGTGTAACATGGTACAAGGGATTTATGCTTACGCAAACCGAACCTTATAGTTTCACATCCTCCGATCTGTAACCACAGGAAGAGACTTGCTATGAAATTACTCAACTTAAATAAGGCAATCCTACAAAAATCTTAGGTAGACATTACTAACATACCGCCGTGCTTAATGCGTGATGAAGTGTGTAGATCAAGAATTTTGGGTTTTATGCTGCTCATCGTGGACTGACACCAGTTAGAGGAACATGGGGGACTGGGAGCAATGCACAGGTGTTTCGTCCAAATATGGGACTCCTCGGCAGTGCGTACCCATGACCCTGGACCGGACTGCCAGGGATCGAACCTCGGACCTTCAGGTTCCGTGGCTGGCACGCTACCATTGACCCAGTGGGGCGGAATCCAGTGGTTTATATTTCCAATTTCTGTCAGTTCATGGTATACAGCGACCATCAAATATCATCGTTGAGTATGTGTCCTCACAACCACCAGGTTTGCCCCACTAGTCACGACTTCTCATATAAACTTCAAGAATCACCTCTTGAAGCTAGTCACCAATAAGCACTTGTCGTGGACTGACAGAAGTATGGACCATTGGATTCTGATGCAGTGGCTCAACTGTAACGTCCGGGCTACAGGACCCGAAGGTGCTCGGTTCGATCCCTGGCGAGGTGGTGCGGGGTAATGGGTGCGCACTGTTGAGGAGTCCCATCCTTGAACGAAAAAGCTGTTCAGTGCTGCCAGGATTCCAATGTTCCCTCAACTGATGTCAGTCCATGATGAATACTGACTTTCAAAAAAAAATAAGGAATCGCCCAAGAAATTGTCTATTTTGGGTTGTCAGGTGTTTACAGTCACGTAGCGGGATTTCGCATCTGTTGAGATACATCAGGAACCTGTGTCGGCTACGTTAATACAACTCATTTTCGCTCTAGGTAACTGAACCTACAGTCAAAGACATTATATCTAAGGCTGGTCCATAGTTGCTGATGGCCATTGTTTCTTAGCAGTTCTGTGTACTGAGTTTAAATTAATCCCCCTTGGACTTCAATTACATAATTTTACACGGATCTGTTGCAAACTGAAGTGATCCATGTATCAGCTTGTAAGCCTCTAGTCTTCCTCTAGTGGGTAAAGTTCCGTTTGGTTGTGTTTACTCAATCGATAAAATTACTAGAAGGAAAGAACTTTCTCATGGGAATTACAGAATTGCGTTTATTATTAATTTACTCGTGAGAAGGAAAGCAAAGTTATAAGCCAATTAGGATACAAATAAGATTGACTCTAAAGGCCACACCCTAGCAAATGGTGAAATAACCAGTCAAGTGTCGATCTCTCGACCAGCAGGGAAGTTGTTCTTCATAAAATAAACCTCTTATTAGCTATCTCATTAGTTGCTAGGTTGGCGCTTTAACGTCACCCTCTTCATCGACTCATACATAAAATCAATGTGATATATATAACATCAGATCTTGACAAAGCTTGTTAGTAGATCATAATGCAATTGAAAGGTTCGTACTGTGCTTCGAGTCAAACGTCGTATCCGTGGCCGATAACAATGAGAACCGCAATCAATGAATTACGAATGTCCTTCATGTGTCTATCTTTGTTTTCATTCTTTGGCATTCTGATTAGGAGCTGACTTTAAAGACCAGACCCCAGCAACTGCCGAGACAACCAATCAGGTTTCAATGTTTCGGCCTTGAAGGTGGTCTTTCATAAAATAGAGAAAAATAATTGGTTATCTCAGTAGTTGTTAGGCTGGTCTTTAAAGGCACGTGATTAGACTATGTACGCCTCACTGAATTAATTGTAAGACTTAATACCAAACCCGACCTGAGGTTAGAACCAAACGTCGACCAAGTCGTCGCGACAGTGATATAACAAACCTGATGTATGAGAGTTTTAGATATGCCCCACTGACTAGCAAATAGTAAATGATGTTGTATTTTGTCCACTAGTTGTGTACTGTTGAGGAGTTTCAGGCTGGAACAACACAGCTGCTCAGTGCATTCAGGTTTTCAGTGGTTCTCCAAACCTTTCAAATCAATAACGCTAACAACTGAGTAACTATGGGTTGCTTATCGATAACTTGCCTTGAGGTAAATTTTTCAAAGTTTTAACACGAAGTTTCAACTGATGAAGTCAACCAACGCGGATGTGAGACCGATGAAATTGAGTGATGGGCCATACTATACTGCAAATTGACAGAAGTAAGCAATAATACGCCATTGAATTTTCGCCCAGTTGTTGAATGACAAAACACTCACCATGAGACCTAATTGTCCTTGCTTCCGTAATTCAGAAGCTTGTAGGTGCGCACTATTGAAGAGTTTGACCTGAACCCGACAAATCCAGGGACCGTAGAATAATTCCTTTGGAAAATGCTGATAGCTGAGAATAGATGATATGCTGTAAAAGTGTTTACAAATAAATCAAGGTCTGTCTACATTTTATGTATTCCGACTAATAAAATACCGTTTAGCCTTGATCAAATACAAAAAGAACCAGCCTTAGTGTTTATTGTAACTTGGTGAGTGATTCACTTACTCAGTAGATTCTTCTGTATGTTGGATATATGTAGGATTATTGAAATGCTTGTTGGCAGTATTCAATTCAACACCATTGATTGAATTGTTTTGACATCCATTTGTCAATGAATTGTTCACTATTGTGGCAGGTTGGCAAGTATTCATACCATTACTGTTATTAGTAGTATTGCTGGCCATGCTATTCAATGCTCGTCTTTGTGTAGAATTATTGATTTCACTGTAATACGCTGATGGGGACCTGGAGAGATATGGTTCTGTTGACAGAATCTTATTCTGGGAATTACTGTTAATGTTGGATGCAACTAATAAAGGAATCAGAAAGAATGATAGAAGAGAATGTTAAATGGATATCTTTAAAAAAATTCATAGAACATTATACTGTTGGAGAACACCACCTATATTCAAATGCCACTTACACTGACAAAACTATTGAATGTTCCTGTTTAATGCTTTAAATCACTCTGAGATGAAGCGGTAGTAATTTGTGAGGATTTTATTTTTTTCATGGTAGCATTCATCATAGGTTGACATCAGTTAGAGAACCATTGAAAAGTTAGGGGCACTGGAAAGCTGTTTCGTCTTAGTTGTTGTGTACTCCTAAGGAATCCTAGCCTACGATGAAATATGTCCAGTGCTTCCAGGTTTTCAATGGTTTTCTTCACTTAAGTGTCAGAAATACCTCTGCTCTCGATTGGATTATTTCTAAAGTAAAGGATGCTGATAACCAATCGGAAAATTTAATTGTATGCACTTTTCAAATAATTCCACAATGACTCTCAACTTATTCTATCAAATATTTTATCCAAACTAATTTCATCGTCCACGCAATGCACAATTACTTTTACCTAATAAAATAATATGGGAAGTGTATGGTAAGGCTTTAAAGCGTAAGCAGCCAAACCAGAATGTGAACAGACATATGAAGGACATTCGTAACTGATTGGTTGTGATCTGTCATTCCCTTGAACTTTGAATGCAAGACAAGGTCACCACTGAAACAACCAATCAGGTTTCTCGATCTCGGGTAGAAATTGATTCAAGGATGTAGATCACGTCATGCTTGGGCAGGATCATTTTAACAGCCAAGATTTTTATTGGGCAACATTGCATTGTTATGCTAGACGATAGAGCAGTTAAATAGTAAGCTAAAAACGGTTCATTATTCATCTTTGAAACTAACAGTAATTTGCAGAAAAGTTTTTTTGAAGTAGATTACTCTAAGGATAACTCACTGTCTGAGATAACTCGTCGATGGATTACACCATCCGATTCATCTGTAGTCGCTTTAATTTGCATAACTTCACTGATTTGCTTCTCACATCTTTCGGTTGATGGAAGATTGTGCCCATTGATACTGCTACTATTCATACTGCTGCTACTGTACACAGAACGATCATGAGAATCATCATGGCCTAGGAGAAGAATAAAAAATAGGAAGCAAAAGTTACATGTATGCTGTGTACACCAACAAGGGAATTCAAGCTTATTATGTATGTGGATAAAAGACAAGCAATCAGTCTGTAGAATAGTGATTAAATGTTGCACTACTTGAGGATTGAGACTGTATCATCGAACAAACTAAAATTTTATCCATGTGGAAAAAGCTGATAACAACCTATCAATCCAATTATCCAACCGAATCTTCGATTCCCAACTAAAGTTCAGTTGAAATGGACGGTAGGAGGACAGGCGAATGGCTATCACTTCTGAGCTAACAGCTGTGAATCACATATCATCACTCAGTTAGGAAATCATGCATCTTATATACTGTTACTTGTTGCTACATAAGACTGAATTGATCAGCCTTTCTCGACATAACAGCCAATCCTCTGGCATTTAAAGCTATAGGAACTGGGCTCGAATCCCGGTGGGAACACCGTCACCCACTAGGGTATAGGTACATCCGTCTGACGAATCCCAACTTAGGCGAAAAATGACCCTCGGATTCTACTGTCAACAAAATATAACTTGTTTAGATACATTTCAAAATTTCACCTTCAAATATCATCTGGAAATCTTCAACTGTATTTTGTACTTTTTATTTATTGTCCTAAATTGCCACATTTTTCTTGGATCCTTTTTCGCTACCATCGATATTTTCATTCTTATTCATTTCCCCTGAGTATATCTGTTATGTTTTTCGAAGGCTGACAGTTTATATATATATATATATATATATATATATATATATATATATATATCTTCCAGAACGAATATAATACGCGCGCTTAGCTAGCAGCTAACTTGGTACGCAAAAGTCACTGACTGCAACCCCGGGACGAATAGAGAGAAGACCGAAGCTGAATGATGGCAGAGTTTACTACTTCGAGAATATAATATGATGATCAATCCAAAACACGTGAATAAGTATACACATGAAAAATGACCTTGTCTGCAATTGGAGAAATCCGCATAGTAAAAGTAAAAGTTAACCAATCAGCAAATTACATTGCAATGTGGGCAGAAATAGACTATTAGTCATACCGTAAAAATAATGTAGGAATGACACGTTAAAATGTTCAGATCAATAACAATGTTTTATACAAGACTGGGGCATCACAAAACCTCCCCCTTTTTGAAGAAAACTTAATACCTTCGCTTTTTGGGATCCAGATGGAACCGAACTGTTGGGGACCGCTTTCAATCCGTACATCTGCGGAAGAGGTCGACCAGCCTTCCACCATAGCTTCTTGGAAATAATCCTTATATCGGGAGCTGTGCGAATTGGAGTCGTGCCAAATGGTTATTTGTCTGGATGGTGATATATTTTCTCCGTGTTGATGCATGTGCTTGAAAAGCAGCAGTAAGACTAAGAGCTTTGCCGACTGATCGAGATTTCGATCTTCGACGGTGACTGGATTGTGACCTGCCTTTTCTGTGTGATGGGGGCTGCTTACAAAATCCGTCCTTGTGACCCACGGTATTACAATCTCTGCCTTTATTCTGTTTTTAAGGTCGAGACTTAACGAAATACCATGCGCCACAATGCCAGCAGGAGGAAGGCGGGGTCTTCTTCGTGTTTATTCTAGTATTGTATGGGCTGACGGGATGACGAACAGGAGACGAAGAACCAGGGGTCTTTGGGCCAGAAAAGGATGCAGAGGAACTCGATTTCTGGCGAACCGCATGCACTTCATGGTCACCCTGGCGTCCGGATTGGACTAAACTTGTATCCCGTTGTAGGTTCACCGATCGTTGACATTTAGCAGCGATATCATTCAACGTTAGAGTTAGTTCTTGCATAGGATTCGATGAGTCAGCTGCAGGAATTCTGGACTGAGTTAATAATTCGATAATCTTCATTTGTAGTTCAAGAATTCTGTTCATCATCGAATGGTCCATTTTTGATCCCATCCCCGTCGCCACTGTTATGGTTTTCGAAGGCTGATAGTTATGTATATATATATATATATATATATATATATATATATATGTATTCCAGAACGAATATAATAGTATCAAAGTGAGGCATAACGATTTCAAGCTACATATCCATTGTGCCAGTCCCTAGGCTGCTTAGAACCCATCTGTCAGAGCTTAATTTATTCAATGAGGCTACCTGTTCTGCGTTACATCAGCGTAAATCCCAGATGTCTGACTGGTTGTATTCTTTTGTTTGTTTCAATAGACATCTTAGTTGTGACTTAACTAGTAACACTATTGCATAGTACTTATGTATGACCTATATTTCAGAAATTATTGCATTATTGTGCATTATACCACGTTTTCTGCTTGAAATCGGTTGTTTCATCTTTATAAACTGTTGTGCGTTGTGATCAAGTAATTCCGTTTTACGCACAGATGAATCATACAGCTTGATGCATACGGACAATAGGCATCAGACCAGGTGTCTGTTGTAAGCGGTTAGAATGCCTGAATCGTGTGGATAGATTAGATAAACAAGAGTGGTCAAGTCTTTTAACGACCAATCACGTTCAAGGTCAGTGTTAAGACTGACTCGGCAGAATCACTTGCTTAAACCAATTTACAACCAGACAAAGTTATCACGTGAGGAGTGCAACAACTTACTGCACCCCACTAGATGAAGGTAAAGAACATCCTGGAGAAGAGAGGCTAGTGGTTAAAGTAAATCTGTCTAATCTTTATCATTTGTTATTATGCCGTAAAGGAATAAGGGAGTTTCAAAAAAAAGATGTAATACAGTTATTAGACCTGAAAAGAGACTCTATTGACTATTGTCATCGATTTACCTACTTCAAAATATGTTCTAGCTCTTAGTTGACTAAGCACCATATACAACAGCTGAAATTAATCCAAGATAACAGTGATATTATCATAAGTCGTTGTCTTAATGAGTCGTCACGAATATATATATAAACTTCTGGTAATTCTCTCTGATCACATTAAGTTTGCTAAACCTGAGACCAACAAGACATACAAACGAAATACAACTCACAAATGTCTTAAGAAGCATGAGGGGTAAGTCAGTAATTGGCCCCGACTTATATGAACTTAGCCGATCAGTTGGTTCCATAACCCTACGTCTATATGGACTACCAAAGATACATAAAGCGAGACTACCTCTTCGTTCGATCTTGGATATGGATGGTTCTCCTTATCATCGAACTGCTCAGTGGTGGTTACCTGAAATTCTGGAAGCTGTTAGAAGGCAAGTGTCGAGTTGGTAAGATTACGCCAAGGTATATGTGGTCGGAGCTTGATGAAAAGGAATGACATGTCTCTGGCGAATTGTATGTACTTCACAACAACCCTGGCCTCCACACTGGATTAAACTCGTATCAAGCTGCAGGTTGCCCACTCCTCAATATTCAACACACACACGTCATTCAGTATCTCGATTATAGCGTCGAAACTGCGATCATATGCGGTTGGTTCTGTCGCAAAATCATCTTGCATTCCTGGTTGATTTTCGACCCGATTAATTAATGATGAAGACATGACACACGCAGACCAAAGGAAAATACAACCAATATATAGATATATTCCACTGCTAGCCACTGCCCATCGCTATTTAAAATAATCCTGTTGGTTGACTGATCTACCGTCTGTCTGTCTGTCTATCTACCTACAATAGACGTGATAACACGAAGTACATTTTGATTGGTCCATTTTCAGACCAGTCATTTCTCTCTATCCCCACAATGATTAACAAGTTCATGGCATAAAGCTATAGACATCGTGTCAAATATGGCTATATTAATCATCTAGCAGTCCGACGCTCGCGTTGATTTCTGGTTCCTGGAACTGTTGGTGGAAATGATGGCACACAAGTAACTGGGACGCAATGCTAGTACCGAATTCTAGCATTAGTAACCAACCCCTATCACAGCCAGTTAACTCTGTCCATTATGTCAACACAGACTGGTCACAAGACATAATATTTTTTTATTATAAAAAATTTCATTGTCACACCCACTCACCTAACCATCCATTGATTGAGTTGTGTAGATTCGATTTTTTCTCGTTTGTATCACCACTTGTATCTGTTGAATTGCGTGCATGATTAAGCATATCTTTGTCAATTCGATGAGGGAAGTGATGAATTTGAGAGGTGAGTTGTGATTTTAGACCACTAGAACTGGAATATGATGATCGGCCAGATACTGGAGAATCCATACGCTCCGTAAATCTATCTGAACTTAGTCTTGATTGTGATCGTTTCTCTGTGCATGGACTCATTGTTAAACCACCTGAGTTCGGTCGTATAGGCAATAGGAAATCATGACCTCCAGGATGCTTGTATTCGGACGCTTGACATGGAGCAGCTGAATTTGGCTAGAAGATTAGAAACCAAGCGAAACTTAGTGATAGGAAACTGTTAAAATCGACCTCAGCATTCAAAGTCATCAGCTGTTAAGGTAACCGTTTTGAATTTCAACCTTGATTTCGTGTTAATGTGTTGGCAGAAACCTTATTGGACAATTATGTTCTACAGCTGACCAATTAGAACAAGTATCCAACTTGTGACCTAGTGGCTTCCTTTTTAATGAGAAAACTGTATGCAGATGTGCCTTTTGTTAAATAAAGTTGTTTTCCTTATAGGCTGATCTTTGTCTTCTCATTTTTGCGGCTCAGTGAAGTATCAGGTTCTGAGGGAGAATAGTTCAATTATCTCAATTAGTGTCATTATCGTTGTCGTATTTAGTATTAACCAGGCAGTGGCATTGCTTAAGCTAGGCTAAATTCAATTATCACCCACCGAAATGCATTCAAATACCTTATACAAACGCTCACAACTTTTGTGTGACGGCTAATAATACTGTCTAAACCTCAGAAATCTCTCTTCAATCAGCTAGGATCCTGGTTCATTCATTGATATTTATCATATTCGGCTCACTTTTAAATACAACCAAATAGAAATAAGATTTTCATCAATTGATGAAAACTTCCTATGAAACACTCGACTTCAGCATCTAATCTTTTCTTCAGTAATTTGAAAAAAAAGGTTATCAATATGATGATGATAGGGTTTGAGGAATACAGATTTAAGTAAACTTTGCGGACAAAACACCTTGGGTTCCACCACTATCCAGAGTGATTTAAGATTAACCAGAAAATGTCACTTTATATACAGTCAGTAATTCAGTCCTACCTGGAACACAAAAGCATCCAACCTGTTATCGACATATAACTTGGGAAACGTTTTTAGTTTATGATTTTAGGTTGGAATATATCATAAACTGACATCAGTTGCAGGAACATTGGAAACCTGGGAGCACTTGACAACATCTGTTTCGTCCAACTAGTATGGGACTCCTCAGCAGTGCTTACCCATGACCTCGTCAGGGACTGAACCCAGGATCTTCAGGTTCTGTGGCTAGCAAGTTACCATCGAGGTACTGGGTTGGAATCCAATGGTCCTTATTTCCAACTTCTGTGAGTTCACAATATAGCACATCCTGATTGGGACTTCAGGAATCACCTCTCGAAGCCAATCAGCAATGAGCACTAGAATAGTTCAATCTAGAGGTTTGTGGAGATTTATTAATTGATCTTAGGTTGTGTTATTATCCAACCTTATAGATAACGATACAACACTCCAAGACGATACGATTAACGATAGAACAATGATCTCTCAACTTGATATTCCGCTGACACCACAAGAAGGCGATGTGATTGAAAGTTTATTCATCACTCCAACCGAATAATGATAGGTGAAACTTCAGTCGTTCATATATTCTTAGATGGCCTTGGCCAGAGAAAACAAAATAGCGCATTCAAAGTGTAAAATGGACCAATCAGTGTTTAGTATCCTAGACTGCGGTAAAAATACGAAACATAACATGGCGAGAAAATAAGAGTTAAACTTTACAATAATAATATAAACATATTATAAGTTAGTTTTCTTAGGGATTAGCCATCCATCTCGGAGAAAATCTAATATCTCTTACTCGATCATCCACTGCATTTGAGTCATCCAAATACTTTAAAAATTGTTTCAAAGCCTCATGATTATGTTCATCTGGATCACGATCATAGATAGATACTGAACCAGGTATAAGACGTTTATCATATCGATGAAGTGTAGATGTTAACCCTACAGTTGGCATTGTACGATAGCTGTCATTCGACCAAGATGTCTGAGAACGGAGAGTTGACATTGTATGATAACCTGTTGGAAAATATTTATATAACAGTAAAAAGGATTATAACATTTTTCTCCTTTTTATAAGGTGAATAAGGTTGGCACAAATGATGAATGGATTGATTTATTAACAGGGAGATCATATATCATAATTGTCTGTGACGATCTAAGCTAACTAACATTTCAGTTGGAACTACTACTCAGTGAAATCCTCTACAATCCATCAATAGCAAGAAGTTGGTATTCATCATCAATTGACATCAGTTGGAGGAACATTGGAATCCTAAGAGTATTGAATAGCTGCTCCGTCTTCGTAAGAGACTCCCCTAAGCAGATTGCTCCCATAAACCCACACTTCCTCGGCAGGGATCAAACCCAGGCCATTAGGGTACCGTGGCTAGGACGTTACCATTGAGCCACTGCGTAGGAATTCAATGCTTCATATTTTCTACTTCTGTCTGTTCATGACAAGTGCTCATTGATGACTAGCTTAGAGAAGTGATTCCTGAAGTTCTAATGAAAGTTCATGACCGGTTGGGCAAACCTGCTGGCCATGAGGACAAATATACTCAACGTTGGCATTGGGTGATAATAGAGGCATGTCGTGAACTGACAGAGATTGGAAATATGGACCAGATTTATATACACATTATCCTCATCTCAGTCGCTATACTTAATCTTATCATTTTCTCATTCCTCCTTCATCTCTTTTACAACTTTCTTTCCTTCTTCATCTTCCATTCTATTCCTTTGTTACTTGATGTGCTGATATGAGATGCCGTGTGGCAATTCGTGTCGTTATACAGTGATACCTCGTCCCTATGCTAATCTTCATGATGATGATGGATGATACAAGGTCATGATCAACTTCTCGTGCTGTGTAATGAGTGAAAGATAACCTAGTTTTCTGACAGATTATAAACATTGCAGGGTTGTACCAATAGTCAACGAACCCAACTGTCTTAGTTGTAAGGTGTTCGTGGAGCTTTCATCGTCTTGCTAGACAACATCATCAGCACTAACTTCAGTATGAAGTCAGCTGAGTGATTTAGTAGTTTGCCCTGATGAACTGGTTTGTGATTGGTTGTTTCCTTCGAATGTTGTGTCATTGACTGTATAGACATTCCTTTTGGCTGTTCCTCTGCTTCATCTATGACCTATCTGTCATTTATCGTTATTCTTATTGGTTGGTAGATTGGGTCTACGTCTATACATCTGCTGATTGCTGACTGACCTAAATGCCAAGCTTCTAGGAATTCTCTGATATTCTTTGTGTTTCCTCTCTCCGTCCAAGATTTCTATGCTGTCGAAATTTAATTCATGTCCACAGTTGTTATCCACCTGCACTGAAATGAGTGATGAAATGTCATGACGTTTAATAGCCAGTCGTTGTTAATGTAAATGAAGGCGAAGAGGGTGACCACTTTGTTCAATGTAGTGTTGACTACAGTTATCGCAGTTGATTTTGTAAATGATATTCGGTTTGTCTTCTTTGGTTGCTGTATCCTTTGGTCAGCATAGTAGTGTTTGGAGGGAATTTGTTCGTTTATGAGCCACACCAATTCCAAGTGGTCTGAGTAATCTTGTTGTGATTTCTGATATATTCTTTATGTATAGTAAGATGATCCGTTTGTTGGTAAACCAGAAAACCGAATATTATTTACAAAATCAACTGCGATAACTGTAGTCAACACTACATTGAACAAAGTGGTCACCCTCTTCGCCTTCATTTACGTTAACAACAACTGGCTATTAAACATATCATGACATTTCATCACTCATTTCAGTGCAGGTGGATAACAACTGTGGACATGAATTAAATTTCGACAGTATAGAAATCTTGGACGGAGAGAGGAAACACAAAGAATGTCAGTCAGTCAGCAATCAATAGATGTATAGATATCGACCCAATCTATCGACCAATAAGAAAAATGATAAACGATGGAAAGGTCAGAGGCCAAGCAGATGGATAGTCAACAGAAAAATCTATGTGGTCTGTCAATGACACAACAATCAAAGGAAACAACCAATCACAGACCAGTTCGTTAGGATGAGCTAGTGAATCACTCATGGAGAGATATTTATAGCTCACTTCATACTGAAGTTAGTGTTGATGATGTCGTCTAGCAAGACGATGAAAGCTCCACAATTAAACAACTTAGCTGAGAGAACACTATGCAACCATGATTATCCATCTGAGCTTCAAATATTCCTCACCATTTCAAACTTAGCTGTCAACTATTGGTGAAATAATTGTGAATCATATTGGAGCTTGTAATTTCATGTCGTAGACTGCACCAAATTCATCAAGTCTTGCGCGAATGCCACAATATTTCCAGGAGCTTTAGATACATAGTAGTGATGGATGGTGGCCAGCAGTGGAATGCAGGGCGCGCGTTTCGTTCTATTTGGGACTCGCCAGTTTGGACTGACTGCACCCCGGTGATGATCTTGATGGAACTGGAACCCAGAACCTATGTCTTCGAACCCCAGAGTGATATCTATTAGTCTACTAACATGACTCAGATCAACAGTCTAAGACTTCATGCACTAGTGTCATCTTTTAGTCTAGTAGTCCTGAGCCTTTTTCTAGCCTGAACTTACTTTAGCTAACACATTGTGCGATGAAGTTGATGGGGTTTAAGCATGCGTAACATATGTCTCAGCCACCGTGAAGTTCACAACCTCACCAACTAACTTTTTCTCCCCCTTAAACTTAACACCTAATTTATGCGTTACTCACGTGATGAAACCACGAAGCACGGCCTATGTCACGAAGACAATAGTGGTCAAACACCAAAAGCCTTCTCATGTCCTCCACCTTTAATGGCCATGTTTCACAGCCATAGGCAATCAGATATCTCAGAAGCACCATATTTAGCGTAAGTTGGCGAAAGCCAATCAGGCTTCTTGTATCTGTGCATAGATTTTGTTGGCCACTGACGCACGAATGCAGGGCTAATTTGACTTCGAGAAAAAGTGAGCTGTTCAACGCACTCAATCACTTCACTTCCTATTGTTAACTGAGGCACTGCTGAGGACCAGTCCTGGAGCAACAATCTGGATTTAGGTGACAAAAAACCCATTCTAAATATTCTTAGCTTGCCACTTAGGGTACCCAGAAGACTGAATCGTGTCAGGGTCTTCACCTATATTTCTGCATATCCTAAATTTATTGCTAGTTTACTAAACCTTGATAGCCGCTTTGACGGGTATAGTTTTCATGTTAAGGCTTGTAATTTCATGGAGACAGCTGTGGTATTTGAAATGATGGGTTCTCAGTTAGTAGGAACAACATCCCTCACTGGGGTGTAGGCACATACTGCTGACGAGTCACAAACAGGACTAAATCCGTGTCCTGAACTCCACTTTTAGCCACGACCAGATAAACTATAGAATAAAACTGCCGAAAAACTAATTGACAGCTTTAGACGAAGATAAAATGGATATTAATCTGTACCACTGTGGTAAATTTCAACCTTCTACATCTTTGAATCCTGGCACTATCCTCTTCGGTTATTTCATTAAAATGACTTACAATGTCAACCATTACCTATAAATTTCATTATAATATTCAAATATCTTTTAAAATGATGAGATATCGTATCTTAATGTGATCATCTTGAAGCAATAAATACCACAATATCTTGGTCAACATTTCAACTCACCTGAATTACTTCTGGTGTATTCAGAGTTCTGTAAATGATTGGATGGAAGATGTCGCTGGAAAAGAAAGCATAAACAACAGTCAGTTTATTAATGATAGGTCTCATCCTATTTGGGACTCATTAGTTGAGTATACCTGCCTTTCAGTGAATGATTTTGTTCCCATTGGGACTCGAACTTGGGACGGACTGCTTGAAACACTACAGCGTTATTCATCCATTTAGTTGTCATTTGATACGTGCAATCCCTTGTTGCTATACTGGGCTGAATTGCTTGATCTCTGCTGGCCAGTGAATTCCTACGGATGGGCCTCGATACTGTCCGATTACTCATTATGTTGTTGTCTGCTTGGTGATGGTTAGCATTAGAATCAAGGACGCGCGTTTCGTCCTGCTTGAGACTCGTCAGCTGGATGTATCTACACCCCAGTGGGTGATGTTGTTCCCACTGACACTTGAACCTCGTAGCCATCGCTTCAAACACCAAAGCTCCCCCAACTAAATTTACTGGGGCACGGGAATCACCTCTTGTACAACGGGCATTAGTTGTTAGTTGATACTTATAATCTCTCGTTGCTACACTGGGCCTAGTACATAACGCTTTGGACTTTGAAGCAATGGTAACTGAATTCGAATCTCAGTCAAAATAACAGCACCCACTAGGATGCAGGTAATTCCAGCTGACGAGTCAAAAGTAGGATGAAACGTGCATGTTGAATTCCACTTCTCGCCACCAAGTGGACAATAGGATAGGTTAACTTCCCTTGACAAGGTAACACACACATACACATACACACATAGAATGGCGACATACACGATTTCTAAGTTCTTATTGATGTCTCACGTTTAACTCCACTGGCTTGGGGACTGTACTTTCAACCAGTTGACCAAGAGTTGAAAAGCTTCTCTTAGGTTTAAATAGATAGCAGAATTTGTGGTCAACCTGATGCTGGCTTGCAATGGAATCTACGACTCACATTTTGTTCTAGTCGGTACTCGTCAGCTGAATGTATCTGCACCTCAGTGAGTGATGTTGTTAGCATTGAGATAGTACAGTCATGAATCTATGTACAATAAAGGTACTTCATAGTTATGAAAACAAATCTATACATGATATCCGGTCTAAATTTCCTTAAGTATGTCTTAATTGGTCATTGAATTTATTTCATCAAGAAAACAAAACATATAATCATGAAACTATGTGAATGTGAGCATAAAATCGTATTGAATTGAGTATGAATGAGTTGAATATCTTTGAGAATAACCTATGTGCCTTAACATCCTGCTTATCGGTATCAGTCAGAATGGAGTGAATAAAAATTTATGATAGTTCATATACCAATGAAGATTGAAATTAACATTGTTTACTACTGGAAATCAAGTTATGGGTGCTGAGCAGTGTAAGTTGAATTTGGTGTTTGTGGGAATTTAGTGTTTTTTTCAAATTGGTATTCATCATGCACTAACATCAGTTGGAGGAACAGTGGAAACTTGGGAGAACAGAGTAACTGTTTCGTCCTGGCATAGGACTCTTCAGCAGTGTGCACCTCCAGGTTCCGTGGTCAGTATGTTACCATTGATGGTCACGGTATGTCATGAACTGACAGAAGTTGGAAATATGGAACATTGGATTGCAACATTAGTGGCTCAGTGGTAACGTGCTAGCCACGGAACATGAACGTCCTGGATTCAATCCCTTGCGAGGCAGGGTGAGATCACGGGTGCGCACAACTGGGGATTCCCATACTAGTTGGACGAAACGGACGTTGTCCAGTGCTCCCAGGTTTCCAGTGTTCCTGTCCATGATGAATACCAACTTAAAAAAAGGTTGTAAGTGTCCACCTGTATGAATTAACTTCAAGTTTTTTGATGTGTTGATATGAATTAAGAATCACAAAACGGTTAGGCAGAAATTTCTTGCTGATTGAATTGAAGCAGTTTAAACGTTTTTGGAGGGGTCATGCTGCTGAGGAATGCAATATCAAGGCGAAACCATGCTCTCAGGTTTTCAACCGATTTCCAACTGATGTCAGTCCCTTATGATACTATCCATGAAATGAATTATATAAAACTTTAATCAGATATTTCAGTTGAAATCATTTTCAGAGGAAATAATCACATAATTTACAGTATTAAGCAATTTTTGGTGATATGATTATGATACGACATTAGAAGTAGAAGATCATACTATTAAAGCAATTCCGCTGATGCATTCTAATGACAGATTCTCAATACTGGTTATACTGATCGCGATTTGTTATGTTTTGGTAACTGCTACGGGCACTAACGACGTGCGGATATCGACTGTCAGCCACCAACGTCCAACATATTCCTAGTTGATTTCCCACCCGATTAATTAATGATGAAGACATGACACACGCAGACTAAGGGAAAATACAACCAATATATAGATATATTCTGCTGCTAGCCACTGCTCATCGCTATTTAAAATAATCCTGTTGGTTGACTGATCTACCGTCTGTCTGTCTGCCTATCCATCTATCTATCTATCTATCTATCTAACAATAGACATGATAACATGAAGTACATTTTGATTGGTCCATTTTCAGACTCGTCATTTCTCTCTATCCCCAAATCACTTCCCTCTTCGAAAGAATGTTATTTAGGTTCAGATTGGATCGCAGTGCCTTTCTTTTGCATCTATCTGATTGATGCGGATGGCGTTTCACCTAGTTTACTGCAGGAGGGATCAGTAGTCTACTCGATACCTTTTCGGCGGGCAGGTGCATGAGCATAGAAATCAGCCATCCGGCCAAAAGATTCACCTGCAGATCGAGAATGAGATCTGCGGGGGTATAAGGAGAATGACCTTTCCACACATCGTGTGTACTGATGGCAAAAACCATCCTTTTATGGCCCCAAGCATTATAGTCCCCGCATTGATGTGGTTTTTGTGGACAAGATTTGACGAAATGACAGGCACCAGAATCCCAGCTAGGCAGCAAGAGTATCTTCTTCCAGGGTCGGTTGGTATCGCATGAGTAACTGGGCCGATGAACAGGTAAGATAAGGCTAACGGAGAGTGTGGCTGGAGGGTGATGAAAAGGAATGACATGTCTCTGGCGAATTGTATGTACTTCACAACAACCCTGGCCTCCACACTGGATTAAACTCGTATCAAGCTGCAGGTTGCCCACTCCTCGATATTCAACACACACACGTCATTCAGTATCTCGATTATAGCGTCGAAACTGCGATCATATGCGGTTGGTTCTGTCGCAAAATCATCTTGCAATATTATTCCAGGTCAGGTGGACCAAGCTTTCCAAGTAGCAGAAATACCTTCCAGGAATTATCTTGACCAGAAAAATCCACTTTCGTGTAGTCCTCGAAACGCCTGAATCAACTGTTGAAAGTGTGATTGGTATCAGGATTGTAGTGAAATTCAGTGGTGTTATTGGAGATGCCATCAATTGAAGGAGTTATTAAAACCGGTGTAGTAGGTGATGATTCAGTACTATGAATTTTGGATTGCGCAAGTGTCTCTGTAATCCTGATTTGTTGTTTGAGGGAATTGTTCAACTTCGAAGAATTCATTTTCTGATATCCCATTTCTGTTGTCACTGTTACGATTTGGAAACTGTGGCCATCAAGGATACACGGATACCGACTGTCAGTCATAAACATTCAATAAATTGCTAGTTGATTCTCAACACTACTGATTAGTGAAGACATGATTGAAGTGTAGTAACGTGTATTGGGATCGCGAGACCGAAGATCCTATCGATTGACTGATCTATGATCTGTCCATGTGTCTAACTATGGAAGCGATAAGATAAAGTACATTTTGATTAGTTCATTTCCAGACTAGTCTTTTCTGTCTATCCGCCTATAGTGATTATACTTTAGGGAGTAATTTTTTTATAGAGTTGCGACAAGATTATTTAAATTTTGATAAGATACCTTCACTTCCTGAAGCCTTTCACCACAACCAATCGATTCGCTGTGAATTTTTGAGAAAAGTTAGTGTGAACCTACTTGTAAATATTTGATTGGTTGAAGAGAGAAAATCAATAGGGTATGCCCTTCTAATAAGACCTAGAAATAGTCAAGGTGATTGTAAATGTATATAAATCATTGTATTTTGTGTATATTTTCACGCTGCAATACACCTGATGTTATCTTATCATATCTTTTATCTGCTGAGAAATGGAACAACCATCAAATGTCGAGTCGGAAGGTTATTATTGTTCATGTGTCCATTCTCATAAATATCTCTATGTTATATCATACTGTCAAGTTATACATTAACACCAGTCTCTTTATTACCTTAAAAGAATAGGTTAAAGTATAACAGATGAAATCTAATCCATTGAAGAAATGAATCTTTAAAGGATTACTTAAAAAAAAACTTTTTTCTGAGGCTTCATAACTTCTTTAACATCCAACATATATAAAATATATTCCTACAATTTGTTTGGTGGTGGCTAGTGGTGAAATCAAGGATGTGTATTTCGGCCTATTTAAGACGCATCAGATGGATGTATGTACATTGCAGTAAGTGAAGGTGTTCCCATTGAGATTGGAACCCCCCCCCGGGACTATCATTTCGAACTTTTACATTTTCTGTATCTCTTACTACATTCAAAACTGTATTGTGTTGGAGAACAGTTTAACTCCATCTTCTCTTTAAGTCAGCTAATGTGATGTTACCCAGTTGCAGGATCAATTCGCAGGTAGGACCAACGTAGAGGATCCGTTATAGTCCGTTGATCATAGAATCCAATAGGTAACCCAAACCAAAGCTAGGACCATAACAATCAGTCAAATCAAGAGTATTATCCTCTAGGTTATTGAGTCACAAAGGCCAATTCTTGTGCGACAATTATCCGTTGTCGTTTATTGATATTTGTAATTCCTCATTGGTTATTATACTAGGCCAAATTGACCGGTTCCTGTTGGCAAATGAGATTCTATGCTGATATAGAAATGTGACATCCAAGAAAAATTTCCAATCCCTCCTTTCCCTTGACCGAAAAAAAAAAGCTTTTTGGGAATGAAAAAAAAACTTTTCAACAAACTTGGACAATGATTACCTTGTTTAAAGCAGCCCGAGCTCTCTGAATAAGCGTTAAACGCCTTTGACTTCTATGAATGAATAAAAATAGGAATTTTAAAAAAATTGTTAGAAATAATATAATAACTAGTTGGTAAATCATTATCTTTATCATCAAGACCAGGGATTGCTGAGTAACACAGTAAGTAACAAGGCAATAAAATGGGAGATGAAGAAAGAAAGAAAGAAAAATCGGTAGGAAGAAGTCGAAGTAGAAAGTAGTAGAAGAGAGGAAGGAAGAATGAGATGATGAGATTAAGCATAGTGATTAAGAGGAGGATAGTGTGTCTATGCATCTGCGGCAATGACATCGTTTCTGAGTCATATCGTCACCTAGAGTCTCCAACCACTGGTTTCTCTTATCCCACCGACCGAAACCAGGTAGTCTGCATCACCCCGCATGGCTTAAAGTAACAGTCAAAGGCTTTATATATTGGTGCCATGTTTTAGTCTGGGTGCCTCAAGCCTTTTCCTAGCCTGAACCTAGTTCGACCAACATTGTGTTACAAGGCAGACGGTGACTAGGCATACGTCACACATGTCCCAACCATCTTAGTAGATGAAGGTTCACAACCTCATCAATTTTCTTACCGTTTCTGCTTAAAACTCTACATCTGACTTCTGTGATACTCACATGGTGACACCACGGAACACGGCCTATACTACAAAGGCAGTGGTGCTCAAACACTTGAAGTTTTATCCTGCCTTCTACCTTCAATGGACATGTTCACAGCCATACAGTAGGACGGAGTGGACTGCAGCATAGTACACTAGACCCTCAATAGACAATCGGATATCATAGTGGCGCCACACATGGCGTAAGTTGGCAAAAGTCATCCGAGCCTTTTGTATCAGTGCAAAGATTTCGTCGGTCACTGACCAATTCACCAGGGAAGGGGTGATCCAACTTTCCAGGTAATAAGTGAAGTGTTCAACGAGCTCAACCACTTCACGCTCTATTGTTAGTCAGGGCACCGATGAAGACCAATCCTGGAGTAACAATTTGTACTACGGTGGCGTGAAACCTATCCCAAAACATCCTCAACTTCATACTCAGGGTGCCCAGAAGATTCTCCATAGTGTCAGAGTCTCCACCTAACATGACTACGTCATCGTTGTATTCTAGTTACACTAAAAATTCTCCTATGTTCAGGCCAATCCCTATGTAGTCAGTTGTTACAAAAAAACCTCCATAAGAACACCTATGGTAAAACTGAGTAGGATTGGAGATAGTGGGCATCGTTGACCTACACCACCTGACGTACATATACATCTCACCTGACGTCTCACCATAAGCTCTAACATGTCCAGAGCCTTCAATAGGGTGATGCACTTATTCGGTACCTCTTTCAATAGGAAACACTGCCATAAGAATTTTTGATTGACAGAGTCAAACGTTGCCTTCAGGTTGAGAAATACATCTATTGTCGGGTGTCGGTTAGCATGTCTATGTTCGAGAACTTGGTGGAGTGTGAATGTTCGGTAGCTTCTTGCACGTTCTGGTAATAGTTTCATAGACATTCACTGAAATGACATTTACTAAACACCTACCTTAGCATATTCATGACCAAGGGGTTATCAGTTTGCTCATTAGAACCTTCAGCTTTCATAGTGTGCCCAACCTGTGGCGTTGAAGGATATGCGTTCGAGTCTCTAGAACGGCATGTCTAAGCAACATGTTCAATATACAATGGCTTCAGAAAATTAAAACGGAATTAAATTAGCTAAATTTTTAACTGTTAAACAACTGAAGATATTTATTCAACTTTTTAACACTCTCATACGAGTTAACTGAGAGGTTTTTGAAGTGTTTACTACTGAGAAGTTTGAAAATAAGTAGTGTAATTAAATCGTAACAAAATTGTCTTAAGCTGACTCAATTTACTAAAACTAATTTCTCATTGTGTGCACAAAAAATGTATGTGAAAATAAACTGACATGATGATAAATCCGGATAAACTCGAATCAACAAGAGGTTAATATACTACTGAAAAGTATAAGTAGTGTGGAAATATTTTAAACCGCAACATTTCGCTAACTAACTCAGTTTGTCTTATAAAGACATAAGGAAATGAAAGTTGAGAAGTTCTGTCTAATTGAAAAGTGAAAAGTTTTAGTGTGAAATATCCATATTATTTGTATTACGCTCAAACAAAAGGTGATAACTTGGCGTCGTGATGTGGACATTACAATGCGCTATGCTTATAGGAAAATTTGTTCCATGAAGTCCTTTCATACCAAAACGTCTGTTTGATAACGGTTAGAGACAAGGTTGCCTAATATCACCTATGATCTTCCTGACTATGACCAACTGGACTGAATCATACAACCAACCCTAAGGAGCTGTGAGAAGATGGACATACACTGGCCAGACCAATGAAAACAACCTACACCATTTGCATTTCACAAATCATCACCTATCTCTAATGTCTAATGTCACACAAACTCGAAGATCTACAGGCAAAAACAAACAAGTTGACAGAAGACGCATGGCACCGCAGGGCAGCAAAGGAAGACGCCACTTCCTTCTGCTGAATGTAGAGAACATAGAGGTGATGAAGATATCCAACCAACAACAACAACAACAACAACAACAAACACCTATCACCATCATCGAGAGAAATCTAAATCATGAAGTTGTCTCATTCACCTACCTACCCAAATAGACAGCATCGTCTCAAATACACGTGCTGGCACACATGACGATGTCAAATCCGGGATAGATTTGAACAAGGAAAACCAGCCCTCCATCAATCTGTAGAGATCTACTCCACTCCACTCCACTCCACTCAACATAATGTGTGAACAACATCCGGATTCCCAACATTAATGTCAGTCAAGTAAGTCAATGCTTCAATGTGGTGGTTCAGAGACTTGGTACTTCACGAAAAGCATTCCCAACAAACTGCAGACATCATAGATGAATAGCTGTCACCTACGCTCGCTCCATACTCAAGAACAGATCAGATGACCAGAATATTAGGAATAAGCAACAAGGAAGTCACTCCGACTGGTAACGAATCAACCGACTGAGAACCTGTCGACCAACATATATGTAGTGGAAAGTGGAGATGGATTGGATTGTATTAGGCATAGACTGAGAAGACGGTTCGGGGACATGACGCGTCAGTTGGGTATGTGAGGGTGACATGGAGGAGATGGTGTGAAGAAGAAATGAAAGCGTATAGACAGTCATGGAGCCAGGTTAAAGAAAAAGACTGGAGAGGAGATTAAAATGATGACGTGCTACTGAAGCCATATGTTCCACAAGAAACCCAAGGGACACATAAAATCAAAAAATAACAGAAACTTACTTCAGTAGGATTCAGATAATTAAGTCAAAAGTTTGAAATATAAAATAACAATGAAACAAACTAACTCATAGGAGTGGATAATGCTAGGTGAAAAAGCATAATAACTGTCAATAATCCTACACACATTAGCTTCTTGTTAACATAAATCTAGTGATCATTGATGACTAGCACTCACAGGTGATTCTTAAACTTCCAATGACAAGTTGTGACTAGTGGAGTCAACCAAGTCGAACATGTGGACAGTTACTCAACGACAACATTGAATGTAGGTCACTCTATATCATGAATTGACAGAAGTAGGAAATATGGACCATTGAATTCCAATCCAATGGTTCAATTGTAACGTGCCGGCCTTGGAACATCAAGGTCCTGGGTTCGATCCCTGGCGGGGCCATGGGTCCACATTGCTAAGGAGTCCCATACTAGTATGAAACAGCTGTCCGGCTCTCCCAGGTTTCCAATGTTTGTCCAACTGATGTCATTCTATGATGAATACCAAACGGAATCTTATGAGCTTTCACACATTTTGTGTAAGCTTTCGTTAATATGTTGGATACACTTGTCCGCCTCCTCTCCACCACCTTATTCAACTTCCGCTCAGCAGTATTCACCTAACCCTTCTATATGTTTTAATGTGTCTTCAATAACTTCATATCGATAGTATCCATAGTTCAAGCTGATAATTTCTGTCAAGTTGGTTCCAGTATACAAACACTTATATATAAAATCAATGTTAGTTAACATTGATTTTAGGGGTTGTAAACACAGCTGTTGAGAAACGACGAAATAAAATGGATCCATGCTATTCTACTAAAGATGTTATTTTCTCGCTTCATTTGTGAAGGGAAAGATATGTTTGAAAGGCATAATTATGACCAATGAACACATACAGAATATTATCATACATACGTATTTAAGTAGTATAATTACATTGGTTTAATTTTACTGTAAATTGCGCACTAAAAATTAATTGAAACATTGAATAATATAACTTCAGCATGCATTTGATTTAATAAACATTATATTATGTAATAGGCAATCAATTATGTTATACAAATAAAAGTCTACAAAACAGAAAGCATTCAGTGATATTGTAGACTGCATGCCATTCATATGAGACTATGCACTTCAATAAAAAATCCTAAGAAATATTTGTTTAATGTCTTATTCCCATTAAGGGCTTGACGATCACCCTGGTAACGACCTTGCTACCATTTAGACATAGATTTCTTGGTATATACTCATAGAATTGTGTAGGCGCAGTTTTTTCGCTCCATAAACATTAGTGAATTGATTGATAAACACAGTAGGAAGTGACGTGAGTTGGGTAGTTGTCTACTTTCAACTATGTTATTAAGCAAATTTTAATGAAAACTGAGATCAATCTGGAAGGAGGGAAAGCTCCTTCTCAATGCAGTTTTTATTCCTTTGTCGAGTTCTTTCAGATGTCTTTCTAATCAGTCTTGAATATAAGACGAAAGGAAACAGATTTCTTCTTCATAGATAGGTGTTTTGGCCTTTCAATAAATTGTTCTTCATGCTGACCAATCCTGTCTTACTGTTTCCGCAATCATAGAGAGTTCAGACACGTTTGCTCCAGATGAGTCATAAATATTTCAGCTAGGATAGGCTCTATTAGTGGTGAACCCATAGCCACTACATCAGTTTGTTAGTATAGTTGGTTATTAAACTGGAACTCAACACCTTTTGTACAGAGGAGTACTAACTACTTGAGTAAAACTTTCAGTAATGAGTACAGATCAGACTGTTGTATCATTATTATCATTATTATTACTACTAATATATTTCATTTCAATTAGAAGCTGTTTAAAGTTGATGAACGGCTGTGAAATAAAATCAGCTTTTAGCGACTAACAGTGAGATCCAGCTTGACGCACGTTTCGTCGTCTTTGGGATTCATCAATTGGATTCACCTATACTCAAACCAAGTACCCATCACATCGATAAATATCTCTGCATTTTAGTAAAACATTCAATTGCGGTGGACTGGAGCATGCAACAAATCCTAAGGAGCTGTGAGAAGATGGACATACACTGGCCAGACCAATGAAAACAACCTACACCGTTTGCATTTCACAAATCATCACCTATCTCTAATGTCTAATGTCACACAAACTCGAAGATCTACAGGCAAAAACAAACAAGTTGACAGAAGACGCATGGCACCGCAGGGCAGCAAAGGAAGACGCCACTTCCTTCTGCTGAATGTAGAGAACATAGAGGTGATGAAGATATCCAACCAACAACAACAACAACAACAACAACAAACACCTATCACCATCATCGAGAGAAATCTAAATCATGAAGTTGTCTCATTCACCTACCTACCCAAATAGACAGCATCGTCTCAAATACACGTGCTGGCACACATGACGATGTCAAATCCGGGATAGATTTGAACAAGGAAAACCAGCCCTCCATCAATCTGTAGAGATCTACTCCACTCCACTCCACTCCACTCAACATAATGTGTGAACAACATCCGGATTCCCAACATTAATGTCAGTCAAGTAAGTCAATGCTTCAATGTGGTGGTTCAGAGACTTGGTACTTCACGAAAAGCATTCCCAACAAAACTGCAGACATCATAGATGAATAGCTGTCACCTACGCTCGCTCCATACTCAAGAACAGATCAGATGACCAGAATATTAGGAATAAGCAACAAGGAAGTCACTCCGACTGGTAACGAATCAACCGACTGAGAACCTGTCGACCAACATATATGTAGTGGAAAGTGGAGATGGATTGGATTGTATTAGGCATAGACTGAGAAGACGGTTCGGGGACATGACGCGTCAGTCGGGTATGTGAGGGTGACATGGAGGAGATGGTGTGAAGAAGAAATGAAAGCGTATGGACAGTCATGGAGCCAGGTTAAAGAAAAAGACTGGAGAGGAGATTAAAATGATGACGTGCTACTGAAGCCATATGTTCCACAAGGAACCCAAGGGACAAATAATAAAACATTCAACTTTTTTCTAATCTTTGCTTTGTTTTGAAAATCTCAAAGCATTAAAACTCCTCAATCCGGTACATACATTCATAAATACATCAGATCCCCGAAATGAAAATTATTTTCAAAAGTATACAGTATGTGTGCATAATACAGATTAGAGATTGTGTGCATTGTGTGCATTCTAACTAAACAACAATGAATGTGAAACATTTTTTTCTCACGCTAAACAAGCAATAATATCAAATATTGTTTCAGTGTTATTATTTCCCTTCTAAGAGCTTCTCAATACTTACTCCAAAAGAAGTTGATTGGTTATATCACTAGGAGAAAATATAAGCAATAATCAAGAAAATAGATTGTAAGTAACTGTTTGATATCGGATATTGAAAGTTATTCGGAAGGAAGGTTAGCTTCGTGTGTGTGTGTGTGTGTGTGTGTGTGTGTGTGTGTGTGTGTGTGGCTATTACTCAAAAAACTGATGTCTCCTGAGAGATTTGAAACAGTGTCAGATACTGTTCCAGTTATAGATGTTGCCAATAAGTTATTCGGCAAGTGATTAACCATCTTCATGGAGCCATTTTGTTTATCAGTGGTACCCTGAAACCTAGATAAAGTAGGATTTCTTGTGTATATTCCCTCTACTAACATACAGTTGCATTTCAACTACAGGTGGCACAGACGAGAACGTCCAGGCAGCAAGGATTGGAAAGACATCAAGACAGGCGTTTATTAGCCTGAAACCAGTGTGGAGATCTACTCCACTGCTTTCAGCATGTTGAACAATATCCGGATTTTCAGCACCGACGTCAAGTCAGCGCTCCTGTATGGCCCAGAGACTCGGCGCATTACGAAAGGGATTTCCAACAAACTACAGATATTCATCAATAACTGCCTACGCTCACTTGATACTGAAGATCAGTTGAGATGGCCAGAAAGAACAAGCATCAAAGAACTCTTGGAATGAACCAACCAAGAAACTGTCACCCAACAAATATGCAGAAGGAAGTGGAGAAGGATTGGATATGCACTGAGAAGACCATTCGGGGACATCACGCGACAGGCCAGGCACTCAAGTGGAACCGGCATGCGGAACGACGAGTTGGGCGTCTGAGGTGAGGGTGACATGGAGGAGATGTTGTAAGGAAGAAATGAGAGCTTGTGGGCAGTCGTGGAGCCAGGTTAAAAAGATTACAGAGAAGATAGTGGGATGGAGACGTGCTACTGAAACCCTGTGTTTCACTAGGAACCCAAGGGATAAATAAATATAATATAATAATATACAGTTGATCATACTGTCGTTTACACAACTGACGTTATTGTGGAGATTGATTTAACGAAGAGAGAGGAGAGTTATAGTCTGATAAAGAGACAATACAATGAATAACCTGCCTTGGAGACTGAAATCAGATAAATTATCTATCATTCCTGAAGTTGACTGTGAATTCAGACGCAGAAACTCAAGAAAAAGGTACTTGACAGTACTGGATACAATATGATTAGGGAATGAGACGTCAGTTATCCCTTGTTTCTTAAAATGGGAGTAATCAACTTAAAGCTGAATTTAAAAAATCCTACAAGTGAGTGTTGAGGGTATTTTGGCGATTGCCTCCATCTATCTAACCCAATACATCACGATAATGAGCCTCCCAGCTTGTAGAATTGAATGATAGAATACGGTTAGAACACATGAAATTAGCTTCATTTCAGTGAGAAATCAATTTGCCTAATTCACTTCTACAGGAGATCAACTGCAGCCTGAATAGTCCAATGGTTGTAATACCGAGTGACTTGGGTTCAGATTTCAGGTGAGATATGACTCACTTCTGTCGTGGTTGCAGATATACACTTCCTATTACCTCTCTTCATCTAACTAAGTACAGCCATATTTCCAGAGTAGACATAACAAAATACTCTTCATGAATATGGTTAGAGGTAAAGTCTACCTTTTAGATGATGAACCATTTCGATATTGTTCCATTACTTTTTCTTCAAGTTGTTGTTTTTGTCGATGCATTGATAATAAACGTTCTCTGTTGAAATAGAAAAGAAACAGGAATACACTTTTGACAATATATATTCTGATAGGCTTAAGCATTTTAAAAGTTCTCATGATATCATTTAAAACAAGAAATACCATTGAACAATATTGTGTTCAATTGAATTCTCTTCATATTTTACTCTTATATAAAATAGTTAAATATGTAGATTAATAAAAAAACACAACTAAACCAGACATGCAGATTTGTTGGTTAATGTGATAAGTTGGAAGTGAAGTAAATACCAAACTGAAGACCATTAGATGATAGTCACGATAGATAGAGAAACAAGAAAAATTGGAAACTGTGAACTAGTGAATTCTAGCCTGTTGGCTGAATGGTTAACTTGTTCATCGGGAAACTTAAGAGTCCTAAGTTCACTCCCTAGTCGAGTCAATCTATGATGAATACTACTTTAAAAATACTGATAATATCACATCACATCAACCTGAATTATGCTGTTGTTGTTGTTGTTGCTGGTGGTGGTGCAGAGATGATGAAAGTAAGTGCTGAAGTTCCTCTTTTTGCTTAGTACCTGTTAATAGCCAGCTAACTGTACTCCATCTCATCTGGTCAAGCTGCCTGGAGTTTTTTCTCATTGTTGACTAGCTTCAAGAGGTGATTCATGAAGTTCTAATGAGAAGTCATCACCGAGAGAGTACACCTGATAGCCGTAAGGACAAATACTCAACAATGACACTGGTAGGAGTTGGAAATATGGGCCAGGCTATGGTAACGTGCTGGCCATGGAACCTGAAGGTCCTAGGTTCGATCTCCGGATGGGGTGGGGTCATGCATGAGCACTGTTGAGGACTCCCGTGCTAAGACGAAGCGGCTGTTCAGTGCTTCCAAGTTTTCAATCTACCTCCAACTGATGTCAGTCCATAATGAATACCAACTTGAAAATACCTGGATGTTTTCATATGCGTAGAACCTCGGTTGTCAATCTTTCTTCGTATGAACCAAAACCATTTCTGTCTAACCTTGATTCAATCAAAGTTAATTCTATAGGCCATTTTTATGCAGTTCAGTGAGCCTACCAATTTGTTTTCCAGCTTCCTAACTTCTGCTGAGGTTTTTGGAAACTGTTTTAAGCATAATCTACGTTCTTACTATTTATTGACATACTTTCAGTTCTCTATTGTTTTATTGATTCGAATTGTTCGACCTCTTGGCATATGGGCTCGTATGCGGATGCCCCAACATTGCCTGAATGTTAATGATGATTATTTGTTTGGTTTTGGCTAGCAGAGGAATCCAGGACGCACGTTGGCTATCGTGCCTCCATGACCTAGTGGATAACAGCTTGAAGCGATAGGTACGAGGTTCGAATCTCAGTGGGAACAACATCACTCACTGGGGTGGAGGTACATTCAGCTGACGAATGAGTCCCAAAGAGGACGAAACGAGCACCCTAGATTCTTCTGCTAACCACAATCAAAAAAATTAGTCTACGTTCTCCGAACCTAACTGACTAGTCTCCTTTACACTATACTAGATTACATTCACCATATTTGATTTCATAAAAGCAGATGTGTTGACTCTTTTCTGGCATTACATTTGCATCCTTCATTCAGCTGAAACGTAGGGTATTCTTCCAATTTCCTCCGAGATCTTCTTATGATATGGGATTACCACCACATTGGAGGAAGTTTCAGTACATTACTAATTTCGTTTTACAAAATTCTTGTCATGAAATAATTAGAATTACTACTGGCTGTTGTAATAAGACGGTTAGCTCTGTTGATTATGTTATGTTTTCAAACGCCAATAGCTATTTATTCTGAACGAATGCAATATGCACGCTTAGCTGACAGCTGACAGCTAACAGCTAACGCAAAAGCCACTGACTACAACCCCGGGACGAATAGAGAGAAGACCGAAGCTGGATGATGGGAGAGTGTATTACTTCGAGAATATAATATGTTGATCAACCGCAAAATACGTGAATAAGTATACATATGAAAAATGACATTATCCTCACAATTTGAGACATTTACATAGTGTAAGAGTAAAGATTAACCAATCAGCGATTTACATTACAATGGGGGCAGAAAGTAGACTACTAGTCCTTACCGTAAAAAAAATGGTGTAGGAATGACAAGCTCAGATCAATAACAATGTTTTATACAGAACTGGGGTGTCACAACAGATTAGACTTCATGCATCTGTCAAAGTATAGGTAGATCGACCACCTAGGAGTATTGGTGAGCGTTGGAGCTTAACTACACGAACAAATAAACATTATACTGAAAGGGTATGACAATGTGAACTGTGGATGTTTCATATCAATCGGTTAGTGTCTAGCTTTCATGGTAATGAACCTAATTTACCCAGAATATTTGGGTCTAATTTGACAGATGCATAGGAGAAATGAACATAGAACCTTACATACAAGTTACCCTACGTCACAGTAGCATACAAACAATAAGTGAACAGAAAAAGACTGATATCAAAGTAGATGAAGGTGTAGAGGAGGAGAAAGAATTGGAAGATAAAGGTTAGATGAAATAATTAAGCTTTAGAAAACTCTGATCAATTTCTAGCTGTGTTATCAAGGGACTTCAATCGTTCATTCCTAGTATCTCGATGGCCTCAGCTAGGTGGTCTATACCTGCAGACATCGTTAAAACAAGCAGTCAGAAACTTCCTATATACTGGGGTCGCATCTTCATCTCGCTATTCTGAGCAATAAATATTCTTATGCAGTTCAGTTTATTGAAAACAAAATAGAAAGCCAAAACAAAAAGATGAAGAATGAATGAGAACTAGATCCTAGATGAATGGTAGCTAGCAGTGGAATTTGAGACGTGGGTTTCACCCGATTTGAGACTCGTCTGCTGGATGTATCTGCACAGTATTCAGTGATATTGTTCCCACTGAGACTTGGAAACAACACCCATTGTCTATTCAACCATTGTACTGTTCACTTCTAGGCTACTGAGTCCCAACATCTATTCCTTCTGCAACGGGTATAGTCCGGTTACTATGACATGAGAGCTTATGTACCAATAATGCTCAATGAATTTGGTTCAAACCAATCAAGAAGAGGAAATAGCAGATGATAAATATCAGTATAGTATACATCAGAAACAGGCATTATCAGAGGGGGAGGGGCAAATTAAAATCTCAGCACAACTACAGAAACATTTTACAAATGGGTAATTCGAAGAGAAAAAAAGAAGAAGTTTAATCCTTACCTCAAGACACCTTCTTGATTGACATGATTTTCACAACTTTTCAATGTAGACGCTAAAATCTCCTGATTTTGATTAAGTAAACTTTGAAGTTGACCAAGTAATGACTTATTCTCTTTTTCATACTTTGAACTAAGCTCTGTTAACATCTGATGAAGTATAGTGAAAGTGAAAGAAAAAGAGGTGAAATTCATAAAAAAAACTTAAGATAAGCAAGGATTTTTTTTCACGAATACATAGATTAAGTCGATTTAAGTGTTGAAGAAAGTGTATCAGTGTAGCCAGTAAGCTGGAGTGGGACAATAATCCAGTGAAACTTTGTTTCATGTGTATTAATACCGCTTCACGAAACAAGCCTTTGTCAGTGAGCAATGAAATCAGAGACTTTATCGCAAAGCCTATTGACACCAAGTTAACTAACTTAAAACTTTAACCAAGATGTATCATCTGAATGTCCATCTTCAATATATAAACTCGTTAAAGTTATGCTTCGAATCCATGTTTTTTGACGTTCAGAGATACAATGTACCATCAGCCAGCATTTCTAGTCGTGAAGAATCTTTATGTGAAAACTTTGGAAGAGAGAACATTCTTGTTTGTATTGTGTTCTCTCAGCTGGGTTGTTTAGACATGGAGGTTTCATCAGCTGCTGATAAAAAGGAGGGGGCAACTTTAAGGGTTACGATCAATGTCAGATCTCATATCGGTTTTTATTTAACTGACTAAACCAGTCACATCAATCTATCTGACAAGTTTTAATAAGTTAAGCAACATCACTACTAAGTCTTAAGTTGGAAATATGGACGAAGTGACCAAGTGTTACATGTTGACCACGGAACCTGAATGTCCTGAGCTCAATGTCTGGTGGGACGGGGTCGTGACTCCGCACTGCTGAAGGGTCCAATACTAGCGAGGCGAGACAGACGTTGTCCAGTGCACCCCCTAGGTTTCAAGTGTTCCTCCAACTGATGTCAGTTCATGATGAATACCGACCTTTAAAAAAAATCACTAAACCCCCAGAAACTCCAAAATCCAAAAGAACTAGTGTTCATTGGTGACTAGCTTCGAGAGGTGATTCCTGAAGTTCTAATGAGAATTCGTAACAGGTGGGGCAAACCTGGTGGTTGTGAGGACAAATACTCAACGATGATATTGCCTGTTGATGGCTCCACGTAATGAACTGACAGAAGCTGGAAATATGGACCACGCTATGGTAACGTGGTGGCCATGGAACTTGAAGGTCCTGGGTTCGATCCCCGGAGGGGTGGGGTCATACGTGCACACTGCTGAAGAGTACTATACTAGTGAGACGAAACAGCCATTGTTCAGTGCGCCCCCAAGGTTTCACATGTTCTTCTTTCAGTAGCACGTCTCCAACCCACTCTGTTCTCTGTAATCTGTTGAACCTGGCTCCACAACTGCCAACAAGATCTCATTTCTTCCTCACACCATCTACTCCATGTCACCCTCACCTCTGGGTTCCAGTTGAGTGCCTGGCCTGTCGCGTGATGTCCCCGAATGGTCTTCTCAGTGCATATCCAATCCATCTCCATTTCCTTCTGTATCTTTGTTGAGCGATAGGTTCTTGGTTGGTTCGTTAGCAGCCGGAGTGAGTTCCTTATTCTTATTATTCTGGCCATCTGAGGTTCAGTAACGAGCGTGAACTAGTTAATCAATCTATGATGAATAATATACTTGGTAAAATTTAAGTATTTTTTTTTTCTTTTTCAACTTACCTGTAAGCGTGTTTTTAAATTTTCTATTTCATTATGTAAAGTTTGTTCCAATTTTTGATATTTTTGTAATTCATTATTCAATTGTTCAATTCTATTTTCACTATCTTGTAATTGACGACGCATATCACGTACACGTTCTAATCCATTACTTTTTTCATGTCTTTCTCTAGTTAATATTTCATTCATAGAATTTAATTCACATTGTAAACGTGAACTTTCTTCCCTTAATTGAACAATTTGTTTTACTTCACCTATAAATAAATATATTGAAATCAAATGATAAGATTGAGATACAAATCTGTTCTTAAGTTGTTATTTTATCATGGAGTGCACACCCATTACCTAATCTCTTTCTCCAGGGACCGAACCATTGAGGCAATGAGTCAGAATCCAATAATCTGTATATCCAACTTCTGTCAGTTTATACCATGGCGTAACCATCACCCAATATCATCATTGGGTATTTTTCCTCATGTCCACCATTAGCGGAACTTGAAGATCCTGGGTTGGATCCCTGGCGAGGCGTGGTCATCGGTCCACACTGCTGAGGAGTCCTATACAAGAACGAAACAGCTGTACAATGATCCAAGGCTTCCAATACTTCTTCAACTGATGTCAGTTCATACTGAATAATAACCTTAAATCAATTAATAAACCTCTACAAACCTCCAAATAGAGTACAAAATATACCACATGAAATGGACTATCAACCGTGACATTCGAACAAACGTTAATTAAATAAGCAGTACTATTAAGCAATCTACGAAAACACTTTGTATGACCGAAGTGACCGTGTGAAATAATAAGAAATACGCGAATGATGTTCATTCGTCGAGACACCTGAACGGTAAAGGAAAAGTGGCTATTCTCCCTTCAGAACGTTATACTTTAATGATCCACAAAAATATCACTGTACAAGGACTGGTCTACGACTGTAAGGATGACATTTTTTTTCGACAAGAAAGCATATCATTTATATACAACAGTTTTTATGAACATATAAAACCACTAGGTCAAAAGTTAAGTGATCTATTTTGATTGGTCAATTGTAGGACAAGGTTGTCCAATAAGATTTTTTCTCACCATACAGAGACAAATGTAAAAACTTCTACCCTAACGGCCGGTGACTTAAAATATTGATTTTTATTTAGACCACCTTATATCAATGACTTTTCCAGACATTATCCTGCACTGGATAGTATACATACGTTTATAATACAGCAGAATAAGAAAGTGGGTATGAATCCGTTTAGTAGAACACGAAGGATATTTCCTTGTACTGCAACTTGAGATGAGTCACAGATAGATATCTAAAAAATTTTAATTTAGAAGAAAATGATAAGAAGAATAACTGAGTTAACCAGTTCAATCTGGAGTATACAGAAGACATTAATGAACTTACAGTTTGCCAAAAGACCTCAATACCCTGTAAATAAAATATCTCCTCCAACCTGTCTAAAAATGCCTTTCAACATAACTCAACTTCTTTCAGGACATTCATAACAACCATGACCTGGATGTTTATAACAAGATATATCTTACTAGCACATCTGGAAGACCGAATTTCAATGGAATCATTCATTTTGATTCCACTGTAAAAACCCTGTTGAAATTTGCAAAAGAACAACTTTCGATATTGAATTTGGGGATTTGTGGGGCTTTAGAAATTCTTTCTTCAAGTTGATATTCATCATGGAGTGACGTCAGTTGGAGGAATATTAGAAACCTGGGAACATTGGACAGTTGTTTCGTCCATCTTGTATGAGACTCTTCAGCAGTGAGCACCCAGGACCCAGCCCCGTCTCGCCAGGGGTTCATCAACCCAGGACATTCAGGTTCCGTGGTCAGCACGTTACCGCTGAGCCACTTGATCGGGATCCAATGATGCATATTTTCAACTTGTGTCAGTTGACGACATAGTGCAACCGCCACCCAATGTCATCTTTGAGTATTTGTCCTTACGGGCATCAGGTTTGCCCCACTGGTCACGACTTCTCTAAAACCCCACAAACCCCCAAATTCAGGTGAACTAGCGCTGGTTGATGACTAGCTTCAAGAGGTGATTCCCGAAGTTCCAATGAGAAGTCGTGACCGGTGGAGCAAACCTGGTGGACAACGATGACATTGAATGATGGTTACACTATGTCATGAACTGACAGAAGTTGAAAATATTGACCATTGGATTCCGACCCAGTGGCTCAGTAGTAACGTGCTGGGTTCTATTCCTGGAGAGGCGGGTGGGATCATGGGTGCGCACTACTGAAGAGTCCCACAGTGGAACGATACAGCTGTCCAGTGTTTCAGGTTTCCAATGTTCCTCCAACTAATGTCAGTTCATGATGAACATCAACTTGAAGAAAAAACTTTCGGTATGTCTATCAAAAGCAGAAGTAAGGGAGATTACGAGTTTTCTACACTACTGATTAGGAGACATTCTTCATAATACAGATTGACTTCAAATCTGCGTATTTACTAATCTTCAAGATCAAGTCGAATTCCACAGATATTAAGAATTCGTAATCAAAACCGTAAAACCTAAGCTTTAAGTGTGTAAAATATCTTAAATATTCGTCTGTTCTTTCGAGTTTATAAGCCAAGATGAAAGTTGAATAGGTTAGATACACAATGATTCAAATGACTGGTATATATTCAGTACTGACCCGATTCAACATCTTGCATGTTTGATTTGCATTTTCAACTGCCATCTTTCTACTTTTCATTTCCCGGGCGATAGCTGCTACTTTGATATAGTGATCTAACTTGCATATCACAGTTACCCGATGAGCTACCTTGCTGGATGGATGGGATATGACATCAGTAGAGTGTTGCCTTTGGATGACCAGAAGTGTCACAGTGATGTTGCCTCCCCAGTGGAAAGCAGGAGGTTAGAAAAGATCGTCTCCCGAAAATAGCACAATCCTCCTTGCCCCATGATCTTTCAGTGCTGACATTACAGATTTTTGCTCTCCAGGATTAGAACAATCCGCAAAAGTCTATATGTGACAGGGATCAAGCGGATATTCCATAAGCTTTGCAGCAAAAAAATCTTTTCCTCTTTCAGCTAGCCTATGAAGAACTAGGCTCCCATAATATGAGTAGCCGGGATGTGTCAACCGTCCGAACGCTGCCAGTCGTAAACAAGACATTCCATTTCACCTTATATCCCATGATTACACACTGCCTTTTATGTATTTTTTTTTAATTGAATGGTAAATGATCATCTCTATACCTGTTAATCGTGTTATTGACTGATCAGTCAAAATCCCATAAAATAAACTGTAATACAATTTTGAGGCCAGAATGAGTTCAGTTAACAAATAATTGCCCAATATTGAAGTTCGTTTAACCAACAATTGACCATTGAACTCTAATCAAGTAGATCAATGGTAAGGTGTTACTTACAAAACCTGAAAGTCTTAGGTATATACTGCTGAGACTATTCTAAGACGAAACAGCTGTCCAGTGCCCTCAAGTTTCCAGCAGTTCCTCAACTAATTTTAATCCCTTAATGAATTCAATCAATTCCTAACAAATCTCTAAATTGATTTATTGTAGATAATTTTCTCAGATCAAATTGAAACTTTATTAGAACAAACATTATATGATATTAGTATTATTGGTTGTATTATACCATTGTTGACTGAACTAAATTGATCGGTGTGTATTGACATATGGACCCAAGAAGTGACTAACGTACCTCTGTGGCATAGTGAATAATACTCTGATGTTTGAAGTGATCGGTCGCTAGTTCGAATCCCAGTGGGAAACAATATCACTCACTATGAGGTAGGTATATACAGCTAGCTGAAAAGTCACAAATAGGATGAGATGTACATCCTGAGTTCCAGTATTAGCCACTATCTATTATTACTATGTATCTGATATAATTAGTATGTATACATTTTACTCACCTTTTAAATTGCCTCTTTCTTGTTCTAATGCATTTTTTAATCGTTGAACTTCATTCGATTCAGTTTGTAACTTTTCAACTTGTTCATTTGTCAATTGTAGTTGTATTTTAAGTTGACGTTGAGATTCTTTTGATGTTTTCAATGTTTCAATTAATTGTTCATAATCTTTTGTTAATTTTTCATGTAAACATTGTAATTGTTCATAATCATTAGTTAATTGAGATTTTGAAGTATGCATTGTATTCAATACAGTTGATAAGTGATTAATTTCAGCTGAAGATAATCAATTTCAATATATATATATATTAGTAATATTTATAAATATACTTAAAATTTTAAAGTATTATTTTACTATATTCATTGAAATTTTCAGAGAGTGAAGTAAAAACTTGGATCACGATAGGATTCGAACCAAGGAACTTTGGACTACTGACTTGATGAGCTACCGAATATGTAACAACATCAACCTGTTGATCAGAAGTGGATTAAGATGAATAAACAGTTATACGTGACGTGTTCATATAAGAGCCAGAAAAAATCGCCATTCCTGCCATGATCCAACTGTACGTTGAGGACATGAGAAGGTATCAGGTATTTGACAAACGTTGACTTCGCAGTATAAACCGTGTATCGTGGTGTCACCAAGTCAGTAATGAAGAAATCAAGTGTCGAGTTTTATGTGGGATGAGAGGGAAGTAAGTTGATGTGACTGTCACCGAATGAGGTGACTAGGACATCCATTACACATACCTAGTCATCGTCTGCCTAAAACACATAATGTTGGCTGAAGTAGGTTCAGGCTGGAAAAGAGACCTTGGTAGCCAGAATAAAACCTACAATTAGTCGATGAGTTCATTCACTACTGATGTGAGCCATGTAGGCGACAGTAGAGTTCCTGGGTGGAGTCCGCGTGGCAGAAACCTCTTCATTTCATCTCCTCCTCTCTTCTACTTCTTTCTACAACTTTTGACTCACTCTCACTTAACTCTCTATGCTTCATTTTAGTGCTTTCCCGCTTCATATGCTGATATAACGTTGACAACTTGGACCACTGTGAAGTAATACTTGATCTTCTATTGATGATGATAATATTGATAAAGTGTCTCAATGAAATATAGTTCACATAAACCAAACCAAAGAAGCGAGATCTAAGACTTTGTAAGAACTGACGCGGAATCATGCTTCATCCCTGTCCACCCCAAGCAAAATACTATGCCAAATCATCTTGGAGAGACTGAAAAATACTCTGCATTCAACTGGATTACCACCGGAACAGAATGGTTGGCTGGCTGGGTGGGTGGCTAGCTTCAGGAAAAACAAATCATGTGCGCATCAAATTGCAACGCAACGCTACACTACGCATCATCATAGAACAGAACATAGAATGACAGTCAGCTCACTACCTCAACTTCATCGACTTCCAAAAGGCCTTCGACAGCCTCGACCGACAAGTAATTTGGCAGGCAGATGCTTCAACACTACGGTTTTAGTGCCACAAACCACTATCATCCTCATTCAACAGCTAGTTATATGATGAGATGATTCTACATGTCAAGTGATTCACAATGGAAAGCAGCTCAGTGATGCCTTTGAATTGAAGGCAGGAGTAAGACAAGGTTGCCACCTACTATCAACGATCATCTCCCTGATTGTGATTGACTGGACTGGACTGGATTGGAGCATGCAACCAACCCTGAAAAGCTGTGAGAAGATGGGCATACGCTGGCCAGACCGATGAAAACACTCTAAACGATTTGCATTTCGTCTATGATGATTTATGTCTAATGTCTTATGTCACACAAACTCGAAGATCTACAGGCAAAAACCAACGAGTTGGCAGAAGAGGCATGGCAGGGCAGCAAAGAAAGACGCCACTTCCTTCAGGTGAATGTAGAGAAGACAGAGGTGATGAAGACACCCGACCAACAACGACAACAACAACCACCAATAACCATCAAGTGGAGAAATCTAAACGAAGTAGTCTTTTTCACCTACCTACCTCGGCAGCATTGTCTCAAATACAGGCGGTGGCACAGATGAAGAGGTCAAGGCCAGCACCAGTAAGACACTAAAACAGGCCTTTCTTAATTAATCTGAAATGATCAGTGTGGAGATCTACTGCACTTCACTCACTATAAAGTGTGAACAACATCCAGATTTCCAACATTAATGTTAGTCAAGTAAGTGCTTCAATGTGATGGTTCAAAGACTTGTCACTTTACGAAAAGTATTTCCAACAAACTGCAGACATCATAGATGAATAGCTGTCACCTACGCTCGCTCCATACTGAAGATCAGATCAGATGGTCAGAATAACAAGAATAAGCAACAAGGAAGTCACTCTGGCTGGTAACGAACCAACTGACTAAGAACCTATCGCCCAACAAATATGTAGCGGAAAGTGGAGATGGATTGGATTGTATTAGACATAGACTGAGAAGACAGTTTGGGGATATCACATCCCACGTCAAGCCGTCGAGTGGAAGCCAAATGGGAAACGACGAGTTGGGTGTGTGAGGGTGACATGGAGGAGATGGTGTGAGGAAGAAATGAAAGCGTATGGAGAGTTGCGAAGCCAGGTTCAAAAGACTGCAGAGAACAGAGTGAGGTGGTGACATGCTAATGAAGTCCTATGTCCCACTAGGAACCCAAGGGAGAAATAATAATAAACATTTTGTTACTTCTCTTAACGTTTTAAGTGAACAGAGATGGTAAAGTAAGCACTTTGATGATAATTGGGCAGATAAAAACTTTCGACAACTTCAGAAAAATTCAGTTTACCTGGTTGTAGATGTTTACTGACGTAACCAATACTAAGTAGAGACAGGATATATAGAAAGCATACTACAATATGGAGGTTTGTGGGTAGTTATTTATTGATTTCAACCTCGCAGGGTTAGGACATCATTTTGAAAACCTACGATTATTGAACAGCAGTGTACACCCATGACTGTGTCGGGGGTCGAACACAGGACCTTAAGGTTAGCCAGTTAGCACATTACCATTAATTCACTGGATCAAACCCGATGGTCCACTGTTTATTACTTATGAAGATCCCTATACCAGAAGGAAATAACTGTCTGATACTTCCACGATTTTAATGATACTCCCAATTGATGTCAGTCTGTGATGAATACCGACTTTGAAAGCAAAATGTCTATCTCGTTAAAAATTTAAATCTATGCTGAAACGCTTGATTACCCATATATAATTTAATAATTCTCCATTGTAACATCAAGAAGAAGATATTCAGTGAAGACAATCTTTCCAACAAATTTATTTTCATGCTGTACATTAATATTTATGTACACATGCTATCTGAAAAATTATATCCCATGAGGAAACACTATATGATGATGATGATGTTGATGGCATAGATATGGTAACAGTTGAAGTATGGGATGATAACAAGGTAGATTACGTAATATATGGAATAGTTCACACAAGGTATGTAACTCAAGTTCATCATAGGGAAGGGATAAACACCAACTATTCCCTTTCTTTCGTAGTGTTGAAGCAACTGCCAAATTAATCCTCAGTCAACGCTGCCAAAGGCCTTTATCAATCTCATTCAACAACTTATATGAAGACTCCACATAACAAGTCATTCACAATGGGAAACTCAGTCATGCTTTCAAAGTGAAGACAGGAGTAAAAAAAGGCTGTCTACTATCACCAATGATATTCCTCATTGTAGTCGAGTTGACTGGATCATGCAACAAACTGTGACGAGCTGTGAGAAGAGGGGTATACACTGGGTGGCTCAACCAGGGAAAAGAACCTAGAAGAAGATTTGGATTTCCCCGACGATGACTTGTATCTAATGTCACACAAACATGAAGATCTACATGCAAAAACTAACGAGTTGACAGAACAGGCTCGGCAGCGAACACGGGACTCCCTTCAAGTGAACGTAGAGAAGACAGACGTGATGAAGATACCAAACCAACATCACCACCACCACCACCAACAACAACAACAACAAGAAGCTCCAATCACCATCAACGGGAGGAACTTAAAGGAAGTAACCTCTTTCACCTACCTATCTACGCAGCACTCTTTCAACTACAGGCGGCACAAACACACACGAGGACGTCAAAGCAGTCAGGATTGGAAAGACAGCAAGACAGACGTTCATCAACCTGAAACCTGTGTCCAGATCTACTGCACTACACTCAGCATAAAGCGTGAACAACATCCGGATTTTCAACACCAAATTCAGTCAAGTCAGTGTTTCCATATGCTTCAGAGACTTGGCGCGTTACGAAAGGCATTTCTAACAAACTACAGACATTCATCAACTACTGCCACCTACACTCACTCGATACTGAAGATCACATCAGATCAGATCAGATGGATTGCCAGAATGGTGAGAATAAGCAACAAGGAACTCACTCTGGCTGGCTGGCTGGCAACGAACCAACCAAGAAGCTATCGCTCAACAAATATGCACTGGAAGGAAGTGCAGTTCGATTGAGCATACACTGAGAAGGCCGACTGGGGACATCACACGCCAGGCCAGGCACTCGAGTGGAAGGCAGATGGGAAACGAAGAGTTGGGCATCCCACGGTGAGGGTGACATGGAGGAGATGGTGTGAGGAAGAAATGACAGCTTGTAGGCAGTCGTGGAAGCAGGTTCAAAAGATTGAAGAGAAGAGAGTGGAGTGGAGACGTGCTACTGAAACCCTATGTTCCATTAGGAACCCTAGGGACGAATAATAATAATTCCTTTTCTTGATATGCTTCTCATCAGACATAAGAATGGATTACTTAAAAGATCCATCTACAGAAAAGCAATATGGAACAGACAACTAACTCATTTTTATAGTTGGGTGCCTATCAACAGAAAATTATATCTTATTCCCTCTCTCTCTCTCTCTCTCTCTCTCTCTCTCTCTCTCTCTCTACTTCTGAATAAGAAATACCCATAGTGAAGGTTGTATTGATGAAGAAATATCGTTTTTTAAGAAGCATACTTGTAGAAAACGGCTACCCATGCCATTTTATTGATAAAAATATAAGAGAAAGAAATACCAAACCGATCATTCATTCAGCCTCAAAGAAAAGATTGTTCATGAGCTTAGAATTTAATGGTGATCAAGAATAGTCTATCCAAATAGAACTTTCTTCACAGTAACACTTCAATTAACTTTTATCAGCTATAAGCTATTCTTCATTTGTGTTAAAGAAAGGATTCCTCGTTCGGCCACCTTTATGTGAATCTACCAGTTCACCTGCTCTTGTAGAGCAAGCTACATCAACCGTAGCCACAGAATGCTTTCTAAACTTATACTAGAACATGTTCCAGCTTTGTTTTATAGAGGTAAAAGAAAGTCCGTTAAGTGTTACACTCTGGAACATTTGATTGATTTCCATCAATCAACAAATTCAGACAATGACTTTAAACCTTCCGCGTTTTATTTGCTTTCAATTCCTTAAAACAGCGGAGGTGTGTACATTCACTAGTTTTTACCATGTCCGTGACATTTTCCCCATCGCTATTAGTTCCCCCTCCCCAATTTGTTAATTTAACCTTTATATCCTTTCTTCATGACTATTATTGTTATGGTAATTGGCTTCATGATTTTAGAAAATATTGATTTCATTTTGATCAACTTGTCTAATCCGTAATTAATTTACTGCTTCAATTGATTTTTTCCCCCTCCTTTCTCAGTTATATACCATCTATGAACCACTCCATGTATTACATAATCTGCTTTGGTATCATTCATACTTCGAATGTTACCATACCTATGTCATCATCATTATCATCATATAGCGTGTAGTTTTCCTCGCTGGATATGTTTTTTTTCTCAAATATTATATATTTTAGGTTGAGATTAATTATGGACTGATATAATTTGGAAGAACATAGGAAACCTGGGAGCAATGGACAGCCGTTTCGTCCCACTATTATGGAACTCCTTAACAGTGCGCACTCATGACCCCACCTCGCTTCGTCAAGGATTGAATCCAGAACCTTGAGGTTCCGTGACCAGCAAGTTACAATTGAGCCACTAGGTCGGAATTCAATGGTCTACATTTGCTACTTCTTTCAGTTCACGATAAAGTGCCACCTACAACCAATGTTGTCGTTGAGTATCTGTCCACATGTTCGACTTGGTTGACTCCACTAGTCATTGAAATTTTAAGAATCACCTGTGAGTGCTAGTCATCAATGACCACTAGGTCATTTCCATCTGGAGGTTTTAAGAGGTTTATTAATTGATTTTTAGCTGTAGTTCATCGTGCGCTGACATCAATCGGAGAAACATCGGAAACCTGGGAGCAATGGACAGCTGTTTCATCCCACTATTATGGGACTCCTTAGCAGTTCGCACGCATGACCACCGTACAACTCATTGCATATGGTAACGGAAGTAAAGAATGCGATAGAAGCTGAAAATTATTGATTCCACTTTCAATTTTCAGTGATTTGGCTGATTACCATATAAGCAAGCAAGGATGTTTTGAGTAGAGACGTCAACTTTACTGAAATGTTTGTACAGTGTATGAACAGGTATCACTCAATACAAAATCAATATCAAAGAGATAACTTCTGATGGATGAAGATAAGGGGCATCATATAACCCTTCGAAATAAAACTCTGATTCAGGCGATCATCAACGTTATCGAAGAATAAGCGATAGATCAATAACACATAAATTTGAGGTTTTAAGGTAGTATTCATCATGAGAAGAAATGGGTACGAATTGAAGACCAAAGTCTATAGAAGTGTTATATCGTCAGCCTCTTGAGTGAATGGATCGTCACGACAACTGAAAGTCTTGGATACAAACAGCTGAGGAGTCTAGCACTAAGGCGAAACAATTTTTGAGTGCCAACCCCCACCAGTTCATCAATAGTCCAAGATGAATACCCACCTTTAAAAAAAAATAGCCATAAATTATCATGCAAGTCAATTTTCAATAAAAATATTAGTAGATTAAAACAGATAACTTACATTCAAGGTCATTGATACGTGTAGATAGACTGGAATTTTGACCTTGAAAACTATCTACTTGACTATGCAATGTAGTATTTTCAACTTGTAGACGAGCATTTGTACCAATTAATTCAGATAATTGTCGTTGAATTGAAACAGATTGTTGTTGAAAAGTATTAATACGACTTTCTAAGTTTTGATTATTCGCTTTCATATTTTCACCACGTTCAACTTCATTTTGTAGCATTTCATCAAGTCGTGCATTCTTGTAATAAAAAGTTAATCAAGTATACAATAGAATAAAATCATAAAGAATGACAATTTATGGAAGAGAATGATCGAAAACTGGAGACCATACAGTACTTACTTTATCGAAATTAATGACTTCCCCTTCTGCTCTCCCCCGAAAAAAAGTGTCTATTCACATGAAAGCTAAGACTGTCAGTTTTTGTGGTAAACACCTTATTCAACCATAGAATAGGGATTTAGTCATCTACATTCTCGAACATCTCGATACTAAACTAGAAAAACATTAACATGATCATCATTGCATTGATGGTGTACAGTGTGGTTTATTTGCCCGGATACTGGCTTATAAATATAACCAGCGGTTGATGGGCATTGCTGTAATGCTCAAAATCATTCTAGATAATGGTAAAACCATATAAGATGAATGGAATCTCTGAATAAGTGACCTAAATGTTACCAAGTTATAATGTTTAAGGCCTTTTAGTCATAAAAGTTGCTAAAGAGATACATTGGTCTTGGTTGTACTGTGTTCTCTGAGCTGGCTGGGTTGTTTAATCGTGGAGCTTTCATCGTCTTGCTAGACAACATCATCAGTACTAACTTCAATATAAAGTGAGCTATAAATATCTCTCCGTGAGTAATTCACTAGTTTGTCCTGACGAACTGGTCTGTGATTGGTTATTTCCTTTGGTTGTTGTGTCATTGAGAGACCATATGGATTTTCCTGTTCGCTGTTCCTCTGCTTCACTTCGCCTGGTTAACTAGTTCACTACTAACTGCCAAACCACAGATATCTCAGACAGTAGCTGAAATGATATGAATTTGATATTAGTGTTAGATAGCGGCTAACAGTGGAGTCCAGGCGACACGTTTCATCCTATTTGGAACTCATCACTAGTGAGTGGTGTTGTTCCAGCTAGAACTTGGATCCAAGACCAGTCATTCCGAACGCCAGGACGTTATCCAATAGACCACTGAGCCACGACAGACAGTCTGTAGGCGACTGGTATTGTAAAGTTGAGAGATTATGGCCTGTAATTTCTCGTCGTTGATTGGACCAAACTCATAGACTACTTCTGATACATGTGCTCTTGTGCAAATGCCTTATTGCTGCCAGGATTTTCAATCTGAATAGTGGCTAGCAGTGAAATCCAAGACGCATATTTCGTCCCATTTAGAACTCATCAGCTGGGTAGCAAATTTAGTATTTGATAAGATCCGGTACAGTTTCGAACTTTATTGGAAACAATATACACCCAGATGATAACGAAACAAAAATCATAGATTCCCCTGGTAGCCTATTATTATTATCTATTATCAATTTAAACAAGTGAATGAATAAAATAAATTGAACATTTAACAAAGAACTCACTTCACGTTCAAGTTGAATGACACGATCTTTTAATTGTACTAAAATTGATGAATTATCTTGTATTAAACTGTCAGTTAGCATAGAAGTAGTTAAAGAAGAATTTTTCAATTTTTCATATTCTTCTATTTTTTCATTTTTTATTTTTAATTGATTTAATAATTCAGTATTTTTTATTTGTAAACTATTCATTTGTTGTTTAATTGAATCAATTTCTTCAATTTTATTAATAGTATCCTTATTCAATTGATGTATAAATCTCTTGATAAATGAATCTAATAATTTAGTTTGTCTAAAAGGGAAAAAGAGAAATAAATAAAGTATAGTTAATAGATTTATATATATTAACGGTGTTGATAAGTCCTACAATAGGAAACCATTTTTATTTTTAAACAAAAAAAAATGTTTTTGAGATGAATGCAGATTTTTAATTTAGAAGTAGTATTCATCATCGACTGACTGACATCAGTTGGGGAACCATTGAAAATCTTGGAGCACTCGACAGCTGAGGAGTCCCGTACTAGGACGAAACAGCTGTTCAGTGTTCCCAGATTTTCAATGGTTCCCCAACTGATGTCAGTCAGTCGATGATGAATGCTACTTCTAAAAAAATGTTTACCAAAAAGGCTTATTTCATTTCAGCTATATTATTCATTAAACTGTATAATCGTATATATAAATCATTCTATTCATATAGTATAACAGAAAAAGAATATTTTATGAAATATTTTTCGAATGAAGTTCATATTTATGATAAGTTGATTGGTTGTGGCTAGCAGAAGAATCTAAGATGCGCGTTTCGTCTGATTCGGGACTTGTCAGCTGGATTTACCTAAATCCCAGTGAGTGATGTTCTTCCCATTGAGACTAGAACCTCGTAGCCAAGGAGTTATTTACTATGCCATGGAGGAACGATAGACACTTCATATACAACGGGTAATACTTATTACTATTTATTGACATACTTCTTAGTCTCCGTTGTTTTGTTGGATTGAATTGTTCGATCAACTAAATCATCACAATTAACACTCAGGCGATTTCGAGGCCCATATGCCAATAGAGGTCGAACAATTCAATCCAACAAAACAACGGAGAATAAGAAGTATGTCAATAGATAGTAATAACTGTTACCCGTTGTACAAGAAGTGGCTATCGTTAATCCATGGCATAGTGGATAACGCCTTGGCGTTTGAAGTGATGGGTACCAGGTCTGAGTCTCAGTGGGAACAACATCCTTCACTGGGGTGCACGTATATCCAGCTGACGAGTCCCGAATCAGACGAAACGCGCGTCCTGGACTCCTCTGGTAGCCAAAACCAATCAGATCGTTATAATTAACATTCAGGCAATATTGAGGCATTCGCATAGGAGCCCATATGCTAATAGAGGTCGAACAATTCTATCTAACAAAATAACGGAGAATAACAAGTATGTCAATAAATAGTGAGAAGTTCACATTTGATTATATATCAGCAGATTAGGCAAGCAATTAACCAATGTTTGAAGTAATAACGGAAAGAAGACTTATCAAGACGGAAATAATACTAAGTGAAATGATGTATTATAATGATGAAAGGAACTTGTGACTGTAAAGAGAAATCAGAATTATAGAAGTAGAGGAATGTTATGTGTAAGAAGATTTGAAGGAAAAATCTTTTTGACGGTAAAAATATTCTTATAGGTTAATGTCCATTGCAACTCAAATGACCTGAGAAAATGACACTGAAATTGTTTTCTGCATTTACCATAATCTATCAAATGTTACAAAACAGAGTTATGAAATGTTATCCTTTCTCCTCTGTGCAACTAGCCTGGTATGGATTTAATCATAGGCAAACGGTGAGTACAGCCAATATACCTTAATCCGTAGGAGCTGGTGAAATGATAAACACACATCGAGGTGACCAATGGAGTTAGCTTATCCTTTAAGTATAATCGAATACCACAAACCTTTATCAATCTCATTCAACAATTTATATGAAGACTCCACATAACAACTTATTCACAATGGGAAACTCAGTGATGCTTTCCAAGTGAAGACAGGAGTAAAACAAGGCTGTCTACTATCACTAATGATATTCCTCATTGTAGTCGAGTTGACTGGATCATGCAACAAACTGTGACGAGCTGTCAGAAGAGGGGTATACACACTGGGTGGCTGGACCGGGGGAAAGAACCCAGAAGGAGATTTGGATTTCGCCGCCGATGACTTGTATCTAATGTCACACAAACATGAAGATCTACACGCAAAAACTAACAAGTTGACAGGACAGGCACAGCAGCGAACACGGGACTCCCTTCAAGTGAACGTAGAGAAGACAGACGTGATGAAGATACCAAACCAACATCACCACCACCACCACCACCAACAGCAACAACAAGAAGCTCCAATCACCATCAACGGGAGAAACTTAAAGGAAGTAACCTCTTTCACCTACCTATCTACGCAGCACTCTTTCAACTACAGGCGGCACAAACACACACGAGGACGTCAAACCAGCCAGGATTGGAAAGACAGCAAGACAGGTGTTCATCAACCTGAAACCATTGCGGAGATCTTCTGTACGCAGCATAAAACGTGAACAACACCCGGATTTTCAACACTAAATTCAGTCAAGTCAGTGCTTCCTTATGGTTAAGAGACCTTGCACGTTACGAAAGGCATTTCTAACAAACTACAGACTTTCATCAACAACTGCCACCTACGCTCAGTCGATACTGAAGATCAGATCAGATGGATTGCCAGAATGGTGAGAATAAGCAACAAGGAACTCTGGCTGGCTGGCTGGCTGGCTGGCTGGCTGGCTGGCTGGCTGGCTGGCTGGCTGGCTGGCTGGCTGGCTGGCAACGAACCAACCAAGAAGCTATCGCTCAACAAATATGCACTGGAAGGAAGTGCAGTTGAATTGGGCATACACTGAGAAGGCCGACTGGGGACATCAAGCGCCAGGCCAGGCCGTTGAGTGGAACCGGCTCTACTTCACGACCTGACCTGGGACCTGGTGTTGCTAAATAGTCTTCTCACTGTATGTCCAATCAAATCAAATCCAACCTATCCCATTCCTACTTTCTCCTTCTGCATATTTAATTGGTGACGGGTTCCTAGTCGGTTGGTTCGTTGTCAGACGGAGTGACCTCCTTGTTGCGTATTCTCGATATTCTGACCATTTGATCTGATCTTCAGTATGGAGCGAGTGTAGACGGCAGCTATTCATCTATGATGTCTGCAGTTTGTTGGAAATGCTTTTCGTCATGCGTCAAGTCTCTCAACCATCACATTGAAGCACTGACTTACTTGACTGACATAAGTGTTGGAAATCCGGATGTTGTTCACACATTATGCTGAGTGCAATGCGATGCAGTGCACTGCAGTGCAGTAGATCTCTCCACTAGTTATTTCAGAATAATGTAGGAAGGCCTGTGTTGCTGCCTTCTCGTTCCTAGCTTTGAAGTCGTCATCTGTGCCACCACCCGTAATTGAGACGATGCTGCGTAGTTAGGTAGGTAGGTGAAAAAGATTACTTCGTTTAGATTTCTCCCGATGATGGTGATTGGTGCATGCTGTTGTTGTTGATGGTGGTGGTGGCAGGGGTGATTGTGTATCCTCGACAGCTTTGTTTTTTCTACATTCACCTGAAGGAGGTCCTGTCTTGCTTCGCTGCCTCACCTCTTTTGTCAACTTGTTGGTTTTCACCTGTAGATCTTCGAGTTTGTGTGACATAAGACATTGGACATAAATCACCGTTGGCGAAATGCGAACTGTGTAGGATGTTTTTATCGGTCCGGCCAGAGTATGCCCATCTTCTCCCAGCTTCCTACGGTTTGTTGTATGCTCCAGTCCAATCCAGTCAACTACAGTCAGGAAGATGATCGGTGATAGTAGGCTGCCTTGTCTTACTTCTACCTTCACTTCAAAGGCATCACTGAGCTTTCCACTGTGAATCACTTGATATGTAGCGTAATTTAGCATACAGCTGCTGTTGAATGACGTTGATAGTGGTTTGTAGCACTAAAGTCATCGTGTTGAATCAGCTGGCTGTCAAATTACTGCCGAAGGCCTTTTGGAAGTCGATGAAGTTGCGGTAGAGAGTTGACTGCCATTCTATGTTCTGTCCTATGATGATGCGTAGAGTCGCGTAGCGTTGCAATTTGATGCGCACATGATTTGTTCTTCCAACCAGCCAGTCTGTTCCTGTGGTAATCCAGTTGAATACAGAGTATTTTTTAGTCTCTCCAATACGATACGGCCTAGCATTTTGCTTGTGTTTGAACGACGGTAGAGGATGATTCCGCGCCAGTTGTTACAAGACTTAGGTCTCTCTTCTTTGGAATTTTGATAAGGTAGCCCTTCTTCTAATCAATGGGCAGGTACCCTTCCTTCCTCCCTCTCTTTCAAACCTTATAGAATAGTGGTATGAGCGTTTCCGCTGTTGTTTTTGTGTCTGTTTTTCAGTGCTTCTGGAGGAATTCCATCTAATATCAACTATATATATACATGAACGAAAATCGAAACTTTGCCTTCAAAAGTATTTTGTTAAACCACTTTCTCTACATTGACCTTAACAATCACTTGTTGGTTACTTTTGTCAATTTCATTTCACTTCACTTCACTCTGGTATGCTTCTCTTTCATTATTATTATTATTATTATTATTATTATTATTATTATTATTATTATTATTATCATTATTTCAAGTTGTTATTCATCGAAGGCTGACATCAGTTGGAGGAACAAAGGAAACCTGGGAGCACTGGACAGCTGTTTCGTCCGACTAGTATGGGACTCCTCAGCAGTGCGCACCCACGACCCCACCAGCAGGGATCGAACCCGCGACCTTCAGGTTCCGCGACCAGCGCGTTACCATTGAGCCACTTAATTATCATTATTATTATCACAACTTTTTCACTTCATTGACAGCACTTGTCTCTTACTTCACCACTTGTTATCTTATTTCGTTTATTCTCATTTTCTATTTCTTCCACATGAACCAATCTCACCATTTTGTATATGGAATGAGCAACTGTTTTAGTGTAATTATCTGTCATTTTATCGATTATAAGTACAAATGTACAGCTTAATAATGAAATCATTGAAAAGAAATATTTCTTCTTCACTGATACATGTTCTTATCAACTTTACTCCAGTCATATTTTAAAATTAAGTAAATCCCTGAAGGTAAGGATTATATGTAGAAGATATTCATTGAATAGAGAACCGTATCATTCTACAATCCTTAGATTCGGCTGATTCATAATGGTTAAGCAAATAAATGTAGTTACAAGGTGAGTAACTTATCCAGCAGTTAAAAGAAGGTTGAACATTGAACAAACTGTTTCACGTTAACCAGTCACTGAACTCAGTATGATCATACTAGATTATAAATGAAATATTATTTGTAAAAATCCCAATGAAGTAGAAAAATAGGTTTCTGACGTTTCGTGACTTCGTGGAAATCATTTCTTCAGAGAATAAAAACCTGTACAATTTCCATCGATTGTTTAAATAGTAAATGGTAACAAATCAGATAACATTGTATATACATTATAATAATATGAAGATAAATGTCATTGTTATGTAGGTCAGGAAGTGTTCTATCTTGTCTTTATACTGGGTGATGTTTGAAGGTGAGGTGAAAATTTGGACCACAGCCTTGGGATTAAAATCAGCAACTACAGGATTTGGAGAATGGTGCTCTACCAACTCATATACGAGCTCGAATTTATGACCACAATTTTATTTCACTTCAATCACTAAGATACTTCGCCTGACTACCATGTGAATTCATCACACATTACTACTGCTTGATCGTATTCACACTGGTTGCCTAGTCAGGACTTCTCATCCCAGTCAAAATCTAACTGAATTAGAGAGGGGGAGTATCATGTTGATTATCATTTGACTATCTGAGATAACAGCCGTAGTTTTCTAGAATAGTATTTATACTGGGTGAGTAAAGTGAAATAAAAATCTGGTCACCAGTCGGACCTCATAGTTCTGTTAGCAGAGCATCGGGCCGGAAACCTGGTGGTCGCTGGTTCGAATTCGGCAGGGGTGCAAACTTTCAGCTCACCTCCAACCATCACCACCCAATATCAACACTAGTCTGTCAAACCAGGGTTATCTCAGATACTCAAATGATAAACTTGTCCCTCTTATCAATGATTAGTCGGGAATTGAAGGTGATGTGAATATGTTCACATGTGACTGGTTGTGAAAGTGTAAGAACAATACTATGGATGAGGAATTCAGTTTGTGTATGTGTATGTATGCACTTAGTTCTGAACATTGTATATGGTGTGCTGTTTTTGGAAATACTGTTCAGGTTGGTTGGATGGTGTAAGGCCTTCATTTCTGTGCTGAGTGTATTTGGATTCAACATAATGTGAAATCTCTCTCTTATTTCCTCGCGGTTGGAGAAACCTTTTTTGAATAATTTTAATATTTTCAATATAGATTTTGTAACTGTGATCGATGACATGAATCGCGATCGCCGACTTGACTTGTAAATTCTACAAGATTATTTAGCCATCGTTATGTGTAGCTTCCAGGTTCTTTAACCCAAATGGGGATCTCATAAGATGATTGACCAATATAATAGGCATCACAATCAACACAGCCTAATCTGTGTAGACATGATTCTGTGTGGAGGTGAAAGAAATTGTATCTGTAAATCGGTGTTTCGTCAAGCTTCTTTGTAGCTGTTCAGTTTTACTGTGGTGGAATGGTAGAACTACTGTGCCAATCTGGAAATCATCATTTCAAATTCATTTCGGGTCCCTCTGTTCATATTTCTGAGTCTTTTGAATGACATTCTAAGGGTAGTTATTGGAATATAATACATCTGACACATTACTTACTTCCATTTGCCTTGTCATCTTCATTCGTGATGAGCTTTTTGGCTCTCCTGAATCAATTCTGAGCAAGTGAAAGTGTAGCACTGAGTGGATGCGTTAAGTTGAAATCAAGATATCCATTTGAATGTGTTACTTTTGTGATAAATCGATAAACTTAGAATTCAGTTCCCATTCCTTTTAACCAAACACTCCACTGGTTACATTTTCATGTTCACATGTGAATTTAATGTATGAAGAATGAGTATTAATTAATTGGGAATAAGTTCTGAGACGAGATCTTTTTAAAAATTACGAATGTATCATCTAGGTATCTAAGGCAAATACATGGTTTGATGAAGTTAAAGATGATGATTGATTGAATGTAAGACATGAATATGTTTGCAACGCCATGGGGATACCGGAGAACCCATAGCTACTCCATTAATTTGTTTGTATAGTTTTCCTGTAAACGTTGAAGAGTGTCCAACTTTAAACAGAATTTGAGTAATTTCAAGCTAATGTCATGAAATGTATTTTTCTACTTCACTGGGATTTTACAAATACTATTTCGTTTGTAATCCATTTATCCCAATGGAATACTCAATTTATTCAACTTTAATAGGTGAAAATTTCATCCAAAAGTTTATAAAAGATCATAATTAAATCATCTTAGCAATAAAAATCATTTCTCATGCTTGTTACATTCATAATTGATGTGAAAATATCTCTGATAAAAAGTTCGACTGTTATTTAGTCAGTAAGTTAGTTGACTTCAACATTGTACCTGATATTGATGTTCAGTAATCCAAATTGTCACATCTACATAGATAATCTATGAATGAATTCCAAGACGCTGTGATCAATTCTGATCCACATCATCCGGAATATTTTAATATTTATCAAGTTTAGTAACTAGTTATACAAATCGATACATTATAGATAGTTAAATAAAAGGGGATAAAGAAAAGTTGTCTTACTCCATTGTATTTTCTGTGGAGCTTAGTTCAATTAACCAATCTTTCGGTAGCCCATATTTTTCAAAACCAATTTGAATACATTTTAATTCTGAAGTACACTTTTGTAGTTCAATTTTCTCTATAATCAATTCATTACGTAATGCTGAGACTGTTTTCTGTTCAACATTCACCTATAATATAGACAAAAATTATTAGTATGCATAATAGTTATGATCTCATCTCTTGATGATAAGTTAAAACAGTGCGAAGGATATAATTATTTATTGATATGTTCGTAGATCTCTGTTGTTTAATTGGATCGAATTATTCGACCTCTATTGACACATGAGCTCCTATGCGGATGGTTCAATATTGTCTGAATGTTATTTATGATAATTTGCTTGGTTTTGGCTAGCAGAGCAATCCAGGACGCGGATTTCGTCTTATTTATGACTGGTCAGCTGGATGTACCTGTATTCTAGTGCGGAGTGATGTTGTTCCCACTCCATGGCATAGTGAATAACGTCTTGGCGTTTGAAGCGATGGATATGGGGTTCGAGTATCAGTGGGAAAAACATCACTTCACACTAGGGTACAGGTACCATCCAGCTGACGAATCCTAAACAAAACGAAGTGCGCGTTTTGTATTCCTCTGCTAGCGACAACCAAGCAAACTAGCATTGCAAAGAACAGATTTCAATAGAAAAAATGATACTTTGTAGATAATCGATTTGAAAGTGGTATTTATCATGAACTGCCCCCATAAACCCACCAGGGAACGAACCCAGCACCTCCAAGTTCCACGGTGACCATGAGGAATCTATTGAATTCACGATACGTCGCAACTATCCACTAAGGTTTTTACTTGACATCCACTTTCTTTCCGATGATGGTGGCTTGGTATTCTCTAAGCTTTGAGGTTTCATCATCAGACGTAGTGACATCTTAAGGAATAACTATGAAGACGTGAATCATTTTCGAATATTACACGAATGTTTAAATAGTATTTTTATTGACCTTGAGTGTTGTTCAGTTGAACTTAAATTCCTTTCACTCATTTCATTAGATAAACTTTGTCCGAATGAAATTGTAATGTTGTTGTCACACTGGGCATCATGATTGATTTGTCCGATCAACTTGTCCTTAGTTGGTGGAGGATAACTGTTACCCCCCTAAGTAGATTTGGTCAGTATCGGCATATCTGTTGACTAACATTTCAATGGAATGCAATACTTCTAGAAATTCTCTTACACTTTTAGAGCCTGTTCTCTGAAGGATTTCCATAACCTGTCAGTTGAATTTGTGATCTTAATCGTCTGTGTGCATTGAAATCAAGGAGGCTGGATCATGTCGCTTAACTGTTAGTTGGTGTTTATGAATTCTTTGATCTGTGCAACGGCTAGACTGGTCAACATATCATCATCATCCACCACAATAGGACCAAGCAGTCCGAGTTGCTAAAGCTTATATCAGTACATCAAGTAAAAAGGCGGTGAAGTGGAAGGTGAAGAAAAGAAAATTCCGCCAAAAGAAATATAAAGTACGAATGGAGCGAAAAGAAGAATGACAAAATGGTGAGATTCAGTGTAGCACTAAGATGAAGATAATATGTGCATACATCTGCCTCACTGACATGCATTCTCAGCCATATCACCTACAGTCCCAAACCACTGGTTTCTCCTGTCCCACGGACCCCAACTACACAGTCTGAATCACCCTGCATGCTAAAACCGATAGTCAAAGATTTTATACATTGATGACATGTTTTAGTCTGCCCCCCATATGAGCCTTCTCCCAGCCTGAACCCACTTCGGTCAACATTGTGTGACAAGGCACAAGGCCACCAAGCATAAGTAACACATGTCTCAACCAGCCATCTCAGTCGATGAAGGTTCACAACCTTATCAACTGACTTACCTCTACTACTCGAAACTCTATACCTGACTTCTGCGTTATTCACATGGTGACACCATGGAATACGGTCTATACAACGAAGGCACCGGTGGTCAAACACCTGAAACCTTCTCATATCTCACAACTTCAATGGCCATGTTTCACAGCCATACAGTTGAACAGAGCGAACTGCTGTGCAGTATACCCTGCGCTTAATAGAAAATCGGATATCACGGTGGCGCGATGGCTGGCGTAAGTCAGAAGCCAGGCGAGTCGAAGACTTCATCAGCCACTGAGCCGCCAGGGCTGCTCCTACTTCCGAGGTGAGTGAAGTGGTCGATACACTCAACCAATACATTCTCTATTGTTAGCCATCGCACCGATGAAGACCAATCCTGGCGCGACAATTTACATTTGGGTGACGAGAAAACGCATCCCTAACATTGTCGAATTCCCACTCAAGTTGTACAGAAGCCTCTGCATCTTATCAGTGTCTTCATCCAACAGGGCTATGTCATCTGCGTATTCTAAGTCTGGCCAACATAATTCTATGAACAATTTTTGTAATTGATTTTGTAGATTGTATTTGTCCAGTCTTGTTTTGCTAATGGATCCTTTGATTTACACAATATGCTGTGTAGTGATTTCATTGCTTTATGTACTATTCTGATTCTGAAAGGATAAAGAAATTGGCTAACTGTTTCTCAGATATCTTTGATGTAGAGTAGTTTAACATGTCAATTGATTTGAGGCAGTTCTCCTGTGTTCAGTCCTGCTGAAAAACAATTTTTTTATGTAATTCAGTAGATAACTATTGGCTTGAAACACTTTGATACTGGGTGATGATTGAGAGTGAAATGAAAATCTGGACCATAACCGAATTCGAACCAGCCACCACCGGGTTTTCGGCCTAATCCTCTACCAATTCACATACGAGATCCAATTGATGACTATAAGTTTATTTCACTTCAATAACCAAAGCGCTTCGCCCGACTACCATATGAATTCGTCACGCGTTACTACCACTTGATCGTATTCACACTGACTGCCTAGTCAGGACCTCACCTCACCTCACCCCAATCCAAATCTAACTGAATTAGAGAGGGGGAGCATCATGTTGATAATCATCTGACTATCTGAGATAGCATTCGTAGTTTAGCAGACTAATTTTTATACTAGGTGATCATTGAAGGTAAAAATGGGATTGAAATCGGCGACCACTGTGTTTTTCGGCCCGATGCCCTACCAATTCACCTAGGAGGTCCGACCAATGACCAGATTTTTATTTCAATTTGTATAAATATCTTTCTTCGACTTTCTGTGAGGGCTTCACTGTTGCGGTATGTTTCTACTCTTTAGAATAATGTTTGTACACAACAATTTCTTATCGACTGTAGGATGATTGTTGTTATAGTTCAAAATTTGATTTTTGTGTATGGTTTCTCTCTTCAGGTTTGAGTCTGTAAAATCCTTTTGTGTGTTTTGTTGATGAGAACGTCGTAGAATGGATTTTTGTTGTTGGATCCCTCTTTTGTTTTGTGAAATGTTTGGTTAATTAACTTGAATATATTTTCTGTTTCATGTTCCTTGAGAATTACGAATGTATCATCGACGGATGGCTATTGATTTCAGCCTCCGCATTACAACTTGAGTAATAATTCCTGAAGTAGCCTCTTTCACCTATCTACGCAGCACTGTTTCAACTACATGCTGCACAGATGAGGTCGTCAAAGCCAGGATCGGAAAGACAGCAAGACAGGCGTTCATTAACCTTAAACCAGTATGGAGATCTTCTGCACTCAGTATACAGCGTGAACAACATCCGGATTTTTAACACCAACGTCAAGTCAGTGCTTCTGTATGGCTCAGAAACTTGGCGCATCACGAAAACCGTGTCCAAAAAACTACAGTTATTCATCAACAGCTGCCACCTACGCTCACTTGATACTGAAGATCAGATGGATTGCCAGAAAGAATAAGCAACAAGGAACTCTGGCAACGAACCAACCAGGAAGCTATCGCTGGACAAATATGCACTGGAAGGAAGTGCAGTTGGATTGCGCATACACTGAGAAAACCATTCGAGGACATCACGTGCCAGGCCAGGCACTCGAGTGGAAGGCAGATGGGAAATGATGAGTTGGGTACCTGACGGCGAGGGTGACATGTAGGAAATGGTATGAGGAAGAAATGAGAGCTTGTTGGCAGTCGTGGAGCCAGGTTCAGAAGTTTGCAGAGAACAGAGTGCACTGGAGACGTGCAACTGAAGCAGTATATTACACTAGGAACCCAAGGGACAAATAATAATAATAATAATATAATATAATGATGATCATTCCTGATATCGGCAATCCCATAAGTGTCCGTTTTGTCTTTTTGTTAGTAAATCTTCCTTTTATTCTATCAAGAAACTTGATTGCTAAGGTGACTGAGTGTTTACTTCCACTGACGAAATGCTTTAGTTTGCTGCATTAATATTTTGATAGGTTGAATGAAGGTGTTCCAGATATTGAAACTATTGATCGCAGTAGAATATCTATTCTGTGCATCTTTGTTCGATCATAAAACTTCGGTAGAACTGACCCATTTATTTTCATCTACCATTGTTCTTCTTTTATAATTTAGCCAGATTTTACTAAAATTCTCAGTTTACTCTGTATCGGTTTGTTCAGCTGTTAAGTTGAATTCTTGTCTAATAATTCGTACACAAGCTGTTATTCAGCGTAGAATGATATCAGTTGGAGGAAAAAAGGAAACCTGGGAGCATTGGACAGCTAGTATGGGACTTCTCAGTAGTGCGTACCCACGACCCTGCCAGGGGTCGAACCCACGACTTTCAGTTTCCGTGACCAGTAACGTTACCATTGAGTCACTGGGTCAGAATCCAATGGTCCATATTTCCAACTTCTGTTAGCTCAGGATATAGTGCAACCACCATCCAATCTCATCGTTGAGTAACTGTCCTCACGACCATAAGGCTTGGTACACACTTTCATCGTTCAGTGATTCCTATGTCTTCTTGACATAGACTGTTTTGTTCATGACGATGATCTTCCCTCTTTTATCCGAAGGTGATATTACAATTGTCTTAACAGTTATTAGTGATTTCTTTTTCGATTGATGCAACTGTTCAGTGCTCCAAATCGTTTCAAATGGTTCGCCAACTGATGTCGTACTATGATAAATACTACCCCGAAATAAAAGAGAGTTATTCATATATAAAGAGAAATACAACTTCATAGTCGGTGAGATAGAACTTCCTACTATCGTGTCAACAATTACTCTAAAATTTATAATAAAAAATAAGTAGAATACAGAGATTGTAGGTCTCCTTGAACAGATTACAGTGTTCTTCACAACACTTTTATGGAAATTAAGTCTATCAATAGTATTCCTGTATTAATTTACTTCAGGATGTTCACCATTTGAAATTAATTACCTTCAACCAATCAACATGAAATTTCGGTCTTTTTTTTCGAAACTAAATAGACACTTACTTGATGGCATAATTCACTTCTTTGCTGTTCACTATCATGCAATTGTGCTTCATTCTGTTTGATTGTATTGTTCAACTTTGAAATTTGTGTCTCTAACTGTTTAATTTTCTCTAAAGCATCAGATAAATGTTGATTTGGTTCAGATTCTCTTAATTCTCTGCGTAGTTTACGTACTTCTTGGTCAGATAATCGAAGTGATCCTTTTAAACGATTGATTTCTGATTCTAATTGACATATTTGTTGCTTTGAATATTCATCAGATTCTTTCATAGCAGTTCTAATATAAAAAATATTGAAATGAGACAGAAATTAGTCAATTAAGTTTGTAATTTTAAGTTTAGATTTTACACTACTTATGAGTAACTTAAGTGATTCTATAAAAATGTCTGGTGAACTGATCATTGTTTCGAAAAAACGTGCTGTGTAAATTCTAGATAGCAGAAATCTGACTTTTAATTTATTGAGAATACAGAGAAATCGGATTCTAGACTTTACAGAATATCTATACTGTGATGAGACATAAACTTAGATCCACAGGCTTGCACAAAATGCGGAAAAAAGTTGAAATTACTTTCCATAGATACTCATAAATACTTCTTAGACATATAAAAAGCAACCATGTGATATGAATTCGAGATCTCCTTAATACTGAGTCATACTACACAGAAACAATTGACCATTAATTAACAGTTTTTTCGAAGTTCTATTGAAAAGAACATATATTTTGGATAATTCGTCCTTGTGTTGAAAACTGAACCAGTTTCATTTAAACAAATAATTAGTGTAACTGATGAGTTATCTGAATTGTAAGGATTGTCACAATCGACTGAAGCTCAATCAACATAAAACCAGACACTACTGTGGAATGGTCTGAGTTGATACATCTCATATCACCATATCAAGCAATAAGGCAATAACATGGAAGATGAAGAAAGAAACATTGGTCAAAGGAAACAGATGTGGAAAGTAGTAAAAGATAGGAAGGGAGAATGAGATGATGTGACCAAGTATAGCGATTAAGATGAAGATAATGTTTGTATACATTTGCGCCACTGAAATCGGTTCTGTACCATATCACCCAGAGTCTCCAACCACTGGTTTCTCTTGTCCCACGGACCCCAACCGGGTAGTCTACATCACCCTACGTGGCTTAAACGAGCAGTCAACGACTTCATACATTGGTGCCATGTTTAAGTATGTCCCTCTCTCTGAGCCTTTTCCCAGCCTGAACTTACTTTGGCCAGTATTGCGTTACGAGGCAGACGGCCATTAGGTATGCGCAACACAAGTTCCAATCATCTCAGACGATGAAGATTCACAACCACACCAACTGTCTCACCTCTCCTGCCTAAAAATTCGCACCTGACTTCTGCGTTACTCACGTGGTGGCATAACGAAAAACGGCCTATGCTACGAAGCCAGCCGTGGTCAAACACCTGAAGTCTTCTCATGTCCCCCTCCTATCTTAAATGGCCATGTTTCAGACATAACGTAGAGCCATGCGAACTGTAACAAAGTACACTAGACCATAATAGGTAATCGGTTATCGCGGAGCAAGTCAGTGAAAGCCAGTCAAGCCATTTTGTATCCGTGCAGAGATTTCGTCGGCGACTGACCAACGCACCAGGATTGATCTGACTTCGTAGAAAAGTTAGCTGTTAAAAGCACTCAACCATTTAATTCAGTATTGTTATTTAAAGCATCAGTAAAGACCAGTTCTGGATAAACAGTTTGTATTTGTATGAGGAGAAACGTATCTCATACAACCTCAAATTATCAATGAAGGAACCCATAAGACTCTGACTCTTGTCAACATCTTCACTCAACAGCACTATGTCATCTGCGTATTCCAGATCGACCAAGGATTCTCTTGTGATTAGATCTATCTCTGTAATGCCAGATGACGAAAAGCAGATCTCCATAAAAACATCTATAATAAAACTGAACAGGACTGGAAAGAGTGTTGATCTTTGACTCGCACTACTCAATTTACACAATTCATAAGACCTATAATGTTTATCCCTAGATCCTCCATACATTGAGGTAAGAGTAGCCTTACAGGTTCCGAGTTCCACCGAATAATAATATCATACATGTCTCAGTAGGAAATGTTTATTTGCCATCTGTAAAGTAGACTTATTCATCTTAGCTACAAAATGTAATCAATCCATTCATTTTTTTTTCTGTCTGTTTCAACTGGTAATTCTTCCTTCTGTTTCAGAGTCAATGTAAATATTTTCTTATTCCACCTTCCTCTCTTTTACTGGACTGATATGAAATATGGCGACTCAAATCATTGTAGAGTATCGTCTAGTCCTATGATAATATTGATTGATTGATATTTTGTGTAAAGTGATCTATTATGATTAAAAATTTTTATATTCGCGACAGTATTAGACAGAATTTTTTTCTTGTAAAATATGCTTTTTTGGATAAAGAATATATCTTTCAGTTAGTATTCTTTAACTAAGAAGGTAAAACGTTCTTCTTGTCATAGTGAAAAACACTATCAGTACTGAGTTTCAAAGATTTTAGTGTATAGTACTGCAATATAGTCTTCACCTACTTCGAACCTGTCAGTTGAATTTACCTGCACTCCAATGAGTGATATTCTTCCCAACAGCGCTCGAACCCAGTACCTACTATTTTAAACGTCAAAGCGTTATCCACTAGTTGACTAAGGCAGGAAATGCATCATTTGTACAATGGGTATCAGTTTTTGTTTATTGATACTTGTAATTTTCCGTTTCTATACTAGGTCGAATTCTTTGACCTCTATAGTGTAACACCTTTGAAACCTTAACTCATCCACTTTCTAGCATCTTCTTGTGGATTATTACCATTTATCGATTAGCTTCAATTATTAAACATAAGTAAATTCTAGTGAAAGATACTATTAATGAACAACTGGAATACTTCAAAATCATTCAAATAAGTCTGTAGATTTCGCCAACCAGCCAGCTAGTCAGATCAAAGTGATCTAAACCGCAGATGGCTATTTCACTCGTTTGAGAGCAAGTTATTTTAAGTATTCCTATCCATGATAATCAGCTAGGGAAATTCAGGTTATCTGAACTAAGTGAGCTGTATAAGATGAATTCCTCCGAGTACACCATTGATGGCATCAGTTGCAAATGAGCGAAACAGTTTTCCAGTGTCCAGATCACTGGTTGAATAGTCTCTAAACTTATTGATACACTTCTTCACCCTTCCGCGATGTAACAGCATACTTTTGAATTCATGATTCTCTAGCTTTGTTGAATGACCTTGACGGTGATGGTATGTTGTATCAGTTTATCATGATCGATCTGGTCTCTGACTTTAAGTATTTAATTAAGAGACTGAGTTAGAGTTAATCAATTTTTTGACAGAATGTCTTGATATTTTCAACCTATCCCTTATCCAGTTATCTTGACATGGATGCAGTCAAGTGACATAACAAATGTAATTACTCTTTACATCGAAGAAATGAATGATTACATAATACTTGTAAGGAAACTTTAAAAGATAATATAAAGTATAAAGACAATTTTTCACGATAAAATTTCACTTTAGATATATTAATGCTCTATTGAAGTATAATTATGAGCATTTATTTTACAAAACTTACTCATGTGCTGAAGTTTCATTTGCTAATTTAACTTTTAATTCTTCGAAACTTTTAAGGAAATTATCTCTCTCTATCTCCAAACGTTTAATTTCTGTATCCATTCTAGTAAGTTCTGTTTCATAATTAATATAACCTCCTCTACGACGTCTATCACGATGACGTGAATTCGATTGTATATTGATAGATTTTTTGCATAATTTTCCTACATTTAAACATTCAGGTGATATTTCTTCATTGGAATCATCTGTTTTATTACCGCTATCAACTTCTTCATCTCTTAAGTTGACTATATCACCATCTTCATCATCAGCTTCATTATCATCCTCTGAATCAAGTAATCTATGTGATTTTAAACTTTGTTTTAGTGTATTCAAACGAGTTGATAAATTATCACGTTCTATTTCAACCTTTTTAATTAACAAATAAATAAATAAAAAATTATTTAAGATTATAGTAGAAGGTTGAATAGAAAAGTTTCAATGAAATTCTTTGATAGAATCTTATCCTTCTGAGAAGTTTATCTGGATAACTAATGACTTCATATTTAAAAGCCAACTGGTATGATCTACCCCCGAATAAGAAATCTTCAAGAAGAGTATCGATATGAACACAAACACTCTCTATCAAAACTGATCATTGTTAAGCCAGAATGACCCCCCCCCTCTCAACTATCAGACTTCATTGCATTCACATTCTTCAGGTAATCGATACGTTGACCCTACTCACCTGTCTATGCACACACGTGTGTGAGATGCGTTTCATTGAAGTCTCCACAGTCTGACAAATCAGATCAGCTAACTTTCTTAATTGACTATACTCTTCTCACCATATTCAGGTTCTGTTGGGCTACTGATATGAAGTCAAGGCTAGGAGTAACGACGAAATATCGCTCATCTTCACAAGATGAACTACACTTGTCTATAACAATTGTTTGAATAACACAACAGGAAGATGGATTCAACTTACCTTTCAGTTGTACTGCTTCTAGTGAAGTGGATAAAATATTGACGGCTATTTAGACGACTTTCTATGCTTTGGAGACTCATGACACTGATGTGCTCATATGAATCTCGTCGACTGAGTTTACCGCTAAGTCAGCGGATTGATTGGTATCCAGCAAGGCTACGTGAAGCTTGTTGTCACCAAGCAATTAAGTGCAGTATAAACACCACTTAACCGTTCTATACATAACTGTATTACATAACTAAACGGAAACATTTACCTATCTTAGAAGAGTTATAGTCATTCTACGTAAATCGAAAGTATTTACTATACAATATAAAGATTATATGTGAATAATATTTTCTGTTTACCTGAGCTGTCTTTTGTATAGAAGTAAACAATGCATTCTGTAATTGTTCACATTTATTTTCAATTTGTCTTAATCGAATTAATTCATTTTCCATATTCGTTGAATTTTCATATACACTACGAATTGTTGACAATTGAGTTTGTAGACGAGCACAATTACCTTCAGCGGTTACAAGAGCTATTTCCACATCTGTTTGTCTATTGAAAAATAAATTGAATCAATATAATAAATAAATAAATAATTGAATAAATAAGCAAATAAACACATAAGTAAATAAACGAATGAATATATACAAATACATAGATGGATGCATGATGAAATGGATCAACAAATTCGTAAAAATAAATAAATAACGAAGCAAAAAGATGAATAAATTATTAATTAAATGAATCAATGAATAAATAAATAAACAAATGAACAAACGAATAAATAAATTATTCAGCAAGTAAACAAATAAACAAATATATGAATAATTGGATAGATGAATAAATAAATGAACCAATGAATGAATGAACAAGTAAATGAAGAAATAAGTGAATAAACAAATGAATAATTGAGTACAAAAATGAATAAAAAACTTAATGAACGAATAAATACATGAACAGATGAATAAATGAGTAAATAAGTAAACAGTTATATAAATTAATAAGTAAATAAATAAACAAATAATTCAGAAAAAAATACATGAATAAGCACACGGATAAATAGATAAATAACCAGTTGAATAAAAAAATTAATTAATTAAACAAACAACTTGATTTATTGTTATTGGTTATATTATACCGTCGATGATTAGACCGAATTGATCGGTCTCTATTAGTATATGCACTCCTATGCGGATGCCCCAATACTGCATGCGTTCTAATTAGATTAATGATGGATTATGTATGGCTAGCAATGGAATCCAGGATGCGCATTTCGTCCTATTTAAGACTCGTCAGCTGAATGTACCTGCCTCCCAGCGCCGGGACTAGGACTGATCAATTCGGTCCAAACAACGACGGTATAATGCAAGCAATAACATTAAAACTATAGCCATCGCAAAAGAAGTGGCTATCATGGCTCGTTGATGAAGTGGATAACGCTCTCGCGTTTGAAGCGATCGCTCCCGAGTCCGAAAAACATCACTCACTGGATGGCAGGTACATTCAGCTGACGAGTCTCAAATAGGACGAAATGCGCATCCTGGATTCCATTGCTAGCCACAATCCATCATTAATCTAACTTCATTCATCAGTTCTTATGTAAATGAATAATAATGAATAGATAAATAAGTGAACAAATAAAGGAATGAATTAAAAAATTACTCAGCAGGTACATGAAGAAATGTATGGATAAATTAATAAATAAACGAATAAACAAATAAAAACATACATACGGAAACAAACATTGAACTTGTTTCCTTGATATCAATCATCATGATAAACTGTTTGTCTACTATACGATGACGTTTCAAGACCAATTTGTCATGCATAATCAGTCAGTGATTTCATCATTCAAAAGAATCTACAACAGTAGCCAAACTAAATAAACATCTGCCAATGATGGAAATCGGCTAGCAGAGCGATCTACGACGCATGATTCATCCCATTTGCGACTCCTTAGGTGGATTTACCTACATGTCAGTGAGTGATGTACTTCACACAAGGATTCGAACTCGCCGACGATCGATTCAAACAACACAGCATTATACACTAGACTACAGAATAATGATAATCACCTCTTGTGCGATGGGTATAGCAACAACATATCATCAAAGATAATTCACTTCTTCATTAATTAGCAAATTACTTGATACAACTGAGTTATAGTTTTACATAATGGCTTGGATGAATTCTTCACCTCATATCCAATATGTTGACAGTAAATCTCCGATGAAAAAGAAACATACTTTCCTTGTATAATTAGCAGTTTCCTTGAACATACACTACCTTAAGAATTTCTTGTCATCTACCTCTTCAATCGCTGTGTAAGTTAGACGAAGTTGTCTAAAAACTTCAAGAAATTCATTTCGAGACAGGTTATCAAGAAGAGATTCATGATAATTACACTTTTATCTGTTTGTTAGAAATGTGACACACTGACTGGACACAATTGTTTGTCTGTATTCATATGAAGTAACCAACTCCACAAATTCGACGCAGAGTTTATATAGTCCTAATCTCCCCTCCTTCCTAATGATGATAAGGATAATAGAATTTTGCATAGATCTCGGAAAGGTGCAAAATCATCATTCCCCCTAACTGTATGTACTTGGTGTTGATTCGACAAACTAATAAGATTCAGGTATCAACCTGTCTCACCCTCCATCCAACTAAGTTAATTCTTGGCACTACCACTCTATCCCACTCTTCTGTGTGGGGTTGTGTGTCACTGTGTGCAAAGCTATGACCAAGCTTTCTTCAAGATTTTGTGCTCTGTTATTCTAAGTGACCCACTGCTCCACTACTTTGACCCATACATTTGACCTCGTAATCATTCCAAGGGATTTCGTAAATCAGATTATCTTGCTTAATTATATCAGTAGGATCTTTTAACCTAAAGAGCTTGTTTGTAAGTGAGTTTGTTGGTTTAGATGACACTGTAATCCCAGTCAGCCTTATTCATCAGAATTCTTCGTAATGCTTCAGACATACCTTCCCTATATGATAACAGAAGATAAGTTGTAAATCCTCTCTCAAGCCTGCCACCATGATTACTATTAGTAGTAGAATTGTTATTCATAACAGTTGGCATACTACTGCTCATATTTTTCTTTCGACTTCTTGTGAATTTATATTGGTGAATTTAGGTGGGTAATTACTGATGCAAGGTACTCTTGGCATGGCTTATTTCCTGTCGTAGATATTCTCACCTACTAGTAAGCATTTTGCCCTATCAGATAGGCATTGAACTAAGCCTTCCTTAAGGGAGATGGGGTGGGAGGATTGAAGTCTAGGTAACTATTCTAGCAGGAAGGTTTCCTATGAACAGTAGTCTCCACAACCCATTGATGTGTTCCAATTTCACTATTGTAGACGTCTCATCTACATATCGGAAGCATATCTTTGTAGTAGAACTAAATGTTTGAAGGGACATCTATACCCAACTGTCCATAATTGTGTCTGTGACGATAAGGGATATTGGTGATCTCATGGCAACCCATTCAGTTTCTTTATGTATTTTTTAGCTAAACCTGGATTAGTAGGTCCTAAAAAGATAAGAAATTTAGAAAAAGGCTCAAATTGTACAAAGGTCATACTTCTTATATTGCTGCAGATCCTATTCTTGATCGAATATCAACAAAACTACTGTTCCCTTCAGTGAACAAGGTGAAACTCGCTCTACGTCGGTTAGATAGATGCAAGAAACAGACAGTGTGGCCCAATATGACCATAAATAACATTCTTTCAAAGAGGGAGGTGATATTGGGCTAGAAAGAAAAGACTAGTCTGGAAATCGACCAATGGAAATGTCTACTATATATATATATATATATATATATATATATATATATATATATATATATATATATATAAGATATATTTGCCTTCGTTTTTCATGTTTGGTCTTTTGACTCCAATACACGTTTCTACACGTCCATCGTGTCTTCTTCATTGATCAGTAGGGTCGGGAATAAACTAGGAATTTGTTGAATATTGATGACTGACACTCGATATCCATGCATCGTTAACAGCCATAGCACATAGCAATTTTCGAATGAAAACAGGCGGTTACCTATCTGTTTTTAACTGGGTTAAACAGTACATTGCTTGGTAAACAGGAATTAAGCTAACTGCAAGGAAAGTTGTAGTCAGTGATATTTTCAATTGTCTATTAATAGTAGTTCTCTTAATGTTATCAAGCTTGAAATTTAGGTGAAACAGTACAGGCTGTCTCTTCACTATAATATTCTTCGATGTATTGTCCTTCATTTTTATATATCTGTTGATAAATGCTTGTGTATATCCACCATTACCCCGTAGGTATCTTTCAATTGTTCACAACTCCACCACTTTATCACTAGAAAATATTATCTTAACTCTCATTGAAATAGTGTTTTTAATAAAAAAAAAAACAACAACAATGAAACAACAGAAGAATATGAAACCAAATCTACTCAAACAAAAAAGAGAAGCTCATAGGAACCTTTAAAGTGATAATAATATAACGAGAACCACCAAATGGGTTAAAGGCAACTCAGTAGTTGTAATGAACAAATCTGACTACATCTATAAAAGTGAATGAACATAAAGAAACAGGAGTATATGAAGAAATCAAGAAACCAATGGATAGTATTATGAATAAGGTTGAGAAACCCTCAAGAGATCTGATATGCCGGATGAAGCCATTTCTCAGTGGGTCAAAAAGGTTTTATTTGCTAGGAAAAACTAATAATCTTAGCAACATCTATAACACTACCATGATTCATAAGCCAGATTATCCTATCAGGCCTATAGTAGATTTTAGAAACACTCCAACTTATGAGATGTCTACATATTTAGCAATGGTGTTAAGCCCAATAAGAAATCATTCAAAATCTTAAATTATCAACTCTTACTTTAGATAGAACAAGCCTGTACACGAATATTCCGATCGACATGGCTCTAAAGGCAAGTGGAGATGATCTTAAGGATGATAGTGAGTTTCAGCATCGAAATAAGGTGCCGATCGAGGAAATCATGCTAGAGTACACTTGTACTTAACATCTACACTTTTTAGGCTTCAAAATAAAATATATAAACAAACTGAATGGGTTGCCATGGTATCACCTATATCCATTATAGTAACAGACACAATTATGGACAGTTGGATACAGATGTCCCTTCAAACATTCAGTTCTACTACAAAGATATGCTTCCAATATGTAAACGATACATTTACGATAGTGAAATTGGAACACATCAATGGGTTGTGGAGACTACTGTACATAGGATACCTTCCTGCTAGAATAGTTACTTAGACTTTAAATCCTCCCACCCCATCTCACTTAAAGAAGGCTTACTTCAATGCCCATGTGATGGGGTCGAAAAGCTTAGACTCAGTAGACGAGAAAATCTTCACCAATAGATAAAAGAAGTAGTAGTAGTAGTAGTAACACAGGTACTACTAATGATGAAGGTATATCTGAAGCATTACGAAGAATTCTGATGAATAAGGCTGACTGGGATTACAGTGTCATCTAAACCAACAAACTCACTTACAAACAAGCTCTTTAGGTTAAAAGATCCTACTGATATAATTAAGCAAGATAATCTGATTTACGAAATCCCTTGGAATGATTACGAGGTCAAATGTATGGGTCAAAGTAGTGGAGCAGTGGGTCACTTAGAATAACAGAGCACAAAATCTTGAAGAAAAGCTTGGTCATAGCTTTGCACACAGTGACACACAACCCCACACAGAAGAGTGGGATAGAGTGGTAGTGCCAAGAATTAACTTAGTTGGATGGAGGGTGAGACAGGTTGATACCTGAATCTTATTAGTTTGTCGAATCAACACCAAGTACATACAGTTAGGGGGAATGATGATTTTGCACCTTTCCGAGATCTATGCAAAATTCTATTATCCTTATCATCATTAGGAAGGAGGGGAGATTAGGACTATATAAACTCTGCGTCGAATTTGTGGAGTTGGTTACTTCATATGAATACAGACAAACAATTGTGTCCAGTCAGTGTGTCACATTTCTAACAAACAGATAAAAGTGTAATTATCATGAATCTCTTCTTGATAACCTGTCTCGAAATGAATTTCTTGAAGTTTTTAGACAACTTCGTCTAACTTACACAGCGATTGAAGAGGTAGATGACAAGAAATTCTTAAGGTAGTGTATGTTCAAGGAAACTGCTAATTATACAAGGAAAGTATGTTTCTTTTTCATCGGAGATTTACTGTCAACATATTGGATATGAGGTGAAGAATTCATCCAAGCCATTATGTAAAACTATAACTCAGTTGTATCAAGTAATTTGCTAATTAATGAAGAAGTGAATTATCTTTGATGATATGTTGTTGCTATACCCATCGCACAAGAGGTGATTATCATTATTCTGTAGTCTAGTGTATAATGCTGTGTTGTTTGAATCGATCGTCGGCGAGTTCGAATCCTTGTGTGAACTGCATCACGCACTGACATGTAGGTCAATCCAGCTGATGAGCTCCCAATAGAACGAAGTGCGAATTCTACAGATCTTTATTTCTCATTGATTCTCGTAGTTGTTCACTTTTATCCTGGCTTGAATTGATGGATCTCCGTTTGCATACATGTGAGCTCCTGTGTGGTTGGTTTGATATTGATTTTGTCATAGTTTTCTGGTTGGTGGATGGTAGTAGAATCTAGTACGCGCGTTTTGTCATATTCGGGACTCATCACCCGCATGTATTCGCACCACAGAAAGTGATGTTGCCTGCTCTGAGATATAATCTGCAATCAGTTAACATAGAGACAGTTGCATTGGAGTCCAGAGGTTGATAAGTTGGATTCGTTAAAACAACATGAAATTGCTAGAATCAATAATTAATGGGAATAACTGATACTCGTTGCACAATAGGTGGCTCTCATGCCGTGGTGGCCTAATGGGTAATGCTTTGGTGTTTGAAGCAGCAGGTGTTTCGTGTGGTGCAGGTGTGTCTGGCTGACGAGTCCCTTATATGACGAAACAGGTGTACTGGATTCCGCTACTAGCCACCACTAAGCTGTATTCGAAAAAGAAGCATGAAAAGAAAGAGAAATCAGAGAAGTAAGGGGGGAAAAAACACAATACAATTTCGCCTACCTTGAGCAAGCTTCTTTCAGTGCAATGATTTCACGTTTAGCAGCTCCTAGTTCAGCACTCAATTGGTTACGTTCCTCAGTTAATGTATCAACAGATTTGCAGAATTCATCTGCACTAGTTAAACGATGACGTAATTGACTAATTTCTAGTTCAGCTCGTGCTAAACACGTTACATTGTGTTGAACTGATTCACCAAGTACACTATTCTCCTTTTCTAAACGTGCTATTCTTTCATCCGTGGAGATTTCATTCACAGCTTTACCTCTTAAATTCTGAGATTAGTGTGAATTGGGGGAAGTGAACAAAATGGGCAAGGATTATTGGGATAAGAAAAAAGTCTTTCAAAAAAATGCAAAGGTATACTAGAAAATCATCTGTACAACATCTTTTAAAGATGAATATATTTTCATCGCATAAGGTGTGTATGTGTTTTACTTGTTGTAATCCTTGCGTAGTTTATGAGAACAAATAACAGAATAAACGGATATTTTGTTTCAGGTTGGTATTCATCATGAATTGAGGTCAGTTAGAGAAACAGGAAACCTGGAAGCACGAGACAGCTGTTTCGTCCGACTAGTATATGACTGTTTAGCAGTGGGGACCCAAGAACACGCCAGGAATCGAGCTCAGGACCTTCAGGTTCCATGGCCAGCACGTCACCACTGAGCCATTGGGTCGTAATATAATGATCTACACTGCTTAATTCTGTCAGTTCATGATATCATGGAACCTGAAGGTCCTGGGTTCGATCCAAACCCAAAACCAATCAAGAATTTCCCATAAACCTTCAAATCAAAATATTTTGTTTATTTTTTATCTGTTCTAATATACGACACAAGGGTTACACAAATAAAAAATCACAAACTTATAGGATAAATCATAATAACTCGGTGCCCAAATTTTTCCAAACCATCCAGTTCATTGTAGGCTAGGATATATTTTTTTTATTTTTCTTTGTCCCATGAATTCCTAGTGGAGCATAGGGCTTCAGTAGCACGTCGTCATCTCACCCTCTTCCCTACAGTCTTTTTAACTTGGTTCCAAAACTGCCCAAAAGCTTTCATTTCTTCTTCACATCATCTCCATGTCACCCTCGCACGCCTAACTCGTCGATTTCCATGCGGGTTCTAATCGACGATCTGATCTGGCGCATGATGTTCCCGAACGGTCTACACGGTCTCTGTTCAACCCAATCCATCCCCACTTTCTTCCGCATATTTGATGGGCAATTGGTTCTTGGTTGGTTCATTGCCAGCCGGAGTGAGCTCTTTGTTGCTTATTCTTTCTGGTCATCTGATTTAATCTTCAGTATCGAGTGAGCGTAGGCGACAGCTGTTGATGTATGTTGTCTGCAGTTTGTTGGAAATGCATTACGTAACGCGCCAAATCTCTCAACTATCACATTGAAGCACTGACTTGATTGAATTAATATTGAAGATCCGGATCTGGTTCACACATTATGCTGAGTACAGTGCAGTGCAGCAGATCTCCACAGATTAATGAAGGCCTGCTTCTCCTTGATTTTCCGATCCTGGTTTTCACATCTTCATGTGTGCCGCCGCCTGTAGTTGATATGATGCTGCCTAGTTGGTTAGGTAGGTGAAAGAGATAACTTGCTTTAGATCTCTCCCGTTGATGGTGATTGATGCTTGTTATTGTTGCTTGCGTATCTTAATCACCTCCATCTTCGTTACGCTCACCTAAAGGAAGTGTCGTCTCCGCTGCCCTGCCTCTTCTGCCAACTTGTTAGTTTTTGCTTGTAGATCTTCGACTTTGCACGACAAGACATTAGACATAAATCATCATCAGCGAAACCGAGATCTTCTAGAGTCTTTCCATCGGTCCAGCCAACGTATGCCCATCTTCTCACTCCTCACAGTTTTTTGCATGATCCAGTCCAGTCCAGTCGACCACAATCAGGAAGATGATCGATGATAGCAGGCAGTAATCTTGTTTTACTCCTACCTTGACTTCAAAAGCATCGTTGAGCTGCTTTCCATTGTGAATCACTTGGCATGTAGCGTCTTCATATAGCATATAGCTGCTGTTGAATGAGATTGATAAAGGTTTGTGCCACTAAAACCCTAGTGTTGAAGCATCTGCCTGCCAAATTACTCGTCGGTCGAGGCTGTCGAAGGTTTTTTGGAAGTCAATGAAGTTGAGGTAGTGAGCTGACTGTCATTCTATGCTCTGTTCTATGATGATGCGTAGAGTCGCGTAGCTTTGCAATTTGATGCGCACATGATTTGTTCTTCCTGAAGCTAGCCAATCAGTCTGTTCTGGTCGTAATTTTGAATGCAGCGCATCTTTTAGTCTCTCAAAGATCATTTGGCATAGTATTTTGCTTGGGGTGGACAGGGGTGGAGCATGATTCCGCTCCAGTTCTTGCAAAGACTCAGGTCTCCGTTATTTGGAAGTTTGACAAGATAGCTCTTCTTCCAGTCAATGGGCAGGTATATTTCTTTCCTCCGTTACAAACCTTCTGGAATAGTGGTGTTAGCATGTCCGCCGCTGTTGTCTCTGCGTCTGTTTTCATTGCTTCTGGATGAAGTCCATCTGGTCCTGCTACTTTCTCGGATTTCGGCAACTGTATTGCGTTCAGGACATCACCTCTGCGCTGTCGCAGGGCTAGTGTCCACTGCTAATCCTGTGGCTAGGCTGCTGGTGGTATTTCTGGATGAGTTGCAGGTAGTGGGGTTGGTCGATTCAAGAGTTTTTGAAGTGGTCAGCCCATTGTTTCCTTTGTTTTTCCTCTTTGGTAACTAAGTTTCCTTCAATATCTTTCATTGGTTTCATCTGTGCTGATCTCTTCCATCCCAGATAGTAACCTGGTTATTTGATATAATGTTGTCAGGTCTCTCCTGCATGCATCCTGTTCTGCTTCAGTTGCAAGTGTGTCGTAGAAGTGTCTTTTATCTTTCTGTGCACTCTTCTTAACCTCTTCGTCTAGTGTAATGTCTTGAAGGTTGTGTTCAGTTTGTCTTTTCTTTGTTCATCCCAGCACTGCACTGCACTAGTTCATAATTCTGCTTCATCATCACCATCTTCCTCTTCCTGCTCTATCAGCTTCCATGTGGACGTCCGTCGAGATCTATTCCTTGTCCTGATTCTGAGACTAATGTTATAGTTTATACTTGGTGCTTAGCTATGGAATCCAGAATATGTGTTCTGTCCTATTTGAGACTCATCACCTAGATGTTCCTGCATTTTGGTAGGTGATGATATATCCACTGGGATTCAAAGTCAATATACATTGTATCAAACGCATGTACATCTAACTGATGAGCTCGTATAAGGATGAAACGAGTGTCCTAAATTCTTCTGCTTGCCAGAAAGTAAACTAAAACATAATAAGTATTCAGGCAGCCTTACTATATCTATTTTAGTCAAAACTTTTCTCAGTTTATGAATTTTAAGTATTTAGTGAAGTTCATATACTTATCTATCGGTTTAATAAACCCCCAATGGGAGATCCATAGAATAAATTGTTCATATTATTTAACATATGAAGGGATAGTAGACAGTTTTGAATTCCTCTATTTCTTTTGGTTAAATGAAACATTTTGACAGGTATCTTCAATGTTTTAGTTTGTATTTGACTTCTTCATCAATCAACTAATCTATTATGATACAAGAAACTTAACTGAAACTCTTATAGTGTGAGATAAGATTAAACGCAGATCCATGCAAGAAGCCCAGTATTCCTAAAGCCTGTCACAACCAATCAAGTTGCTTCAAAGTTTCCAGAAGAACCATTTGAGTGCATATATAAATACCGAAGGAGTGAGCTACCATAAAGGGTGGAACCTGATGGTAATTACTAAACTATCCACTGATGTATATATTCTCTTGTTTATTTTGTTAAAGGAGAGAAATTTGAAACCAAGGTGTTAAAATACATTCTGAATTTCTAATGCACAGATGAGTATGTCTAATATAAAATTGAAACGCCTAAATTGGGTCTTGTATATTACTGGTAGCGTGTAAGTGGTTGACACTTTCCTGTTCCCCATATCGTAGGAGGTTAGTTCTTCTTTGGAAAACTGAAAGAGGAAAAGATTTGTATAACAGCAGAGCTCATCGGATATCTGCTTGACATCTGTCACACACAACCATTTGAGAACTTTTGGTATGAGATTGGACTGTTCTAGCCTTGAGTAGAGGAAATCCATTCCACATCACCTTCCCATAGGGAAAGTAGCATTGACGTGGTACTCCCCATCATCCAAGTGGAACACTTCGCTGCTGTCATACCCTATCACGTATCATAGTGCAGTAATCAACAATACAACTGTGACTGCTTTTCATCTTACCGCTATCTAACAGATCTTTGTGGCATAGTAGGACCTCAAGGGAACAATCGTTACAGCTATTGTGATATCCAAGTCCGATCACTACGTCAAGATGGTAGTTATCGATCGTTTGCCAACTGAGACAGTAGTTCAGATAAGCACTCACTCTAAAAGGTCAAGAAGATAGGTAATAATAAATAACTGTAAGAACTGACTATACAGATCTCAGTATTTGTGTTCCCCTAAACTATTCTGATCACTTGGAATCGTAATAATGAAAAATATTCATCATTCTGTAGGGATTATAGACAGTCAGGATGTTTTATAGGTAGAGATTTATTTAAGATGTCCAATGGAAATGTTTTTCATGGAAATGCAGAAAAATGTAACCATTATAAAGTAATAATAATAATAATAATTGCTTACTTTAATCGTCTCAGCTAGATAATCATTTTCACGTGATAATTCATTAATGTGTCTTTCTGAAGTTTCTTTAAATGTATTCAATGATTCACGTGTTTTTTGTGCATCTGTTTCAAAATTCATTCGTTCTAAATCCAATTGGCATAAACGTTCTGCTTGAGCAGAAAATGCTGTTTCAAGTCGTTCAAGCTTAAATTTAAAACAATGTTCATATAGACAATTATTTAAATTTCGGGGGTTTTTAGGGATTTAGTGACTTTTCAAGTTAGTATTCATCATGAATTGGCATCAGTTAGAGAAATATAAGAAGAAACCTGGGAGTACTGGACAACACCTGTTTCGTCCTACTAGTATGGGACTCCTAAGAATTGCACAGCCATGAAACTGGTGGCAAAGAGTACAAATACTCAACGATGACATTGAGTGACAGTCACGCTATGTCGTGAAATGATAGAAACTGGAAATATGGACCACTGGATTCTGACCCAGTGGCTCAGTGGTAACGTGCTGGTCATGGAACCTGAAGATCCTCGGTTCGGGCCCCTGCCGGAGCAGGGCGGGGTCACGGGTGTGTACTGCTGAGGAGTCCCATACCGGAGCAAACTAGCTACCTGCTGCTTCCGGGTTTTCAATGGTTTTCCAACTGACGTCAACTGAAATCGAGAACAACTACACTAAACTATTGCTAACATTATGGTACTTGAAAAAGAAAGCTAGAACAATTCATCAAAAGCATCTCTGAACACCATTCTACATAGCTATCTAAATGATAGTGTAACACCGTCAGCAGTTTGATTCTTGAGTATTTGGTGGTCTCTGGTCACTATCCTCAACGACAGTCTTTCTTTCAAAGTCAAACATTTCGAAGCGAGTGCATATTCGCCACCTCAATACACACAACAAGCTCTGACAATCCAGCATTACAAGCCTGCCGTTTGTGTTCAAAAAAGATACATCCAATCTCTACTTTTGACTTGATCATCATCCCCCTAAGACAGTTGATTCACTTCTTTGTTTATTGATTATAATCCTACAAGTAATTTTTGATAACCTTGATTTCATCTTCTAGTCGTTATCACCTTTCGACTGTATTGACCGTTGTTGGTGACCTTGCAGTGACCCATTAGCCACTGATGGACATACATAGTTTGTTGTACCTATAGTTACAACTGTACACCTTTTGAAAATGATTTATGGGAAAGAAAATTTTCTTCACTGACTTGTCTTTTGTTAATTTTTCATTGTGATAGTATTGATGGTAATAATGGTAATGATGTACATTGGAACTCTTGAGTCATTGAAAGTGTAGCGTTGTGTCTCGCATAATTGATTTCATTCCACAATGATTGTTTAGTGTATAACAAGACGGTAAAGGTAGATATTCATCTCTCTCTGTTGAATCTCGTAAGTGAGTGGTTGAATGATTATATGGAGCCCAGTATCATGTATGCCTTCTCGTTATATGCGAAGCGTTTTGTGTATATTCTTCCCACCGAATCATTTGGTATAGATATGAAGCCACACACGAAAATCATAGAATTTTTAAGAGGACAAATACTCAACGATGATATTGGCTGATGGTCGCGTTATGATGTGAACTGACAGAAGTTGGAAATATCAGCCACTGAATTCTGACCTAGTAGCTCAACCGTAGTGCACTGGCCACGGAACCTAAAGGTCCTGGGTTCGAACCCTGGCCAGATGAGACCATGGGTATACACTGCTAAGCAGTCCCGTAATAAACCGAAGCAGATGTCCAGTGCAACTCCAATGTTTCACCAAATCATGTCAGTCTAGTCCACGATGAATACCAACTTGAAGACATTTTGTAAAGTTTGGAGGTTTGTCAGGATATCCCCTTACTTACAGATCGAAACTTGTGTCATTCAGCGCTGCAGTCAGAAACGTTACCATTCAGTAATTCATGTTCGTTCTCTCTTCCTCACCATCTTTTCCTCTCCTTCACCTATTCATCCCTAATCTAAGAAAATAAGTTCAAAATATATCACCAACTGATTAGTTTTTAGAAAGTGTCAAACAGTCCTTCAAAATTCATCATTCCTACTTAAAACTTGATGATATCTAACCTTGACCTTGAGACAATCATGATTTCTGACTGTTGAAGGTTCAATGTAGTGCTGACTTTAACAAGAACTGCCTTATATTTAAGTATAGACTAATAAATTTAGTGAACTCCAGAAACGTTTCCATGGTTGTTTTCATTATGTAAGTAAGTGTCAAGATTAGATGATCAATTTCCAAATGATTTCCAAATTGTACGCTTCACGTTGATATTTCTCAGGCAGCTGAGCAGTTAGTTACTTTCAACTTCCCAACTGTGATGTCAATAGGGTTCCTGCTGGGAAACCATCCACCAGTTACAGTATGATCTCTGACAGAAACGTGCACAGAACTAGTGAAATGTCGATGTCAATGTTGAACATACTAGTCTATGCAAGTCAGTTAACCAGATTCAAGTGATCTCAACAATGCGGCTGTATGAGTTGACTTTGTTCGAGTACGTCATTGATGAGCTGACTCGTGTGGGAATAAGTGAGACAGCTATCTGGCTGACTAAATCTGCAGATCAACCTGACTGGTTTCTCACTAGTAAAGTTGTTCAGTAGAAGCATCAATTATCTTGTAGAATATTTCAATTCATTTCCCATGTAAATATTAACTGAAGTATTTCAAGGTGATGATGACTACTCGAATTTAGTTAGCTACACTTCAGTTAAACGTTTTTCAAATTGATCCTAATTGTCACTATACTTTCTCAGTCAGTCTACCAATCATTTTTCATCAATGCATGACTAAGTTCAAGGTCACGCCCACTTGCTTGGCAAGGCCTAGAAAATTCTACCAGCTTCCATAATATTCATAGAATTCATTTTGTTACTTATGCACTATGTAATGGGACTATTTCGATAGTTAATCGTTAACAAAAGTTTTCGACAGAAGATGAATTATGTATGACACAGTGGCCGAGATATCCACCATAAATTGGATAACTGAGGTAACTAACTACCTAATGAATAAGAAAATGGATAGATATTCATATGGAAGAAACAGGATCAGTAAAGAAGCATACAGATGTGGAAACCAAGTTGAGATCGGATGGTTCAAAAATATCTTGGGTATTGGGTAAATGATATTCACAGCTGTTTCGTCGGACTAGTATGGAACTGGTCAGGAATGCGCACCTATGATCTCGTCTCACCGGGGTTCAAACGTAATGTCTGCCACTGAGTCGGAATCCAATGGTTCATATTTCCAACTTCTACCAATATCATTGTTGATTATTTCTCCTCACAGTCACCACGTCCGCCACACCAGTCACGACTTTTCATTGGAACTTCGGGAATCACCTCTCGTAGTTGGAGATATGGACTATTGGATTCCAACCCAGTTGCTGGTCACGGAACCTGAAGGTCGTTGGTTCCATCTCTGGCGGGGTTGTGGATGCACACTACTGAGGAGTCGCACGCTTAAACGAAACACCTGTCCAGTCCTCCCAGGTTTCCAATCTTCCTCCAACTGAATGTCAGTCCATGATGAAAACCAACGTGTAAAAGGTCTGTAAGTCCCCAGAAACCCCCAAATTCAAAATGACTTTATTCCAACTGACGTTTCTCTACACAATAATTTGATAAGTGTTCTTCTGAGTGAATGATTCTACATTGTCAAATTGTTGAACAAAAGTGATGCTCATATGTAGCGTGTTGTGTCTGGATTGTGTGAATTACAGATTGGTATTTGTAGGTACACCCGTGTTGGTAGTTCTTACCTGATGGATATTGATTATGTCAATGTATATGAAGGTGGGTTGAGACCAGGTTAAACTACGTTTTACTCTCATATTCCTGTTTGGACAATTTTGATCCCACTCTGTGTGTGAAAAGATTCTGCTATGAGATGTTCTTTATAATTTTTAAAGCCTTTCTGAATAATTTTGATGTTGTTGAAATCGACCTGTTGACCTGAGACTGTTACCTGTAGAGGTATGACTGATGTGTTTCAAGCACTTTTAGTTTCAGTGGATTTCTAGAGGGTTGGATAGAAGTTCTTCAGTTTTCATTTTTCTTAACTTTGATTACACTAGAAATCTGTCCATTTACATACTACATCTCAGTCTGATCATTTTATTTTATAAATACAATTAGACTGTTAATCTAAAAGGGAATCTAGAGTTCATCTGATCAAAAAAATACCTGGTATAAGTCACGTTTTAAAATTATAAATATGTCATCAACATATCTCAGCCAATTTTTGGCTTTAATAAGTCAGTGAATACACTTCCTTCGAATTTACTCATGTATATGTTGGCTACTTATAGGTGAAACAGGTGAATCCATAGCAAAACGTCAGTTGAAACAAGTTTATTTTGGTTTACATTCATTAGGAAATACAAATACCAAAATAATGAGCTAAAGATGTAGTTTGATTCTGACAATAACCACACAGATAAGTCAAATACTAGATTACAAAAGTGTTGTAAACTTGAATTTCACATCCTCTGAGTAGAAAAGATCTTCACTTGTCAGATATACGGTAGGTATGTGAGTAGATAGTTGCATCATCCCTTTTGCTAAGATTATCCAGTTGGATATTGTAAAGGAATCAAATGATACTTAAGATATTTTTCATCACTGCTTCACCTTAGTATATGCTTTACGTATGCAGAGTTACTGTCTCCTCCGAAGAGCAATATTAACGGAGGTAGAATAGGGTTGTGAAACGTCTCAGGGTGACAATATCAAGATATGATATCTGTCCATCAAGTCAATGACTATTTGGTTTGAACCGTATGGTGATTTCTTCCGAGAACAACATCGTTTACTAGGGAGGTAAGTACATCCAGCTGACGAGTCTCAAACACGACGAAACGCACCTTCTTGATTCCTCTACTAGCCACAACTAAGTAAATCACTATAATAAATGTTCAGGCAATATCGAGGCATTCCTGCATAGGAGATGGATGTATCCAGCATAAAATCCCTGCCAAACTGTATACACAATCGTAAAGATAAGTACTTTCCCGTTGTTTTTGATAGATCTGGCAACTGAAGTTCAACAGAACACCATCACGACACACAACAGACTCGGTATCCTAGTCAAGGTGATAGTACCATATCTACACACCTCATACTGAGCCTTCGTGTGATAGAGTTTGCATCGGTATGTTACTTTGAGGATGCATCTACAAACCAGATATAATACAATCAAACAAGCCAGTCAACCCATGCAGTTTATCGCAAGTTCTAACAACTTTAATACCAAAACCAGAAAGTCCCCACTACTGTAAGATTTACCTTAAATCTCTTCAAAGTCCTACTCACCTTAGTAATGATGGATAGTGGCCACCATTGGAATCCAGGATGCTCATCAGCTAGAAGCACCTGCCTCCAAGTGCCGAGTGATGTTGTTCTGACTGGGATTCGGACTCGGTACCGAACGACTCAAACGTCAGAGCGTTATCCACTAGACCACCCAGTCACGATAGCCACTTCTTGTGAGACAGGTATAGTATTATCCCATCATTGACTGAACCGAAATGATCAGTCTCTATTGACATATATGCTCCCGAGTTCGAACCCCAGTGGGAACAAAACATCACTAGGCAGTGGGAGACAGGTACATCCAGCTAACGAATCCCAAGTAGGATGAAATGCGCGTTCTGGATTCCACTACTAGCCACTATTCATCATTACTATATAATTAAGAACATAGGCAATATTAAAGCATTCACACAGGAGTCCATATGCCAATACAGACCGATCAAATCGGTCAAGTCAACGATGATATAATACAAGTAATAACATTCTTACTTACCTTATTAGTTAATAATTGATTCTCTCGTTTCATTTCAGCTAAACAAGCTTCTGTTTCAATATTATTAGTATTTACAGATTGAGATTTAGTTAACAACATTTTTGTCATTTCTAGTTCTTTGTTTAAACGATGATTTACCTCCTCTAAATGATTTAAACGATTAGTTACTGATTCTGATAATTGCTCTGATAAACTGGTATTAGTTAATCCAGTTGTTTTCAGTAGATTATTATGCATATTTGTTTCAGTAATAATCAAGTCTTCATCAGCTGCATCAAAAGAGATTCGACGTTCTTGCAATTGTTGTTGACTGCTCTTCTCACCATCATTCATATCTACTTCATGATTAGAATCACTATGAGAGATTATCTCTCTTAAAGTAATCAATTTTTTGTTTGAATGCATAAAATTCTTATGTGTACAATGTTCAAGTTTCAATTTGCCCAATTCTTCTTGAAGATTTTTGATCAAGTCTAAATCTGAACTTCGAGCCTGTATTTTTTTTTCGAGAAAAGAAAAAGGAGAATAATTCATTGGATGAATAAATTACAGTAAACTTGAGATAAAACTTTTTTACGCTCGCTGAAATGTGTATCGTCTAACTGGACATATATCTCAAGAGGATGTAGTCTTCGACAACTAAACTCTTTGACGTTCTTCTACGCTATATATGAATGTATGTCTTGTTATCTGAATCGACCTTTGAACAAACATGTTTGTTTCTACTGGATACATTCTGATAGGATGGATGTTCTTCGAGTTCCTGCCTTTTCATGAACAGAGCTTCCAATGTCAAATTAGATCCATAAGAAACTGAAGTGATCATTCTATTGTTGAGGATTTAGAAGAAAGATTCAGACTAGACTATACATGAATAGGTTGATTAATTTATAATGTTCTTCCTAATACTCATCATGTTCGTACATTGATTAACCCCCCCCCCCACCCCCTGTTTCCACTTCCTATGAACTTTAGATGTTCACATCGAGTTGGGTATCATCAATTGTATTCAACTCACATCCAATTCTTGTTATCTGATATTAGATGATGATTGGAGGTGAAATGGAAATCTGCGTTATGATGGGATATCAACCAATGGTCTTCAGGTACTCTAACAACTGAGTTACGAGACACAATACCTGATCAGATCTTAATTTGGATATAAGAAAAGTTTCCATAGAATTTTTCTGTATCGATGAAGCATATGTTATCTTGACACACACACACACACACACACACACACACACACACACACACACACACACACACACACACAATACACACACACTCATAGGTCAACTTTACGATCGGACATTACAGTTGTAATATTGAGCCGACTTTGTAGAAGTCACTTCAAGAAGGCAATTGTCACTTTTGAATTGATTTAAAAGTGAACCACAACTGCACAACGTATAACAATACAATCGACAGAGATAATTCAATAACTACTCGCTACTCGTCCCTGTAGGTTTCAGGGACAGGTGAATAATGACCTTCCCATCAAGGTTCGAATCTGTCAATACTAGAACGTTACCATTTATGTTACCAAATCACTACAATCATCTCTTCTGTAACGGGGATGAGTTTCAGTCGTCAGTTGATTTTTATCACGAACTGAATTGGTAGTTGCTCACAGGTTGGTAAATGAACTTGTATATAGATGTTTTGATATTGACTTTACCTACATCTGGTATGTTTTATTGTGGTGAGTGGCTCACAATTGGAACACTATCATTTACTAGAACATAGATACATCCGGCTGATGAGGCTCAAATTGAACGAAACACATTAAAAAGTACTATGAAATTAAATACAAACCATTTAGACATACATTTTCAGTTTCTGTTAATTGATGTCGTGTTTTATTCAATTCTTTTTCTAAATCTGTAATTTTATGATGATATTCATGTGTAACTTCTGCTTTATCTGCCCATTGTGAATGTTCATTGGATAAAATTTGTAAATCTTCGGTTAATTGTTGACATCTTGCCTAAAAATGGAGGTTGATTAACACTATAAAGTTTTATTTTTTTTAAAATCAACAGCTAGTCAGTTACATTGATTTCTAAAGACGATATATACGATCTTTTGTCTATGTAAACAACAACAAATTAATGCAAGAAAAATATCCCCCAGAAGATAATCAAATTTCAAATGAAACATCATCATACATCGATAGAACAAAGTGGATAGTCAATCTCTCCTCGAGAATCTTAAGATCAGCTAAGTAGAAAGTACTCGACAAAGGACTAAACTTCAACGTGACAATAGGTGATCTAAAACTCGAAGATGTTATACCTAGCATAGAAATAGCATTAAGCTCGGTGGATGAAGCAACTGCTGAACAAGTTAAAACAGTTATGGAAAAAATTGTTTTACTTCAACAAAATTGATAAACATATCTAAACAGGACTATATAAAGAAAATGCAGATGACATTGTCCTGTTAAGTTAAGACTCTGACAAGACGCAGAGTCTTCTGAACACTTTGGGTAGCAATTTGAGAATGTTTGGGATGCGTTTTTCAACACCCGAAAGCAAATTGTTGCTCCAGGATTGGTCTTCAACAGTGTCATGGCTAACAGTTGAGAGTGGATTCGTTGAGTGTGTCGACCACTTTACTTACCTGGGAAGTAGGATCAGCCCTGGTGGTTCAGCAGATGACGAAATCTCTGCACACATACAAAAGGCTCGGATGTCTTTCGCCAATTTCCGCCACCTGCGGCACCAACGTCATATCCAGTTGTCTAGTAAGGGTCACGTGTACTCAACAGCAGTCCGCTCTGTTCTACTGTATGGCTGTGAAACATGGCCATTGAAAGTGGATGATATAAAAAGGCTTCAAGTGTTTGACCACTATTGCCTTCGTAGTATAGACCGCATTCCGTGGTGTCACCATGTGAGTAATGCAGAAGTCAGGTGTAGAGTTTTGGGGAGAAGAGGTAAGTCACTTGACGAGGTTGTGAACCTTCATCGACTGAGATGGCTGGTTGGGACATGTACTACATATGCCTAGTCGCCATCTGCCTCGTCACACAATGTTGGCTGAAGTAACTTCAGACTGGTAGAAGGGCTCAAGGTGATCAAACTAAAACATGGCACCAGTGTGTGAAGTCTTTGACTGATGATGTAAGCCATGTGTGGCGATGCAGACTAGTCGGTTGGGGTCCGCGGGATGAGAGGAACCAGTGGTTGCAAACTCTAGGTGATATGGCTCTGAACCGAATCATTGAATAATCAAAATGATGCATTAAAACAAATCTTTGTATCATTCCCCTAAGAAATTTTTGATTCAATATGACTGTTTGCACATATAAGCCTAGTAAAGCAATTGTATTTTACAAAGTCTTCAGTCGTTGGAAAGGATGATACAACTTAATGTAGCCTATGTCTTGATATTTTCCTGAAGTTTCTTTTGGAAAGAAAAATGTTCAAATTACTAATTGTCATCTTTCCTAGACATGAAGAATAAATCCATCAAAATAAGGTAAAAAATTCCACTTTATTTACTACTGATTGACAGGAATAGTTTGATGCTAGTTTAATCAATCATTAGCGCTTGGATGATTCAGTTTTGTGGATTGAACCCATCCAGATACACCATTGATAAATTTTGTTGGAAGTGAAAGAAACACAGGGCTACTGTCTAAATCACATTCATCCAGTTATCAACCAGAGCTGGTAATTCCTGACTATTATTATTATTTGTTCTTTGGGTTCCTAGTGGAACATAGGGATTCAGTAGCACGTCTCCATTCAACTCCCTCCCTTCTCTGCAATCTTTTCAACCTGGCTCCACAACAGTCCACAAGCTCTCATTTCTTCCTCATACCATCTACTCACTGTCACCCTCACCGTCAGATGCCCAACTCGTCGTTTCCCATCTGAGTTCCACTCGACAGCCTGGCCTGGCGCATGATGTCCCCAAACCGTCTTCTCAGTGTATGCCCAATCCAATCCAATCCATCTCCACTTACTTCTACATATTTGTTGGACGATGGGTTGTTGGTTGGTTCGTTGCCAGCCAGAGTGAGTTCCTTCTCGCTTATTATTCTGTCCATCTGATCTTCAGTATCGAGTGAACGTAGGAGGAAGCTTTTGATGAATGTCTGTAGTTTGTTGGAAATGCTTTTCGTGACGCGCAAAGTTTCTTAACCACCACATTGAAGCACTGATTTACTTGAGTGAATGAGTGTTGAAATTACGGACGTTGTTCACACTACTTTATGTTGAGTGGAGTGGAGTGGAGTAGATCTCCACACTGGTTTCAGGTTAATGAACGCTTGTTTTGCTCTTCCGATCCTGGCTGCTTTGACATCCTCATCTGTGTCGCCGCCACCGCCTGTAGTTGAGACGATGCTGCCTAGGTAGGTAGGTGAAAGAGACTACTTCCTTTAAGTTTCTCCCGTTGATGGTGATTGGAGCTTGTTGTTTTTGGTGGTGGTGGTGGCGGTTGTGTTGGTTGGGTATCATCATCACCTCTGTCTTCTCTACATTCACTTGAAGTCAGTCTTCCTTCGCCACCCTTCCTCTTCTGTCAACTTGTTAGTTTTCGCCTGTAGATCTTCAAGTTTGTGCTACAAGACATTAGACACAAGTCATCGTTGGTGAAATCCAAATCTCCTCGTGGGGTGTTTTCATCGGTTCAGCCAGCATATCTCCCTCTTCTCACTCCTCACAGTTTGTTGCATGATCCAGTCAACTCGACTACAATCAGTAAGATCGTCGGTGATAGTAGGCAACCTTGTCTTACTCCTCTCTTCACTTCAAAAGTATCACACAGCTGCTTCACGTTGTGAATTACTTGGCATGTGGCTTTTCTTATAGTTGTTGAATGAGGCTGATACAAGTTTGTGATATTCTGTATTGTTGAATCAGTTTTCGAATTATTTCTCGGTCATTGCTGTCAAAGGCCTTTTCAAAGTCGATGAAGTTGAGGTAGAGAGCTGACTGCCATTCTATGTTCTGTTCTATGATGATGCTCAGCGTTACAACTTGGTCCACACATGATTTGTACTTCCTGAATCCAGTGCATTCTTTAGTCTCTGCAATCGAAATGATGCTGCACCTGTCCCAGATATGTGGAAAATTCTACTACCCTTGTCATCACAGAGAAGGAGAGAAAACTAGGAATATATAAAGACTGTCTCGAAGTAAGTTGCGGAGCTACCTGATATGAATATGCACAAATAATTATATCCGAAACGTTATCCAGTAAATGCTACTGTTTCACTGTGTGATATTTCTAATAAATACTAAAATGGAATTATTTGAATGAATATTATTCAGCTGTATCCTGTAATTGTTTTAGCCTTATACGTGGCTAAATATCATAGACTTATCGTATCGCTTATCGCTCTTGGTCTACCATAAAGGAATCTGTTATATTGGATAGTGGTGTTAAAGTTGACCGTAGAATACGTGGGGTCCCGCTGGTTCAACTAAAACACATGATTTGTACTTCCTGAATCCACTGCATTCTTTAGTCTCTCCAGAATGATGCGGCATAAGATTTTGCTTGCTCTGGGTGGACGGGAGTAGAGCATGACTCCACGCGAGTTCTCGCAAAGACTTTATAATAAAGTGAATTATTATTATTATTATTATTATTATTATTAGAAACACACTGTAGTTGACAGAAATCCTAAGTGAACCAAATGATCGCCTATATTCATTTTATCTCATGCTGAAAATTCAAAGCATTCACATCTCTCTCCCAGTATCTCCTCATGGAGGAGAAAGTGGTGGAACACAACTAATTTTTCAACTTTGTTGTAACACTAAATAATCCATTTTATTTCCAGCATTCCAACTATCCATGCATGACTAGCCAGGCTACTGGTTTTATTTACATAATTTACAATATTCGAAATGTTGTCATCTTGAACTTGTGCATCTTTGTTGACTTCTAAAATCCCTTGATAGTTAATTCATGAAACCTGTTAATTCCTTCTTTTTCCTTATTCTTCGTTGCACCCACATCGTGTTCGCACTTGTATCATTCTTACTTACGTTTCACACTACTTTATACTATTGAGTAGTATAATTATGTCTTCATAAGATTTGACGATTTCCACGTCTGTTCATTCTGTTCAATCGTGTTTTGATCATCATTTAACATCCCTTCCGTTGTTCACCTGATGTTTTTTCTTCACTTTGAACGTTTGTTTATCTCGTGTGTTTACCTCATAGTTGAGAGGTTCATGCATCTTTTATATTTCCTTTTGGTTTCCTCCGAGCACAGCCTTGTTATTCTTACTGTTGATGCACTCTCTATGAGGTGGTTTCATACCGATAAATCCAGATCATTTCATTTTCAAATTCCTCGGAGAAACAAGTTCACAAAGCTTTTTCAATGCCATCAAAATCTCAGTAGTTGAGTAGCAAACGATTTGACTGACATATTAGATTTGTTTATTTGATATACACCAACATGTAGTGAATGGTATAGTAATATATACTTGATGATGACATTTCCAGGATGAATTATTATCGCTCATAATCATATCAATTTAATCACACGACATTTTCGACATCTGCACTTTATAGTCCTGCCACCTCATATGATTTTATTTATTTTACTGGTACTGAAAATTTCCATATCTCTAGCATAAGTGTTGCATCATTTCTATTACATGTGTTGGGTTCGGTGTTAGCTGATTCCATGAACAAAGATTCAGCAATCAATCTCTCTCTCTCTTTCTCCATCTAATTATATTGGATTTAAGTACAGTGGTTTTATCCCACCCATTCCATTGTGTGATTATGTGTTAATGGATGGATTACATTTGCCAATTCCTGTTACCAACTGTTCAAATTGTAGACTAGTAAACTCTTACGAGTTAAAACTAAGGCTTAATGACCTATATGTAGAAGAGAATGGATAAATGGTTACTTTCAATGTAACAAGTCGTTATACTAAAATACCAATCAATATGGCACTGGAAGCAGTCAGAACTCACTCACAGAACTAACCTGTCGGTTGATGTGA